AAATGTTTAGTTTGAACTTTAAATGTTATGTTAAATGTTGATTTAAATATTAGTGTTGTTTAATAAAACTAAATAAATTTAATATTAAAAAATAAAAAATAAAAATATAATTTTTAGTTTTAAAAAATTTAAGTACTGAATTAATGATATAAAAATTATTTGGCATCTACTGAAAAATAAATATTAAGTAAAATTTTTATTAATCTTTTATAAAAAAAATTTAAATATAATTTTATAATTATTTTCAATTGATCAAAGTTAAAAAGAAAATAATAAACTGTTAAAAGACAAAGAATAATTATTTCATGAAAAACTTTAATTTTTTATTATTTATCATATATTTTGAATTTTATCAAAATTTTATTAGAAATTTTAATTTGCTTATGAATTGATATATTTAATGTATACATTTTATATATATACCTTAAACATGTTAGGATTAAATAATGTTGATTTATATATCTAAATATATATTTAAATAGATACATTTAATTTATAATCTATACCTCAAACTTTCAAATTAATAAATCAATTAAAGAAACAATCCCTTGTGGCTTTTTACACCATAAACATTGACTCTACTGTAAACAAAGAACTGTACTAATATCAAATTAGGACAAGAAAGAAGGAAATCCATGACAATGGTGGACAAGATGGAAAACAATGGAAACAAAGAGACAACTAAACCGAAGCGTAAACGCATGCGATGACAGAGAAGTGGGGAGATGAAGAACAACAAGGACAAACCGAAATGCAAAATAAAAACCAAAATCCCAGTCTGGGATTTATTGTTTAATTATATACCCATTGGGATCTCATGCTATGTGCCATGAACGAATCGATCACTCCTCATGCGAGGCTTACAGCAGCCTTTCCATCAATCAATCACACATGAATTGATGTCGCACATAACGATAATCCATAGAGCGAGGACAAGTGGCAATGAAAACAGCCAAAAACAGGAGAAAAAAAAGAACAAAGAGGGTTCCAAAGAAAGACTTTGGTGCACCAACTAATCGGCTTGTTGGCCTGTTTATTTTAATCGTCTTTCAAACTTTTGGAATGAATGAATAATCAGTTTTTGGTGTTGATGCTTTGCTTTATTTTTTCTGCATTTTCTTTAATAGCTTCCTTTGATTCATCGGCCTTTCCTAGCACTGTGTCTTTAGCCTTTTGAGCTGTCTCCTTGGCTGAATCCCATGTGTTTTGCGCACTTTGCTTTGCTTTGGCAGTCATTTCTTGGGCTGCATCCGATGCCTTGCCAGCCATATCTTTTACGTTTTCACCTGTCTTCTTTGCTTCATTAGCTCCTTCTTTGACAGCCACCTTTGCGTTGTCACATGCTGCCTCCTGCTTCGAACTTGCCTGCTAGGGCACATGAAAACACACATAAATATTTCAAACAAGAACTCGCTTAATTGCCATGTGAAGCTAAAGATTAAAACGACAAAAAAAAAAAAAATTACCTGAATAAATCTTGGCCCAACAGCTGAAACAACCCTATTCCTAGCAATTCTAGCTCCAAAATTGCCAATATTCGAAAGGTTATTAACTAGGTTTAAGAATGCCATTTTTGTTTCTATGAAATTGGCTTTTTCGTTGGACGAGCACAATTCAATTGAATGTCAAATTGTCTCTGTAAACTGAGAATTTAAAAGAGGAAGATAATGGTTTGTGTTGGCTGTGTGAGAGTAAATTTTGAAAATGATAGGTTCAGATAATCAAGAGGACCCCGTATTATAGGATAGGTATGTGGTTTCCGAATAATGATCTCGTGATCTTGGTTACGTAGAAATTATCACGAAATTTTGACATGATTTAATCATAGTCACAAAATTCTATTATTTGCGAGATCTTTAATTACCAGAAACTTTAAAACAAATTCATCTTAAGAATTAGGAACTGATCATACTTTGCAGAAAAAGGTTTCTTTCTTTCCTGATGTGTTTTTCAAGCACTTTCTGTTTGGATGTTTGGCTCTTCTTGATGAATAATTTGGTTATCTACATGCCTAATTCAGGTAGTCTTGGGACAAAAACTTTAGAATTTCTTTTACGGGAACTAATGATATATTGAATAATTATTTGCAAATTAAACATATTTCCGTAGATTTGTTATGTTCAAAAGGACAGGAGATAGGCAATGGTTAACAATTCGATGTGATTTCTTGAATTTGACTATTTTTTTTTAGTTATCAAAAGCATACAGCACACTAGTTCATGCGTTTCTCCATTTGTATTTTCAGTCCAAGGGCCAACGAATTCCTTTATGGTAATGAGGTTCAATTTAGTTTGGGGTTTGGGATTCAGTGTGAATTTAGGCTTGGGTTCTGATTTATTTGTATGAAAAGGAGGATTTAAACTGTCAACACAGTTTCACAGCGCTTGTCCTTTTTCTTTTTTCACAGAACATGAAATTCCTTTGGAGCTTCAAACATGTTTCCATGAAAGCAATGAGAATCTGAAATTCGGATCCTCGGATCTGCTTTGCAAAAATCCAACATATTTCAGTTAACAAGCAAATTATTTTTCACAGTTATATTTGACAATGACACCCGACACCCAGGATTATACAAATTGCTCAACATCCTTCAGAATTTTTCTTTTTTTTTTTTTGGGGGGGGGTGGGGGGGTTGTTGGTATCCTCGACCAAACTAAAGAAATGTTACTTTCTAGAGGATTTGGGGAGGAAGAAAGTTGGAAATTTTAAAGATACCATAAAGTATGCATGTAAAAGTAGACAACGGATGCATTCCAGAACTCGATACCATCCCCCATTTATTTAGTAGCCCTTGTTTCCACGAATCCTAGCTCTCATGTCAACCTGACAGAGAAAAAATGGATGCATAACATGTTAGTATAACTGAAAGTCTTCAATTTTAAATATCATCAAGATTGCCATAACTTCTTAAATTCTTTCACAAGATACCTAAAATTTCTCCTATAGAGTTTGTATTCCAAGTTAATGCGACAATAGCATTTTTTTTTCAAACTATTAACATTATAAACCTGTTTTTATCTCCTTTGAAATGATAAATGGTCATCATCTTCTATTATCATGAAATGATTAAGCAAATAGACCAATATGCAATACGGATATGTCGCAACAAGGATGCATCTACATGCTAGCTTACAAATAAAATAAAATATAAACATGGCAGTCCAGATATACATAGTTTATAAAGCAAATGGTTTCACAATCTTTAGTTTACAATATCTAAGGTAAGATTTAAAATATAAAAGGAAAAAACACGAATGTTTGGACCACCTACAGCAGCAAAATGTAATAATGGTCACAATAATCATATTGAAAAGCAATTTGCACTTCTGCATAGGAAGCATCTAAGGATTAAGTTGCATCCAGACAGGTAAAACATGCGTTACCAAACTTCTCTCAGCAATTTGTTTCTCCTCCCTTTGTTCAAAAGAGATTCGAGGTTTGAGAAAACAAAATAAAAAAATGGAATCTTGGACATTTTAATGCAAAAAACATTTAAAAAAAGAAGCCTTTGACTTTCTAAATTGTATATTACTTAGATGCAATTGAAATTGAAATCTAACATGCTTTTCAAATTCAATATTATATCCTATACCACATACATGATTGTCACAATTTTATCTCCAAACCTATGAAACCTGCAACTTAATATCAAATTAAATTATACGTAAGAATTTAAAGTTTCTATTATTAAAATTAAATAAGGGAAACAAAGGTTTTGAAGTTCATAAGCTTCATTTTTTACTAAAATGACTGTCAGGCTTCATAAGCTTCATTTTTTACTAATATGAGGCATGCACCAAGCAGGCAAGCACCCAAAAGGCTAAAACTAGACGTGGTACAATTAAGATTATAATCATCCAAATATAAGGAAAAACCTAAGCAAAATTGAGTGCATCAGTGTCTAAGACTCATACCAAGATCAAGAGACATAGGCTAGGATGCAAGCATTGTTAGTGAAGGGTACCACACTTATATGCGACTCAAATTGATTAGGATTTTGTCAAGGTTTGAACTCTAAACATACCAGATAGACCTAAAATCTAAAACTAAAGAAATCTAAAATATGACAAAACAAGCATCCTTCTAAAAATCATGAAAGCAATGTATAATAATAGCTTTTACACCCTACACCTCTATAAAATTGCTGTAGGGAACTGGGAATAATCTAAGAAAACCAAGATATCAAACTGAATTGCTCTATTAGCTTGAGTTGGTCTTTTGAAGCAACGAAGTTTGATTGGTAGTTACGGGTTAAAATTTTTTTTCAATTCAGAGTTCAAAAAATGAAAAGAAAATAGATTTGATTCTATATGCATCATAGGAAAATGTATTCATTTGGAAGAAAAATATACAGTAACGCTCAATTACATTCCCCAAGTGATAACCGCTGCCCTACTTGGTAAAATTCAAGCGAGAGAAAAAAGAGGCAGCAAATTGGCCTCTACAAGCTTTTTCACTAGCTTCCATTTATGAATATGAGCTAGTGTTGAGTGGAATTTCTCAAATAACAATAATTAATATTGACTGGCTTCTATTTGGGAGAGGAGTGGAGGCAGTGAATCCTGAAAATACATGCTTTTAATAACAAGAAAAAAATAGTTCCAGGCTGCTTTTTATACGTTAAACAATAAACACATTAAATAGAACTTATGAAACAATTTTCAAGAATAATTACTTAGAAAATAATAAGTATTTCTATTCCTAAGAAGGTAATTAAACATGTACCAAATTAAAAAGGAAGATAAAAAAATGGAAAAAAAAAATAGAGAAACAAACAGGCCCCATTGATAGACCTAAAATCTAAAACTAAAGAAATCTAAAATATGACAAAACAAGCATCCTTCTAAAAATCATGAAAGCAACATATAATAATAGCTTTTCCACCCTACACCTCTATAAAATTGCTGTGAGGAACTGGGAATAATCTAAGAAAACCAAGATATCAAACTGAATTGCTCTATTAGCTTGAGTTGGTCTTTTGAAGCAACGAAGTTTGATTGGTAGTTACAGGTTAAAATTTTTTTTCAATTCAGAGTTCAAAAAAAGAAAAGAAAATAGATTTGATTCTATATGCATCATAGGAAAATGTATTCATTTGGAAGAAAATATACAGTAACGCTCAATTACATTCCCCAAGTGATAACCGCTGCCCTACTTGGTAAAATTCAAGCGAGAGAAAAAAGAGGCAGCAAATTGGCCTCTACAAGCTTTTTCACTAGCTTTCATTTAGGAATATGAGCTAGTGTTGAGTAGAATTTCTCAAATAACAATAATTAATATTGATTGGCTTCTATTTGGGAGAGGAGTGGAGGCAGCGAATCCTGAAAATACATGCTTTTAAGAACAAGAAAAAAATATTCCAGGCTGCTTTTTATACTAAACAATAAACACATTAAATAGAACTTATGAAACAATTTTCAAGAATAATTACTTAGAAAATAATAAGTATTTCTATTCCTAAGAAGGTAACTTAAACATGTACCAAATTAAAAGGGAAGATAAAAAAAATGGAAAAAAAAAAATAGAGAAACAAACAGGCCCCATTGATAGACCTAAAATCTAAAACTAAAGAAATAAAAAATATGACAAAACAAGCATCCTTCTAAAAATCATGAAAGCAACGTATAATAATAGCTTTTACACCCTACACCTCTATAAAATTGCTGTGAGGAACTGGGAATAATCTAAGAAAACCAAGATATCAAACTGAATTGCTCTATTAGCTTGAGTTGGTCTTTTGAAGCAACGAAGTTTGATTGGTAGTTAACGGGTTAAAATTTTTTTTTCAATTCAGAGTTCAAAAAAAGAAAAGAAAAATAGATTTGATTCTATATGCATCACAGGAAAATGTATTCATTTGGAAGAAAAATATACAGTAACGCTCAATTACATTCCCCAAGTGATAACCGCTGCCCTACTTGGTAAAATTCAAGCGAGAGAAAAAAGAGGCAGCAAATTGGCCTCTACAAGCTTTTTCGCTAGCTTCCATTTATGAATATGAGCTAGTGTTGAGTAGAATTTCTCAAATAACAATAATTAATATTGACTGGCTTCTATTTGGGAGAGGAGTGGAGGCAGTGAATCCTGAAAATACATGCTTTTAAGAACAAGAAAAAAAATAGTTCCAGGCTGCTTTTTATACGTTAAACAATGAACACATTAAATAGAACTTATGAAACAATTTTCAAGAATAATTACTTAGAAAATAATAAGTATTTCTATTCCTAAGAAGGTAATTAAACATGTACCAAATTAAAAAGGAAGATAAAAAAATGGAAAAAAAAATAGAGAAACAAACAGGCCCATTGATAGACCTAAAATCTAAAACTAAAGAAATCTAAAATATGACAAAACAAGCATCCTTCTAAAAATCATGAAAGCAACGTATAATAATAGCTTTTCCACCCTACACCTCTATAAATTGCTGTGAGGAACTGGGAATAATCTAAGAAAACCAAGATATCAAACTGAATTGCTCTATTAGCTTGTGTTGGTCTTTTGAAAGCAACGAAGTTTGATTGGTAGTTACAGGTTAAAATTTTTTTTCAATTCAGAGTTCAAAAAAAGGAAAAGGAAAATAGATTTGATTCTATATGCATCATAGGAAAATGTATTCATTTGGAAGAAAATATACAGTAAACGCTCAATTACATTCCCCAAGTGATAACCGCTGCCCTACTTGGTAAAATTCAAGCGAGAGAAAAAAGAGGCAGCAAATTGACCTCTACAAGCTTTTTCACTAGCTTCCATTTATGAATATGAGCTAGTGTTGAGTAGAATTTCTCAAATAACAATAATTAATATTGACTGGCTTCTATTTGGGAGAGGAGTGGAGGCAATGAATCCTGAAAATACATGCTTTTAAGAACAAGAAAAAAAAAAATAGTTCCAGGCTGCTTTTTATATGTTAAACAATAAACACATTAAATAGAACTTATGAAACAATTTTCAAGAATAATTACTTAGAAAATAATAAGTATTTCTATTCCTAAGAAGGTAATTAAACATGTACCAAATTAAAAAGGAAGATAACTAAAAAAAATTGGATTAAAAAAAAAAGAAACAAACAGGCCCCATTGATCCCAAGAAAACCAACGACTTGCTCGTCAAAATTTGAAATGATAAAATGTTACTAAAGTGAACTTCTAGGAAAGAAAACAAAAAGCTTTAAGTCAAACTTTTTCAAAGCTATCTCAGCAACCATAAAATGACAATCATTCTGTCAAACAATTTAGGTGCACTGGAACTAAAGCCTACAGTTCCATCATAACCACACATCTTTCCAACAAAGTTATTATATCAACAGTTTTAGTCAAAAAAAAAAAAAATTCCATCTTCAGAAGCCAAGACCAGAAACCCCCAAAATAATAAATAAACTATTTGGTCTAAACCGTAGAGTCCATGTTAGTTACAGTCATCATTAGTCCTTGAGTTACTAATGAGTTCATCATCAGTGGTATTTTATTACATTTGGCTAGAATAGGCTGTAACCACAGTCCATCAGTCTTAGTCTAGGTCTTAATTATAGGTTCATTTCACCAAAAACTTATTGCGCACAAATACAATTATGAATTCTAAACCATTGACACCGGACCAGTCTATCCAAATCTCACCCAGATCCTCACCCTCACAATATGCAGCAAAAATAATTGTGAATGATATTAATCTCTAGAATATCAGCAGCAGACCATTCACTCCAAAGGGGGGCGGGTGACCCTCCCTAAACCAATTAAAAAATACAACTAGGACCATAAACTTCTGCATGAGTAAAATCCTAAAACCATACCCAAAAACAGATAAAAATTCCCAGCAATATAAGAGACATGACAAATAAAGAAGGGAAAAGCGGCATGCCTGTCCTCTTTTGCAATTGAAATAAGTTTCCCTGAGTCCTACACACTCGCTTGGTACAGAAGGGCTTTTTTCTCCAGCACATTCCCTGAAGGAACGCTTCTCAACCTAACCCACAGTAATACCCAATTGCGAAAATTCAGTAATATTCTACCATTTTATGTCATAAAAAAAATGGGAAAGCAAAGGAAAAAGTGATTAGTATAGAGACGGAGAAGAGGAATACCTTTACACAATCTGATTCACTTAGACACTTTACCAGTTCCATGGCCAAACCCTTGCAAGACTTTGACATTTTTCACCTTCCCGACTAATGGAAAAGCCTGTCTTAAACTCCAACCGAAAGGAACTGAGGTTTTAGTTTGGAGAGATCTTCAGCCTTCTCGTTCAAACTTTGAAATCCGGGAGCTAACCACCGTCTGGTGGGGTTTTATTTTAAAAAGGTTTTATAGAAAAAGATATTTAGGGTTTGGTAAAATGAAATTTGTTATTTATAGAAAAGGAATTCATCAAAATTTGTCATAAATTTTAATTTGTTTATTTATTGAGGATTATGTATTTGGTTTATTGAAATACAAAATCCGAACATTTTATTCAATAATTGATACATTAAATAAAATTCAAATCTTTTTTTTTTTAACAAACCAAAGATTTTTACATATATTTCAAGTTAGAATTTTTCCTGAATTACTTATACACAATTTTGATGCCAAAGAAATTGAGTTGTTAACAAATGAAAAAGATGAGTGCAAAAATGGTTCTAAAATTCCCTTTACACACAATCGTGCACTATTGAAAGAAGATTGAACATGGATGGAAAATTGCCCATTAAACTTTCCATTCCTCTTCTTATTATTCTTATTTACATTGCACCGTAATTGGAAATAGAATAAAGAAATTGACAATGATGTAATTTCTCTTTTTCTTTTCTTTTCTTTCATTTTCAATATTAATTATTATTTGAAAATCATGTAGAAATTAACCCAAATTATCCATCCAAAAGTTCCATCAATCAGCAAATTGAAGATATCTGAACAAGTTGTTTAACTTGTATGGACAACAGAATCACGTTACAGTGAGACTAAGCATAATCCTCACCCTATGTGAAACAACTATGAGCGTAAGATGCCTTATTCATGGACTTGGCTCACCTCCATCAACCATCATAGATAGAGTAGAAATATGATGAAAACACCGAAATCAAGTAAGAGTTAATAATAGAAATAATTCTAGCCATTATAGCAGATAATTCCATAAAGGGTGAGCTATCCAACTTTGTCAATGAATTTTTGAGCAAAAAGGACTATGAATAGCTGTTTACTGCATTTGCACCTCTTCCAATTCTGCTGTTGTAGCTGTCCGTGGCAGCTTACTGATGAAAGAAGGGAAACTTCTCTTCAACTTCCAATCTTTTTCCAAGCTTGTATAGCATCACCTCTATCTTTCTCCACCATATGCAGTCACTTTTCACCCAAGCCCAGTGATCAAGCAACCTTAACACAATCCACTCCAGATGTCTTCATTTTTACTAATTATCTTCAAGCTAACCTCAGTAAGCTGGAGTCTATTTTGCACATCGAGACTTAAGTTTCAATATTTTTGTTAGATATTCAGCATCCAATCTCGTGATTGTTAAAGCACTCTGTCTCTCCTCTTGAGGCGTGAATGATAATTTAGAGACCTATCACTTGACTCGACTCAAGAACCCAAAGTCTGAGATCCACATACCCTTCCTCTCCAATCAGCTTGACGTCACGTTCCATTCTTGTATATTATTGGGCCCCTCTTTTCTCACGACTCCCTCATAGGAAAGTGTGTGAACCTTATATACCTGTATGTTCATTGAGATTCAGGTTCACACGCACATCTCGTATGCCTCTGGAGTAGCACGCTGCTCCTTCTGGCTTTTATCGAACAGTTAAGACTGGCTCTGCCACTTGTCAGGATCGAGACTTAAGCCTTGAACTCGGACTACTCGCATTCATCTTCTTAACACACATCCCTATGTTCACACCTTGTGAATTGAGCCTCTCCTAATTCACGGTTTTGTTTCCCACCTAAGACGAGGTGTGTGAACCTTATTACCCAATAACCTCTTTATGTTCATGGAGATTCAATTTTTTGTAAGTCCTGAACCACCTCCCTATCAAAAGCGATATTGATTCCACTAATGGGCACCAGGACTCTTGCCGGGACAGTCATAACTGCATCAACATATCGGGAATTTCTCTGTTCTGGCTTGAGGGCTTGAGTAGGTGCATCATGATCAGCCAGATTAAGCCATAGCCCACATGACAAAGCACATTTCACCCCACTCCGAAGACTGAATGGGTAGCCACGAACAAAATCCGCTCCTTCAGCAAAAGGGTCATACAGAGTATTAAAAAGGAATGGTGTAGCTGGGGTTGTAAGGTTGGTAATATGCTGGGCAACAGCATCCACCAAAAAGCCTTTATTGTCCCTGGCTGGGATACAGTCATCGTCTACAGAGATAATGTACTTCTTCCGAGAAACAAGATAGCCAAAATATCTGCATGAATAGCCAGAGAAGAGTATTGAAGTAGACGCACCCACCACTCGATCTATGTCAGGCTTTTTATAGACATCAAGGTTAAAGCCTTCAGGTATTTTGAGTTCCTCTTTCAAATTAGGGTCTTTGACAATTATGAGATGAAATCGAGAGAATATGGGTCTCCACTCATTCATGAATGATGTCAGGTCAGAACGGAGTGCTCCTATCACAACATCAATCTCATCATCCTTAATTGCAACAGACATCTTGCCAAATCCAAAAACAGTCCTGTTCCGAATAGTCAGGCCTCTTAAAAGCAGCTGGTCCTTACTCTTTAGACCAAAGTACAGTGTATTCCACCGATTAAACCAATCTCAAAATTTCTCAGAACACCCTATGGAGGGAACAAAAATTCATTTAGGAAATCAGCTCAAAACCCTTCTGGAAAAAAAATGAAATTCTGAGAATGACTTACTAGTAGGAAGGACAGGGGTAACTGTGACTTGAATGTTGAGTGCCTGGATGAGTGAGAAGACCTCGTCCTTGCCAGTAGCTATAAAGAGCATAAGAACTCTCTCAGTTAGCTTTCCAGCTCTTAATGTTCTCTGCCAGAATCATGAAAATTAGTCTTACTAAATGAATGCCACTAGAACCAAACAAAAGTTCAAACAAGAAAATGTGCAAGGTTCCAGAGACAACCTAGATTCATAAACCTAAATACAAGCTAGTCAGACAGAAGAAAGAAAGTAAAAGTAAACCTAAAGAGCTCAAATGTTATCCGGTTATTCTTAGGTTTAAACTTTAAAGGATATGAAAAACAAAAGGGAAAATGGAGAAGTATTTAGAAAACTAAAATGAGGTAAATTCTTCAATGGAATAAATTTAAGAAAAAAAAAGGAAAACAAATGATCAATACCAAAGAAATTTATTAAACAAGTAGCACTGCTAGCAGAATGTATAAAATCAAGTGATTAAAAGTAGCAAGATGAGCTACCCATAAAAAAGGAAACAAAGAGGAAAAAGTCATGAGCCTCTCTAACTTAATTTAAACAGCTAGCATGGTTTGCTCTTTTGGTCTTTAAGAACCAAAATGTCACCTGCATGAAAACCTAGAACTCCCTGATATCGAACAAAAATAACCAAAATTTTTATTCTCCAAAATAACCATTCAACGTCACTTAAACTTTCAGAACATTTGTTCAAATCAATCCTTCAAGAATCTGGGAGGGGACTTTCCAGTAGAACTATAACTAGACATAAGGAAGTAAACTTTGGAATCCAATACAGTATGACACTGCACAAGGTCCAGGTTACCCTGCCTTGTTTTCAATGAGTAATTTTATAAAAAAAAAAGCAGAGCGCTACTTGTTGAAATTGCGAAGAGAAACTAATCTTCTTCGCCCCCAGCCACAAAGATTCAGTTACTCAGTGGACACCACACCGAACATGGCTAACTGCTTAGTTCATAGAAATTGCCATCAGCATAGCAATTTATTCAGGTTTCTCCATACATTGGAAACAACAATGGAGCACCAGATTTTCAATACTATTAACTTTATTAATCAAAACTTTAAATTCAACATCAATTCTTCAAAATTCTAGGCTGTTCTTGTCTTACCAAATTAGAATTTCATGGTCTACCACTTGGACATGAAAATTAAAAAAAGAGAGAGAGCAGGCCTCAAACTTTTAATAGACTATGATTGAGAATGGTAGTTGAATTGCATAGGAAGTATTGACAGAAATCTATTAGTATTAAACTTGACAAGACAATGAATCACAATAAAGAACCACAACATAAATTGGAAACATGAAAAATTAAAGAAAAAAAACAAACTTCAAAATTATTAGATAATCAAATTAAGTTTAGAATTGCAGAATACAGACTAGGCAACACCTCAACAACTATTAACTACTTTCTAAAGACTTAGCCATATCCCATCAAAATTAAAGGATTCATTGGCCCCAGAAATCATCATAGCCTACAAAGATACGTACAACGCAACACATGAACAATTCCTAGCTTCACATAAAAAGAAAAACCCAAAAAACAATGGAGAAATTAAAACTACCCAAGTAGCCAAAAGGCAAGAAAAACTCAAAAAAGAACAAGAAAATCAAAGGGAAAGAGAAGAAATATTACCAACAAGAGTTCGATGAGGATATGATCCGGGAGAGGAGAGAGATCGGTGATGTTGGAAAGGTTAAGGACAGCTGAATCTACAGTTAGAGATAGCAAAGAAGGTGGGGTTCTCATTCATTCATTTACTAATTTCAATCTCAATCATTGATATTCATTTCTAAAAAAATAATAATAATAAAGGGGTAATATTCTTGGATCTATAGCTAAAATAAATAATTATAAAATTAAATTAAGAAAAAAAAAAAAAAAGAACTGGTCGAAGCACATGATCCGATTTTACAGTTTTGCTGGCGATAGATCTGAAGCGGTTTCTCCGTCCCTTTGGTTGACAAATTTTTTGATTCTCATGGCAAGCTCGCTGTTATCTTCACACGTGTCTATTAGCGGCACGTGTGGGATTGGATCGCATCGGTGGAATCATATCAACATAAATAATAACAATAATTTTTATATTTTACACATATTTAACACAAATTCAAGGTCCTACAAAAATTACGAATTGCACTAATGCAAAAGCAACAGTGTTCTAAAATACAATACATAGTTCAATATGCTACGTAGGGTAATTTTTAATAGGGGTGAGTAAAAATCGGTTTAAATTGATTAAATCGATCGAAATCGAATGAATTCGATTAAATCGATTTAATTTATTCGATTTTAGTTATAATCAATTTTTTAAATCGATTAAATTGATTAATTCAATCAATTTTCAATTTTTAAAATTGATAACTGCACTAATCGAATTAACCGACTTCTAATAATTAAAAATAAAAAAATTGAAATAAATATTTTTATTTTTATTTTTTGTAAAATATTATTGAAATTATTAAATTCTTTAATAATTTAGTTTGAATGATACTAGAATTTGAATTTTATTGAATTTTATTGAATTGAATTTGTGATTAAATAATGATAAATAATAGGAAGAAAAATGATAAAAAAAATCGATTATTTAACCGAATCAATCGAACCGAATCGATTTTGATCGATTCGATTATTTGTTAAATGAATCTTAATACAAAAACAGTTCAAGCTCATATATGCTACTCTTTATGCTACTCCAAGCTTCTTCTACTCTTTACTCTAAAATCCTAAATAGTAAAACAAAATAAGTTTGCTTACTACTACCATCCACATCTCAAAAGAAATTTAAACTTTTATAAAGCATCAAAAAGCAATTCCATGATGAACTAGATTCTTACTTTACTCCAACTAGGGACTTGAGAAGGTGAAACTTGGCACTGACTTCGGCAAGATCAGAAATGTCCTTGAAGGAAGCAGGGGGCTCAATTCCTGTGAACAGATAGAGAGCTTTCAACTCCTCTATGCACGTTTCTTGTCGTGCTGCCTTATATCCAACTACTGTTCTCAAAGCATTGATCTCTTCCCATATCTTCTCACTGTATAATGCCTACAGCAAATAAATTTAATGTAATCAGTGAACTAACCTGCAAGCAAAAGTCTTTTTTTTTTTTTTTTAATTCAGTGGCAAAGAGTTCCTGTGCGTTCTTCCATACATCCCTTCTCCGAACAATAAAAAGAGGAGCACACTCTTTGCAAAAGCTAATTGAATAGAAAGTTTATAATCCTTTGTGATAAGCACATTTACTTCTGGAAAGAAGTATTCCCCATGTACTAGGGATTTTACCATCGTGCAGAACATGCTTTGACAAGTTAATTCATGTTCAAACATGCTAGGCTGTTGTTCTATGTACAAAAAAATCAAAATAAAGGAACATCAAATATATTGAACATGATCCTTCTAACAAGTAACAAGGCTAGTGTGATCAATTGTGTTCTCATTCCACAGATAAAAAACTACTATGTTGCTCATTTGAAAGTAATTGTTTCCATTATTTGCTATCAATTTCATATTTGTTCAAGTATGTCAGAATCTATCTTCGGAAGATATGAAACCCAAGAGGATCAATATAATCAGCACCAACATATTATCAGCATTTGCGTCTAATAATACCGCCTCTGTCTTGAAAAGGCAACTCGTTTAAGGAAGTTGGTAGTAAAATTCATCTGGGATGTGTTACAGTAATATATATATATATATATATATTATTGTTATGGGTTCCTGATTGCCTTCATCATCTTCTCCCTCTGCCTTAATGGAAATTGAGGGCCTAATAACTATCCAAGAACATGCAACATGCAAATGCAACATGCAACTGCATGTTACTCTCATATTTAAACATATTTAAACGTCTCTCCATCTTAACATTTCCATTAATGACTAAACACCTTTAAATGTTTGTATAAACCCTAAATTTCTTTCTCTTCTGTCTAAACTGTAAATATTCACAGGCTGTACGAGAGCCTCTCAAACTATCAATGGCACAAAATACATGAGCCTATGCATGCATATTGACAAGATGATTATTGTGTAAAAAGCTTTCAGAAAAAAAAATAATAACGTGAGAAAGAATGAACAGGTTTCACTTCTTTTACTTGTACTTATTAGCAGCATCTCTCATGTATAATAGAATTCACAAGCCAGGCCCTCATGTTTCAAGTGCTGCCACCAGGATGTAATATTTTCCATAGTGCAATATTTAAAAATATACATTTTAAAGTGTAAAATAATTAAACTTAGGGCTAACCTCATTGGGAACTGTATCAATGCCATTTTCTGCTGAAATTCGAATGTCATCTGATTCTTGAGCCTTTCTAGAAACAGGAAGCTCTGAAGAATCAGAAATTTCTAGGTGAACCGAGTAACTTGATGAAGGCCGACTTTCTGCACATGCACCATTCAAGTATAATTATGAGAATTGGCGTTAACCTACAACAAGATAAACTGAAAAGCAACTATTGCAAAAAGCTACCTTCAAAAGTCTTCAAATCCAAAGGAGAGCCCCGCTGACTAACTGTACTTAAATCTTCTAAAAGGTCAAGCCCTTGTTCTTCGTCTTCATTGGAGAAAATCACATCTTTCTTGTCCTTTTTCAGTAGATAATTTTGCTCTACATTATTTTCATTATCGTCTTCTGCTTTTCCTCCTTCCACTAATGTAGCACTTTCTACTGGAAGCTCTTTTGCACTGCTATCATCATTTACTGTTTCACTCACTGGCCCTACTGACGGTGCTCTTCCGGGAATGTTGTCAACATCCATTTCCTCAGATAAACCTTCAGCATCTTGCCCAACTTCATCTCCTTTGAGAAAGCACCCAAATTTTCCACAGATTCCTTCATTTTCGCTTTGTTATCTTCTTTATTTTCTTCTACTTTGGTGTCAAAATCCTTAGTTGGCTTTTCCAATCTGTTATGGGCAAGAATACATCTAGTTTTAGCTTTTTCAACATCTCCAACAATTTTCTTATCACCCTTCTCTGTACTTGCATGCTCTTTTTCTGTACTCCACTTATCATCCACTCCATAATCAGTTTTTCCCTCATCCCTTATTTTTTCTAATAATCCCCTAGTCTCCCTTACTAACTCTTCATCCTCTTCAATATCAGTAAACTGCGATAATTGAACATGTACCTTTTTTATTTGAAATGGTGTTTCTTTCTCAATATTGCTTCCATTCGCCCTCAAACTCAAGCACAATAGTAGAAACCTCCTCTATTGAACTTCCATCCCCGATGCATTGTTCCTCTTTAACTTCTGTTGTTCCCTCAACTTTAACCTCAATCTCTTTTGGTTGTTTTCCTCCTACATTTACTCTCTCTGCGCTCAGCTTATTATCCACTTGATGATCTGTTTTGCTCTCATCCCTGATTCTTTCCGATAAACCTCGTCCCTATTAATAATTTCGCATTCTCTTCAACATCAATGGCCTGAACTAACTGAACAGGTATATTTTTTACTTCAAGTGGCGTTTCCTCCATATTGCTGTCCTTCTCACTTCCCTTTGTGCTACCTAGAACTCCAGTAAGCTCACCTAGCATGTTCACCGAAACTTTCTTCTATAAAGGGTTGTTTCTGTTTCCTTTCTATTGTTCCCTCATTCCCTTTCAATAGTTTTACCTTGGCATCAACTTGTGCTTTTTCCACACCCTGCTTTTCTTCTGCTACATCAAGACTTCTACCCTTTTCTCTTTTTCTTTCTAATGATCCCCTTGACTCTCTTACCAATTCATCATTCTCTACACAGACAGCTACATTTTTCAGTTCAGCTGTCGTTTTCTTATTCACATTGTCCCTTTCTTTCTTATCACCCACAACAGTTGTAAAAAAACCATGAATCTCATCTGCTGGCTGTTCATTCACACCTTCCTTGATAGACTGTTCCCCTTTCTCTTTTGTTGTTTTCTCAATTTTCAACTTGGTCTTCTTTCTTGCTTTTCTCTGTGCATCTACAGTCTCAACGTTCTGCATCATCTCTCTTATTAATTCCTCTTCTGCTTTGACATTTCAGCTTCCATTGGTGTTTCCTTCTCAATATTGCTGCTGTACTTCTCGTCTCCCTCAACGACAGAGTCAACACCACCTTTCTGGTATGCACCCTCTTGGAAAATATTCCATTTATCAAGTTCCACCTTCTCCTTGTTATCTAATTCAATTCTCATCTCAACTTCTTCAATAGTATCCTCTTTTAACCCTTCTTCCTCCCTCTCCATACTAATTCCTCCTTCAATCACTTCATTTTGTCCTCCTTGATTTTCATCTACATTAGCTACTTCTTCACCATTAAATGCTTTTCTATATTCCAACAGTAAAGGGGCAGCTGGTGAAGGCATTGGAAGTAACCTGCTCATTACAGTCTCAGTGCAAGCATAGCTCACCAGGAAGATCCCATAAGGGACCGAACAGACAAACCCAATAGCAGTGATAGCCAGAAGTGGAGGAAGGACAAGTGGTGCGGATGATATAACAATTCCAGTGACCAAAATTTTCCTTCCTAATCTCAGCAACCAACCTAGTTTGCCCTCGTCACTAACCGCTCTTGATGATTCTTGGATTTCCCATTCTGATTCCGGGTCATCCATCCTAGAACAAATTAACAAGCCTTAAATTAGCTACTCACTCATCTAAAGAAAAAGAAAAACAAAAATTACCATCACCATATTAACTAACAACAAATTCAGCATTAGAAAACCTAACCAGCTAACCTTTTGTTTGGTTGCTTTGTAACTTGGCTTCAGATTTTCATGATGCAACAAAAATGGAGCCAAAAACAGAAAAATATTTGAAACATAACATTACAGAGGCACAGAATTAATCTATCATGAAACAAGGTCCAGCAAAGTACCTGACTAGAAATTAAAGGGGAGAGAAAAAAAGAATAATAATAAAAGAGATTTGATATGTCAAAGGAAAGAGAAACACTAGACAACTTTTTTCCCTGAGAATGATACTTAGACGGTTACTTTAAACAGTGTTGAAGTCATGATGAATCTTATAAACATGTGTAGGTTTGATTGAAATTTGAAAGAAAGGAAGTAGATGTGTAACACAGAGCCTGGTAGTGGAGTCGGAGTATATGTTGTAACACATAAAAAGCGCATAAGAGGAAAATGACTATTGAATGCAAATGTTGAGAATGACACGCGTCGGAAAGAGGAGAATGCCCGATTTCGATTTGCATGCAGAAGATAGGTTTCTGCATTCCCACGTGGTTGCTGAACACTGACAACATAACAGGCTTGGTTTTTTGGCTTCCGCATGTCAGAACAAATCAATGGGCACATCTTTTTTTTTTTCCAGAGCAAGGAAAGAATTTATGAATTATGAGGCAAATATATCAGAGTTTCAAAACACATGAAACCAGTCCACATGCCACGAATTTGTGCCTGGCTTTATAGGATTGACTAAAAATTTTCTACCAGATAATTCTCGTGATACTGATCATTGATATCATTCTTGCTGTAAGTTGCAAGTTAAGTACCTGCTTTCCTGGATTCAGCAGTTCCAAGGAAAACCCCTGGTACTTTAATTCCATCAGTTTCTTCCCCATCTCTCATGGTCACCCCATTTGATTCTCACCATCCATATTCAAATGGATCAAAAAATGGACAAACGTACGAATGTTAGAACGAAGGTTAAGTACCTATATTTGGAATCTTTTGGAAATTAATTTAACTGGAAAAAGCAACTTTTGTTATTGCAAACAAAACTAAGATACATCTCTTTGGTAGAATCAGACACTCCCCTACTAGAAAACCCAAATACATGAAGCTTCCTTAAAGTTGATATACAATCTTCTCTGATGGTTATAACAGTGAGTGTAAAACTTGATCTTCGTTTTGAGATGAAATTTATGAGAATGGAAAATAACTACCTCTCATTGCGCAGTCCCCTATTACTTATGCAACAAATATATATATATACACACACACACACATCCTATGTGGTTATGGAAACTCCTTCAGGTCTTCAGCCAGCTCCATCCTCAATTATCAAGATTGGCATCCAATTATCAGCTAAATGGTCATAACAAATCTCTTCTACATGGCCTTCCATCGCAAGAAAGCACAATGAGTAGCTGTCCTAGGTGATATGAGCAACTTTCATGCATTTTGTGCATCCTCAACAGCTTTGTTGAATGAAGCAGCAAGGTACTCTGCAAGACTTGGTTGAGAATTAAACTTGTTAGAAGCCTCAGAAACTTTTGCCTTTTTTACGCCAATGGATTTTGGAAGCCGGGAATTTGAAGAGCCTGGGGTACTCAAACTATCCATTCCAGCTTCTTGTCTTCTCCATAGAATAGGTTTTAAATGTTGCCAAGGATCTTCCAACATGGATTCATCAAAGAAACACTCTGCCCCCAATGTCCTGTTTGATGCTGAGCTTCGACCATGAAAAGCTTGTCCTCGTCCACCAGTCCTTCCCATACCAGGACTGATGCTGCCACCATATCCACGGGCCCTGCCTCTTCCTGAACTGAAACCAGGACTATCTCCAGGTCCTGAATCAAGTATTGGACTGTTACCAAACATTTGAGGCCTGCCTCTTCCATAATTGAAATTAGGGCTATATGCTGGTGAAAAGCCAGGGCTGGGCAAATTGCGAGATCCTGGTGCATTAGAAGGATTCCAGACCCTAGGAGAAGTTCTAGGATGCATAGGAGGAGTACCAAACATTCCTCTCGGCCTTCCATCAGAAGAATAGTTATAAGAATTAGCAGTGGCCTGGGATCCATTCCAAGCATCAGAATGACTTTGATGCATGGGTGGACTTGTTATTCTTGGGCTTCTGTGGGCAGTAAAACCACCATATGGACCTTGTTGGTATATATGCTGATCAAGTGAAAACTGGCTTTGCATATGAAGGACGGGCAGATTCCTATCAGAGTTCCTTGGTCCTACCAAATCAGAATAAATTATCAATTAATTGTCAAAACGGAAGGAGCATCAATTGATGTTAATCAATAATTTTTTCACAGATAATCAGCTTAGTAGTACAAATCAGATCAGATTATGGTTAAATTTGCAAAATATATGCAGAACTTCTGAAGTTGCCCACCCTTGGTGTCACAGTCCACACTAACTTGTGAGGTATTATCCGCTCTAGCCCGCTGGCCCCACGGTTTTGTCCCACAAAAGGTGCCTCACAAATTGAAGGGATGTGAACTCTTATATCTCAAGATCAACTTTAGTACATAGCCGATATGAGATTCATGGCTCCTTTCTAGGACCATGACATCCTCCCCCACTCCAACGGAGGCTCACCGTCCTCGGTGGCACATCGCTAGTACCCTAGAGCCAGTTGTGATATCAAATGTCACGGTCCACACTAACTTGTGAGGTATTGTCCGCTTGGGCCCGCTAGCCTCACGGTTTTGTCCCACAAAAAGCGCCTCACAAGTTTAAGGGATGTGAACCCTTATATCCCAAGATCAACTCTAGTACACAGCCAATGTGGGATTCATGGCTCCTCTCTAGGACCATGACACCTGGCAACTTCAAATAAGAAGGCTCTGAACTGGAAAAAGGATGGGAAGGAGAAAGAAGGGGATGGAGGGGGGCATAAGGAGGAGAGCATGTATTATTGCGTGCATCGCCTTAAAAAGCAGTTTAATAGATCAATATCATGTTTATATAGATAATAATAGTAGCACAACAAATTACCAGGATGGGATGGTGAAGGCCTTGCCGTTGGCCAGCCACTGCTGGTTGGAGATGGAAAAGATTCTAACATAGTCTGATTATCACCCTTGCCCCTCTTCTTGTTAGCAGAAAATGCTGCCATAGGGTCAGTGTAGTAGTCAAAGCGCGGAATTGCACAAAAGTCATCCTCCATTGTCAATCTTGACGATGTCCCACTCAATGGATTAGAAAGGCAACCAGGCATTGCAGAAGTCTCAACATTATTAGACACTTCAGCATGAGCAGCTTCCATCCGCATTGCTTTCAACCTTTCCTTTCTTTTCTCAGATTCCTCCATTTATCTGAGAGACAGAGAGAGAGAGAGAGAGAGAGAGAGAAATGTTCAAACACATCCATTGCCATCCAGCTTGATAAAATTCAGTAAAAAAATGAATTAACACAATTGAATCATGATTGCGTGTTCATAAGTTTCCTGTGTTTTCAAAGGATGGATATAAGTTTCAACCTGTAAGTTCTAAGTTTACTTAATTAGAACTCTAACAACCTTATAAATTAGAATTTGAACCATTCTCAATAACCATTCTAATATAACATGATTATGAACAATTATAAACCAGTCTAACTTGAACTAAGGAAAAAAATGATATACACCAGGGCAATAGTCATAAGCATATATACCACCCCCTAGATTTCTAATCTTCCCATTACAGAGAAATAATCTATCCAAAATTTATCCATCCAAAAAATTTCTTTCATTTAACATTTTGGTTTTTGCAACTAAAATCCTAACTAACTAATAGAAATAGTTGTTGAAACTATTAGAATAACAAATCACTGAGAAAGTATAAACCTTGGAACTCCAAAATAGAAATTGGAAAAAAGAAAAAAAAAATCGAGTTTAAAACAATCAAGTTATCTGATTTCACCTCATATTTTACATTTTTGTTTTGCTGAATTTTCCTGTTACTTTTCCCCACTCTTCCTTCCATTTTCTTAAACTCATACTGTCGTACCCAACAATGTCATGAATTGGTTGGGCTTGGATCCTCCCAATCCGCCTAAGCTGGCCCAAACTATCTCTTTTGGCCCATGAGATATGCAAATGCAGGCTATGGGGTAACCCCATGTGCATGGCCTAAATCTTTGGTTTTTTTTTTGAACAAGTATGATTCTTACACGAGGGAGAATCAATTGGAGATACATGCACTTTACTATTTAGCTAAATAACCAAATGCTCAAACCATTTTTCTTGTAACTAAAAAATGAATTCTGTGTATTATCATCTTCAGGTAATTCTATTTAATATTTTCCAAAGGCTTTTAAGTTTATACTAGAATAAAATTCTTATGTTCATGTTCCCTCTTAATGTTGCTAACTTCTAATGCCATTTTAGTACATTTTTATACTACTAATGAATTAAACTATAATAAGTCACTTGTTTGTTATTGCTTTTGCTACTTGCTTGTTATTATTTAATTTATGCTTTTGAAGCGCTGTAAAACAAAAGTAAAAGGTAAAAATCAATTCATAATTGATTCAAAATGGATAAAGAATTAAAATAAAAAAATGATGATAACAAAATTAATCTAAATAGAAGTAATCATGAGGTTTTTCATCTAAAGAATTTACCTATTTCGTGTATAATTCAAAGTACCATGAGCATACCTAGTTAAAAGTTCATTGGAGATTCAATGCAAGATGCCCCTCCAATTAATGCTAACTCCAAACTTCTTTAACTGAGCTCTAAGACATTCATTTTGAAAAAGAAACATTAAGCAATAGGTTTATTAAGCAGAAAACTAATAAAGAACAGACTAAAGATCAAAATTGAGAGTCAGCAAAATATTAAATAGGTAAAATAGATTGAGATAGATACTTCTCATAAAACTATATGAATACTTGAAGTAGAATTAAGAGGAAAATTTAGTTAAACCGTTTTCCTCTTGCAGAACCTAAGAGTTAGCTCCATCTTATAAAGTAATTAGGTTGTAGCTTACGTGCTACATCCACATGCTATCTTTTATAAAATTTCTAGCTCAATGTATCTAATTCTGAGATGGCTTCATCAACTTGCATAGCAAGGTGAGAGGGCATGGTGTTCAAGTTTACCACGTAATATGGATTCCAAAAAAAAAAATTTTTAAATAGCTCAAATAAGTCATAAATTTACAAAGTATAAACAAAGGTACGAGCAAGTAACAATACATTTTAGGAGAGTTCATAATTCACAATAAAAGACAGAAAAGTTCAAGGCCAAAGGCAACCATATTTAATGTGAGGAGGAAACTCAACTCCTGTGATATCATGAATTATCAACTAACAAAATTTTTGAAATACCATATAATAAAACATATCTTTTCCAATTATGATTTATTACATAATAAAAATGAAAGGTATAATGGCAACAAGATCTGGCAACAAAATATAAAAAAAAAATCCATTAAAGAAACATCAAAACTCAACAACGGGAAGTTCTGGGAAATTTGTTAAAAGACAATATCTTTCTTTTCTGCTTTAAAAAAAGGACATAAGGTAGAACAGAGTGTCATTATATTAAAGATGAGATCTCCAATATCAGAGATGAGGGCCAACCCTTGTTATTAATGAAGCATCCATGTTAAACCAAGAACTATGATTAAGGGAAATCCAAGACAACAAATTGGCCATTTGGAAAGTGTTATAAGGCCATCTTAGGAGTCTATAGCACAATGAGAACAACTTATTATTTTCCAAAAGCCAATAAAAAGGAATCAAACAAATGTATCTACACCCACCATCATAGAACAAAAGCAATCCAAAGCCTTGGGCAAAAGGAGTGACACTGCATTTGCTTTATTACAAGAAAAAGGGAGCGCCGAAAAAAAATATAACACTTTTTTCAACTTCCCCTTCATGTCATTTGGTCCACAAATATCGGGTGAGAAGATATGAAATAAAAAGAAAATATCTCAAACATCTTGTTGACCACCAACAGTTTCACCCAAAAATTAAGAGGCACAAACGGGTGCAAAAATATGCAGGCAGAAGCATGTCATTTTCCTACATTCAGTGTTTCCCCAGCATAATCAAAGGAAAATACAACCAACCAACAGTTCATAAATCAAAGTGTTCATGTAACAATCAACCCTTTCACTTCTCCCGCTACAAGAAAGTCACAAATTTTTACTTTTGGTAGCATCTATGTTCTCGCTTTTAAAAATTATGGGTGGAATTGAAAGACAAAAAGACTTGAACTTTTTTAATTAGTTCCAAACAAGATGGTTTCAGTCTACAGTGATACTCATCGATATTACATAACTTGAAGATATTATCCTTATTTTCTATTAATCTGACACTAAAAAGGTCACTTACAAAGGCATGTAAAAGGAACATAATGATATAAATTAACAACAAAATTGATATAAAATTGAAGAATAATTTGGACGAAAAATGCAAAAGGGAATTACCTTTAATTGCTTGGAATACCTGAAAAAAAATTCTGCAAAAAAGAGATGAAAATTTCTCAAGGAAATATTTTCCCACGAAACAAACAGAGAGGGGAGAAATTGAAGATACCTGATAAAAAAAAAAAGGAAGAAGTCAGGGAAGACGGAGTAGTGGAGAAGGGAGGGCGTCGGCCGGAGGTGTTGAGATAGAAGATAGCGAAGTCACCGGTGTTGGGAGAAGTCAGGGAAGAAAGAGAAAAAAAAAAAAAAGAAAATCAGGAGGGGAAAGGGAGAACGATTTGAGGGGCGGAGCTCGCCAGCGGCACGAGGGCTTAGAGGGGGAATGTTAAGTCGCTGGCGCTGTAGTCGGGCAGCCCCCTTTGGAAAGCAAGTGAAAATTCAAAACACGTCGTTTTGGCTAAACGCTAAATTAGGACCTTTTTTTTTCATTAATTCAGAACTCAAATTAGGACTTCACCCGTGTTACTTTAGTATCAAACCTTTTAATTTGTTCATATCAGGTGAGGTTTTCGAACCCTCTCATCTCATATCGCGTGTCATAGGCGTATCGTTAGATCTTTAACGGTGACAGATCGCCCCCCCCCCCCCCAAAAAAAAAGGGATTATCCGCTTATTTACTTTTTTTTTTTATGAATATCTTCTTTATATTAATAAGAGAAAAAATTATTTTTAAATTATTAAGAGAAAACATTAAAAAACAGAAAAAGAACAAATATATTTTCCAGATAAAGATTCACAAGACCAACCAAACTAGAAGTCGAAAGTCTGGTAACTTGTAATCTGATGAATTCTTATTAGCAAGATTTTATGTTTGTCATATAATTTAAGATGAAAATTCATGAGAAATTGACGAGCACTAACCCTCGTACCCAAATTAAAAACCTACAAACCTCTAAATCACATGCAAACATGACCTCAAGCACCCACCTAATACCCATTTTAAATATTTCATCAAAAAGGGAAATCTTAAAAGAAAAAGAAAAAGTTATGGGTGAGGAAAGAAAGGAAAAAAAAGGTTAATGAACGTTAGCCTTCACGAGGAGATCAGATCGGAGATAAAGCATCAAAACCTGATGAGAGAGAAGGAAAAGACCTTTTACGCTTTTTAAAGTTACAGATTTTTTTAGAGAAAGAAAATAATATTTATTTTTAAGTGTATGGCTTGTCACGCAATTTAATTATGCGTGAGAGACACGCTCCTTGATCTGCAAAAATATGTCCTTGTTTGATAGATTTTGAAATGAAAATATTACGTCCTGATATGAACAAAATAAAAAATTTGATACTGAATTAACATTAAATAAAAGTTAAATGTCCTAATTTAAGCATTTAGCCTTCGTTTTGGCTAAAAAAAAAAAGCAGAAGTTAAAGTGGCAAATGGACATCCAGCTGGAGTTTTTTTCTGTCATTGTCTTTGTCTTGTATGAACACTTAGGAGTTACGTTTTGCATATCCTTAGAGTAGTCATGTTCATATACTTACGAATTCGCTTTTCCAGACCATAAATTCTATTTCAAATAGAATAAAAACACAGATTTTGAATTAAAAATCATGAAAGTCGTACGCCGAGACCTAGTTCCTAATGGCCCTGGCAGCGTCAAGGTAAAAAAAATGTTTTATTTTGAAATTTTGAGCTTTTCTTTTAATGGAAAATTGTTGATTACAGATAATACCGGTGGATTCAGATGATCTCTGGTTTGTTTATAATTTGATAGCTACTGGGGATAGTGTTATGGCTCGAACCGTCAGGTTTTTCCTCAATTTTTTAAAATAAGTAGTTTTTCTTTTATTATTTTGTTGTAATATACTTTATTTTATATAGAATTTAGCTGCTTTGTATGGTTATGGCGTAACTTAGGGTTTTTTAGATTTTTTATGTACTATGTTAATATTTTAATATTTTGTTTCGATGATGAATTATTAGTTATCAATCAGTTATTTGTTAGTTGATGAAAAAAATTCCTTTTTCTCATACTAGTTCATAACCTGTAATTACGGTTGTTTTTTTAGTGTGTAAAATCCGATTAGTTTGATGTTTGTAAGTTTTTTGACACCAGATTTTATTAGTATTTTGGACATTCTATAACAGGAAAGTTCTAAGGGAGACATCTGGTGGAAGAGATGCAGAGCGTGTTACCCTGAAGTTGGAAATAAAAGTTGAGGTATGATCGTTTAAGATTGCCAATTAATAATTGCTCAGTTGTTTGAACTGCCAATATGTTTTAACCGCATGATTGGTTTTTACTTTTGTGGTTAATGATTTAGTTTAAATCTTTCAGACAGGAAAATTTTTTTTTGAAGCTGCTTTGATTTTTGAAGGTCAGTACTGATATTATGTCACATTCCTTTAGGCGATAGAGTATGACAAAGAAGGGTCTGTCTTGCGTATAAGGGGAAAGAACATCTTGGAGAATGAACATGTTAAGGTAGGTGCACCATATAATTTTGTCTGATTTTAGGTCCTGGTTTTTAAATGCGTCATTTTCTTGTTGCAGATAGGAGCATTCCATACTCTAGAACTTGAGCTTCATAGACCTTTTGTATTGAGAAAGGTAGCTATCCTATCAAGAATAATGTATAACAGTGTATCTTTTCTTGTTTGTGCTCTTGTTTTGGGTGCTATATTCATGCTACATAAACATCATATGCTTTTAGGTATCTCTCGCCTAATTCAGTAGGCAAGCTTCTATTGTTGATAGTTATGAATCTTGCTCTAGTTCTTGTTCTTCATTTGTGCACATATCTTTTGTTCTTCTATATAGTTAAAAAATCTTTGATACAGTACAAATGTTACTCATGTTGTTTACTTTTTACATGTTTTGGCCTTTTTAGAAATATGCCATGTTATAGAATTTAAGGAGGTTTGTGACTAGTGAAAGAGGTGTCTCTCCATCTCAGGGTGTATCTGTTAAAAAAGGAGGAAGGGAGATCACCAAGAATTTTTGTAAAAGAATAGCTACCAGAAATAGAAGCACTTATCTTAAAAGTTTAGGTAGACTAAATACATTATGAAGAGCAACTAATGATAACAGTGACACTTCTCAGCTTTGCTATCCATTTTCGTTTGTAGGAGGTGTGCTTGCAAATATATATTCATTTATATGTGATAGCATCTCTATTTTATTTGATTTCTCCTTTGTATTTAGAGATGGCCATTTTGAAGGTGATGTCAGTGAATTTGATACCGTAATTTTGTCTGTCTGGCTTAAGTAGCCTTTGGACATAGATGTCACATAATCAACTATTTCTGAGGGTAGTATCTAGGGGTATTTGGGTACAATAGAGTTAAAAAATAGATGTAGGTTTATAGTTTCAAAAGGTGCTTTTCTAGGATGAAGGGAAAAAGGAAAAAAAGATGAATTCTACAGCAGACTCTAGTCTCAGTCATCTCGTCTAAAACCTGTTAGCAACAGGATTTATGTGGTCTAGGCCTGTGGAGTTTGGCATCTAGTTTACATATGATTGTTGACCTCTCCTTTAAACCTGAGTGTGTGTATGTGTTGTTACTGGTAATTGTTTTCAGAAAGGGTATAGAGGCTTTGTAGCTGTTAAAATTTTCCATTAGACAAATTCATTATCTAATTCAATGAGTAAGGATTTATGCTGCCTTTTTCTGATCATTGTCCCTCAAAGATTTCTGGTTCAACAATGGAAGCTGCCAAACTTGACTATCACCCACTCTTGGACCATAAATAAAGGCCCCTTGTGGACTGCATGTGTACTGAAGGCTATGGAAAATGATTTGAGGTTTAGGGTTATAGGTGCTTGGTATTGAAGAGGCAAATCTGCTGAACTAAATCAAATTCTTAGGGAAACTAATATACCAAAAGAAAGCAAACAAGTAGAGCGAGGAACATAAGCAATCATATCTACTTTTTCATAAGCTATATGTAGGCTACTGCTGTGGTGGTCTTAAGTTTGAAAAGTTTGAAAAGTAAAATAGCTTACTGAAACCCATAGTTAGAAACAAATTAGAACAGGAACATATGCTATCATCTAGTTTTACTCAAGTTACAACCATGCTCTATGCTGCAATAGAAAGCGAGCAAATGTGGAATGTACCATACCCTATAATAGAAAACGTTCAGAAATTTTAATAATGATTCTTGCCTATCCCAAGTGCAACACTAAATACTGACTGCACTTCTAGGTTGTATTCCTCATAGTTGATATTTCTTTTATATCCTTCTGGACAACATTCCACTTTTGGAGTTCATGGACCTGACACATAATGATTACTTAAAATATGTTTATAAATGATATTAGCTGCTTGCTTGGATTATGTTGTTCAGAGCTTTTGGTTTATCTTATTAGTCTAATTCTTGTTATCTATTACTAGTTTTTCAAATCTTATTTCTCCTTAAAGTGTACGGTCTGCTCTCCTCTCTCTCTCTCTCCTCTCTCCTCTAATATTTGATACTCTCACGGACTTGTGGATTTTTCCTTATATGTTTTAGGAAATATGGGACTCATTGGCATTAGATGTACTCCAGCAGGCCTCTGGTATGTAGTCTGACTTTTCAAATTGTCTATATAACTCCACAATGAAAGCATCTGACATTTGTTGTTATCCTTAGAGGTGATTACAGAGTTTCCTCTTTGTTTGATGGCAAATTGCTGAGATCTTGGTTGGGGCTTCTGAGAAGTGTTTTCTAGGGTTGAATGAGGGAAGTTTTAGCTGGTTCATATCTGCACTTTAGGGATAAAGTGTTGATTGGAATAAGAAGGGGGAAGGATCCTTTTAGCTTCACAGCTAAGATTAAAGTGTTCACTATTAGGGTTGTTTGCTGGTTTTGCTTATTCTCTATAAAAAGTGGTGTATCTTACATCGGTTAAATTGGTGGTTTGTTGTGGCCTTATATTTAGGTTTGACTCCTTCATTTAGGGCTCAATGGTTTTACGCTGGGTATTAACATTGTGTTACCATGTCATCACCTAGGTTGGTTGTTGCTTCATTTGTTGTTTCTTAGTTGTTTCTTGTTTCCCTATTTTGTTACTCACATGGTAGGCCATTTGTTTCAGTTGGTAGTCTTTTTTCTACATGTGTGTGCCTTAGAGTTGTTGTCCTGTATCAGTTAAATTTAGGGTTTGTGGTGGCTTTATGGTTATGATTGGGGAGACTCTTGCTAATTTGTTTCTGTTTGGATGCTAATAAAATTTGACATAGTGTAAGACTTGTGCTATAAATACTTATTTTTGTTATTTTTAATTAAAATTGAATTTAGGAAATTGAAATTTGAGCATACTCTCACTAATTGTTCTCTACTTTGGCCTTCATTTCCTCCCATTCTCTCTTCGTCTTTTTTTCTCACTTTTCTCTAATCTTTTCTTGTTTCTGCCTCATTTATTTTTGTTTTACTATTCACATCATTAAACATAGATTTTTGTTGTATCGATACTGAATATTGTTGAAGGAGATGATTATGAGGTGATGCATGACATATTCAGTGTCCATTTATAGGATGAAGGGTATATTGTCCTGGATAGGTTATATAGGCAGCTACCATAATTACTTTGTCTTTTCTTATGACTTAAATTATATTCATGTCTGTGCATAGGCATCTAGTGAATATTATATAGATGCTTTTTTATACTTAAGGATTCTAGTGTTTTATGTTATGGCTGTGATGAAGGTGAATAATTTTGGTGACAAAAAATTGCGATCGAAGATTGAATTTAGTCCTACTATCTCAGCTTGGCAGTTTTAATCCTTCTACACAAATTTTAATGAATTTAGTTCCTGCAATTTTAATAAAAGTCGATTTTAGGATAATTGATAACATTATTAAAATTTTAAACTTTAACTTGGCTGATGTGGCATTTTAATGATGACGTGACATTCAAAGGCAGAGCAAATTTTTGGCTACATGGCACATATCAGTCTAAAAAACATCACATTCTATTTTAATTAAATAATAATTAATATTTTAAAATTAAAAAAATATATTTTTATTAAAATATTTTTTGGTACTAATGTGCACCACATGATCAAAAAAAGTTCAGGTTGGCATGTCATGTAATCAGCAAAAAGCCACATGGCCTAATTTAACTGTAAAGCTTTAACACTGTATTCAATTGTTCTTAAATTACATTTTAATAAAAGTATAGGGATTAAATCTATTAAAATTCAGGTAGAGAGACTAAAATCACAGAATTGAAATAGTGGAGGGACCAAATTCAGAATTTAACCAAAAAATGTTAAATGATAGCATTCCTATGTTTGTTTGTCTATCTGTCTCTCTCTTCTAAATCATTATTAAGGGTTTGATATTTCTCTTCATCCTCCTTTGGTATCTTCTCTTTCTCTTAAAATATAGTTTTGTCCTCCTGTATCTTCATTTTGCTCTGTAATTCGTTGTTTGTGTCTTAACTTGATTAATGCTAATGAGGTTGCATCATTTTTGTTTTTGAAAGGTTTTTAACAAGTATGATTTTACTTTTTAACTAATGCCTAGCATATTTCAGATCCTGGTGCAAGTGCTGATCTGGCTGTGGTATTAATGCAAGAAGGGCTAGCAAATATTTTGCTTGTTGGTAAAAGGTATGTGTGACAAACTTGGAGTATGAATTTAGTAACTCTATTTTAGGTGATTGGTAAAGTGATTGTTATAAAGTTTGGAAATCGCCCTTTAGTTTGTGACATCTGTTATAGTGTAATGTTAAAAAAATCATTACAAAAGGGGTTTGACATCCGTGGGATCGCCTTGTGGTGTTTCAGTTGTTTACTGATGAGGATGCTAAAGTAATTAGTATCCATAAGCAAATGAAATTTTGTGGGCTGTGGGATGGAAGAGTTAGAATATCATTTAATCAGTTCTAATCCCACTTGTTTATTTAATGCTTGTTGTACTTGCTTTGAAAATTATAAATCATGTGGAGATGCCGAATGACATTTGCTATAGCAAAGAATAATTCCAATAGGTTTGGACTCAATGAATGATTATGGGCCAAAACCAGAGAAAACAATTACATGTGCATGGCTGCTTTGGATGCGCTTTTGTGCCAGAATCACTTGTGTGCATTCTGCATTTGTTTTCTGTGCTGGAATGAAATATTTTATGTTTAGCGGTTCTGAACTTTGATGTACCATTAGCATTTATTGATAGGTAACGTTACCTTCGAAAATTAGTTGTACGTGCATAAAATAATGCAACCAAAGAAGCAATAATAGCTGAAGGAGAGACTATAAAAAATCCCAAATTCAAGTGGGATTAAGATTGATTTTATAATTAATTTTAAGCCACTGTGACTGCTCACAACCACCAAAATATTGAAAGAAAAACGTTTAGCTTTCATTAAACTTTCCATTATGGCTGTGGAGCCTACAATCCTCAAAATTAATGAACTTTTGAAACTTCGAAGGTGAAAACCCCAAAACATGGAACAACTATAATATGTCACTCTCTGCTGTCCTTGTCCAGAAACAAATTCTTGGAAAGAGAAAAGTGACTTAGGAAACTCTGGAAATCGGGGGATTTTCCTTTCTTGGTGATAAAAGCGTTATAGAACAGAAATAGTGGGCAAGTTGGGCAAGATGCTGGTTTGATTGCCAATTGCAAGATCACTTGATTTTGTCTTGGTTGAAGTCTTTTGCCTAAACAAGTCGAAATTGAAATAGGTGTTTCATTTACAGTTCTTGAAAAGCTGGAATTGTTCAGCACTTGCCAGTTTAAACAAAAAATCAACAACTTTGCTCTTGATAATTGAAAAATAACTTTCTAGCTGTAGAAACATAGAATATCTGGCATTTATTTTTTGGCTATTTTAGAGGATCTGGGCTGGTTAGAGAAGTCATTTGAGGAGAAGTAACACCAGTTTCTCTTCAGGTTTGTAGTAGTGTGGAATTGACAACAGTTTAAATGCCTCTGTTTAGCATTACTTCCTAGAAAGACGGGGTCATTAGGTATTTTTGTCTTCTTAAATTTTTGTTAAGCATCAATGTACAATTGTCGGCAAAATCTTTTGGGGTAAGGGTTGAAGAATGTTGGGAGCAAGTGATGAGTCCTTGCTGGAAGTATAATTTATTGGTTGCAAGGTTTTGTTTCCTTTTATTCTTTTATTCTTTTTGTGAAAATGAAATCATTGGTTGCAGATTTAGGAAGTACATGAACCTTCATTTTGAATCATCCATTTCAAAGTCTTATTCATGGGAATATACTATTACACATTGTCTCCTTGATCCAAGTCCTGTCTGCTACTTACATATTTGACTTTCAAATGTTAACTTATTTAGCATGTAATGGTATCCAAGATTTATACTTAAGTATTATTATTATGGCATATACAACAGTATGACGAGTACTCGTTCACGGATTGAAACTTCAATTCCTCGCAAGTATGGACCTGCCATTGCTGGTTATGAGTCAGTACGTATTTCTTTTTTTATTATTCTTTTTAAATTTGGAATTTATTTCTGATTTAGAAAGCCATTTTCCTTTGAATTTTGAGAGCTTATAATGAGAATCAGGTTCTGTTCTCTACTTTGTTAATTTGTGTAATTGGTGATTTCTTTTTTGACATTCTACAGGCTTTGAAGAAGTTCTTTGAGAATGTTCTACAGGTCTGCTATACTTGAGATGTAATATCACTGCTTTATTAGATATTAAGTGACTTTATGTGGCTCCTAAGTGGTTTTGTGAATCTGTTATAGGCTTTCCTCAAACATGTTGACTTCAATGTTGTTCGCTGTGCTGTTATTGCAAGTCCTGGTTTCACAAAGGTCTGGGACAAAACCTTGTAATTTTATTTTCATTTCTGATTGCCTTGCTTCTATGAATATTTTAGTTTTCCTAAGACAGCAATTCATGGAAATAGAAGTTTGTAGCATTCATCTTTTTACGCAACGTTTTAATTTGGCTTTGTTATCATTGTTATTGCTTTGATCTGTTTCAGGACCAGTTTCATCATCATCTTTTGTTGGAGGCAGAAAGAAGACAACTGAGACCAATTATTGAGAATAAGTCACGAATAATTCTTGTTCACACAAGCTCTGGATACAAGTATGTTTGCTTTCCGCTTCACTTTTTACTCTGCTAGCTGTAATGCACCAAGTAAATTTGCCTCTCATCTGAAGGACCATGCATCTTGGGGCTCGATGTTGATACAGCTAACAGTTCCACTAGTTTGGGATGTCTATATTCTTTATCTTGAGAATTTCCTTGGAGTATGTTCTTAGTGGACCTCAATGTCTTCTTTGGTTTCCTGCCTGCTTACATTGCATAGAGTAACTACTTTACAAAATGTGGCATTAGAATATGCTGGTCTACACATTAAGAACACTGTGCACCTGCTTTCTGATAAGTAATAAGTTATGGGGATTCTGAAATGCTTTCATCCGGTTAAAAGATTCTAAAAGTTGATGTGGCTTCTTTTTTCTTATCTATATTTCTCTGTGAATTGGATGCAGCGATAATTTTTCTAACTGATGATATTTCATTTTGGAGCTCTAGTACAAATATGGATGTAACTTGACTACATTTTTTGATACAGGCATAGTTTGAGAGAAGTGTTGGATGCCCCAAATGTCATGAACATGATAAAAAACACCAAAGCAGCCCAAGAGGTATTGTAGAAACCATACTTGGCTAAGAATTTTACTTTTACTTAGTGATTGTTTCCTGTTTTACTTATGTCTTTTAACTACAGTTTTTTATTCTCCATTTCTCCAATTTTACCAGGTCCGGGCTCTCAAGGATTTCTTTAGCATGCTTTCAAATGTGAGGTTCTAATTTAAAGATGCATGGGGTGTGGGTGTGTGTGTGTTTCCACAGTAATTTTTGGTTATATGCTGTGGTTAGAATGACTTAATGATACTGTGATTTATGTTAATTTATATTTTTGGGCTTTAATAGAATGTAAGTCAAAATGTGGTTTATCTTTTAATATATGGTGAAATTGAAGGTTGGTTATGAAGCAGAGCCAGATAGCAGTGATTAGATTGGCCCAATGATAGGCTGTGAGTTAATTTGTGGTTTTGGCCTCTTGATGGCAATTAAGCAGCTGCAAGTTAATGAACTGGCTGCTGGAAGTTCAGACAACAACCAATAGATAATTGTGATAAATAGAATGTTTTTCGTTGATAATTAGAATTTAATAATAGGTATTTTATTAGGCATTAAAAAGTTACAAATGAAAGGATAAGATATTGGATGGAAATTCAGCATGAACTAGTCATAATGGATGTTCAGGGTGTCAATAGTAGTTACCAAATCTCTCTCAAAGATACACATGCATGTGTCACGGGTCGAGACTCAAGCTCCGTACCCGCGCGGCTCCGGGACCCGGGCATTCAGCCTTCCGGCGTCCCAGATCAGCCTTCCTGCCACGGTTCACACCCTTGTGAGGTATTGTCCGCTCTGGCCCCCTTGGCCTCACGGTTTTGTCCTACAAAAGGCGCCTCACAAGGCGGAGATGGTGTGAACCCTTTTATACCCCAGTGACCTTCCTATTATGTTCGATGTGGGATTCAGGACTCCCCCTTAGGTCCGTGACATTCTCCCGCACCCAACCTCGTGACGCCCTCGTCACGGAGGCCGGCCACCCTGCCTACCTCCCTCGAGGCACTCGGCGTGGATCGAACGGTTTAGGGCTGGCTCTGATACCACTTGTCACGGGTCGAGACTCAGCTCCGAACCCGTGCGCGGACTCCGGGACCCGGGCATTCACCTTTCCGGCGTCCCCGAATCAGCCTAACCGCCACGATTCACACGGCCTTGTGAGGTATTGTCGCGCTCTGGCCCCCTGGCCTCCTACGGTTTTGGCCTACAAAAAGCTCTCACAAGGCAGAGATGGTGTGAACTCCTTTATACCCCAGGGACCTTCCTATTTATGTTCGATGTGGGATTCAGGACTCCCCTTAGGTCCGTGACATTCCTTGTCACGGGTCGAACTCAAGCTCCGACCCGCGCGGCTCCGGGACCCGGGCATTCCCCTTCCGTGCGTCCCCAGATCAGCCTGACCCCACAGTTCACACCCTTGTGGGTATTGTCCGCTCTGGCCCCCCTGGCCTCACGGTTTTGTCCTACAAAAGGCGCCTCACAAGACGGAGATGGTGTGAATCCTTTTATACCCCAAGGACCTTCCTATTATGTTCGATGTGAGATTCAGGACTCCCCCTTAGGTCCGTGACATTTTCCCGCACCCAACCTCGTGACGCCCTCGTCACGGAGGCTGACCACCCTGCCTGCCTCCCTTGAGGTGCTCGGCGTGGATTGAACAGTATAGGGCTGGCTCTGATATCACTTGTCACGAGTCGAGACTCAAGCTCCGAACCCGCGCGGCTCCGGGACCCGGGCATTCACCCTTCCGGCGTCCCAGATCAGCCTTCTCGCCACGGTTCACACCCTTGTGAGGTATTGTCCGCTCTGGTCCCCTTGCCTCACGGTTTTGTCCTACAAAAGGCGTCTCACAAGGCGGAGATGGTGTGAACCCTTTTATACCCCAGTGACCTTCCTATTATGTTCGATGTGGGATTCAGGACTCCCCCTTAGGTCCGTGACATTCTCCCGCACCCAACCTCATGACGCTCTCGTCACGGAGGCCGGCCACCCTGCCTACCTCCCTCGAGGTGCTCGGCGTGGATCGAACGGTTTAGGGCTGGCTCTGATACCACTTGTCACGGGTCGAGACTCAAGCTCCGAACCCGCGCGGCTCCGGGACCCGGGCATTCACCTTTCCGGCATCCCAGATCAGCCTTCTCGCCACGGTTCACACCCTTGTGAGGTATTGTCCGCTCTAGCCCCCCTGGCCTCACGGTTTTGTCCTACAAAAGGCGCCTCACAAGGCGGAGATGGTGTGAACCCTTTTATACCCCAGTGACCTTCTTATTATGTTCGATGTGGGATTCAGGACTCCCCCTTAGGTCCGTGACATTCTCCCGCACCCAACCTCGTGACGCCCTCGTCACGGAGGCCGGCCACCCTGCCTACCTCCCTCGAGGCGCCTCACAAGGGTATCAGAGCCAGCCCTAAACCGTTCGATCCACGCCGAGCGCCTCGAGGGAGGTAGGCAGGGTGGCCGGCCTCCGTGACGAGGGCGTCACGAGGTTGGGTGCGGGAGAATGTCACGGACCTAAGGGGGAGTCCTGAATCCTACATCGAACATAATAGGAAGGTCACTGGGGTATAAAAGGGTTCACACCATCTCCGCCTTGTGAGGCGCCTTTTGTCGGACAATACAGTGAGGCCAGGGGGGCCAGAGCGGACAATACCTCACAAGGGTGTGAACTGTGGCGGTCAGGCTGATCTGGGACGCCGGAAGGGTGAATGCCCGGGTCCCGGAGCCGCGCGGGTTCGGAGCTTGAGTCTCGACCCGTGACAAGTGGTATCAGAGCCAGCCCTAAACCGTTCGATCCACGCCAAGCACCTTGAGGGAGGTAGGCAGGGTGGCCAGCCTCCGTGACGAGGGCGTCACGAGGTTGGGTGCGGGAGAATGTCACGGACCTAAGGGGGAGTCCTGAATCCCACATCGAACATAATAGGAAGGTCACTGGGGTATAAAAGGGTTCACACCTTCTCCGCCTTGTGAGGCGCCTTTTGTAGGACAAAACAGTGAGGCCAGGGGGGCCAGAGCGGACAATACCTCACAAGGGTGTGAACCGTGGCGAGAAGGCTGATCTGGGACGCCGGAAAGGTGAATGCCCGGGTCCCGGAGCCGCGCGGGTTCGGAGCTTGAGTCTCGACCCGTGACACATGCACATGGATGCAGATGTATGGAACTTAATGTCTATGTCCATATAAATTAGGTGAGAAAGAGGTTGAGGGAACTGGGATGTGCTGGCCTGATAAACAATGGCATTGCTTTTCTTAAAACTTAGTTTTCTTCTTTTTGGCTATGTTCTTGTGTTATAATTGGTTCAGTTTTATCATAAAGGATCCAGCTCGTGCATGCTATGGACCAAAACATGTAGAGATTGCCCATGAACGAATGGCAGTTCAAACACTTCTTATTACAGACGATCTCTTCAGGTTTGTATCATATGATCAGCTCAATACATCTGGATAGTCCTTTAGATTAAATGAGATGCAGTAGCACATAATTATATTGTCATTTCATGCAGTTGTTCTGCCAATGCTCACTCTTTCTATGTCCATGCATAGACTATTGTCAGTTTTTTGTGTTGAAAGTTTCTCGATTCAAGGCTTGTGATGATTTAGTTTATTTGTTCTTATTGACTTGGCATTCAGGAATTCTGATGTAGTTACAAGGCAAAAGTACGTGAATTTGGTGAACTCAGTTAAGGATTCAGGGGGCACAGCTTACATTTTTTCGTCTATGCATGTATCAGGGGAACGTGAGTACTAGTTTGCTGCTTCTGGTCTTTAGTTTCATTATATTCTGAAGTCACCTCACTTGTTTTTGCATCATATACAGAATTGGCACAGCTGACTGGTATTGCAGCAATCCTTCGTTTCCCTCTTCCAGATCTGGAAGACATTGAGATGTAAGGGACGATGTTGTGCATAAGCAAATGGCGTTCACATCTTTTTCTGGCATCAAGAGTTTCATATATTTTAATTTTCCATACTCAAGTCTCTTGGATGCCTGAAGTGAAAGGGTGGGCAAAATCGCTCCACAATATAGCAATTTGTGCCATACTCATATTTCTCCCTTCTCTTTTTTCGGGTTTTATTTATGATGTATTATCTGTATCATATTCCGACCCAGTGATATTGTCAATAGACTCAAAAAGTATTATTCATAAATTATTTAATTCTAAAATTTTCTCCATATTCCTTCTATATTTTGCTTTAATGGATATGGTCAAGTTGCTCTCAGAGTGATGTGATAAGAACTAGAAGAGTTGATGCAATTCATTTTTCTCTCTCGTGCGTTTTATGAAACCCATCTATTTCATATTTTGGACCTTGGCTCCACGGAACAATATGCTCCTGTTGAATCATGGAAGGATTGAAATTTTAGATCAAAACTCTATGGATGATATGAACTGTCATAAACTTCTTGAACAATGAATGACAAGAGCTACATCAAATAATTTCATTAGTGAAAGATGTAACTCCATTGGATCATATTACTTAAAGATATGGACGCTGCAAACATAGAACTTAGCAAGAAAGATTGAAAAACCATTAGAACAGACTGGAAACTTTAAAATTATGAAAAACCATTAGAATTGAAATTATTTAATTGAATAGAAATCCAATCCATTATTCTGGCGACCACATCTTTGGACTCCTTCAGCAAGCTGATGATCCTCTTAAGCTTTTCACGCTTAGCAGCAACAACCGGTGATTCCTCCAGAATCCGCTAATTTCCACCACCATTAGGACCAATCAACTGGTTTACAATTTCCTTTTCCATTTCCTTGTTTACCAGGTTTTGCACACCGAACAGCAAATGAAGGGCCATGCAATCGACTACCCTTCTCAACACGGTCTTCCAGTAAGCTTCCATTCTCATTTTGAGGTCAAATGCCTGGTTAATGACATGTTGATATTGCCTGAGGTCTTCAACCTCAACCTCTCCAAAATCACCAAGTATAACTTTTCCAGGCTTTGATTCAGAGAATACCTCATTGACGAAGTAGAGACATCAGCTTATTCCATTCTGATGTGTACTCCGGATTACATTTGTAGTCCGTCAGCTTCTCCATTTCAATAATCTCCATTACCCTAATGAATGATTGGTCTTTCATTTTGGATATCAGATTATGAACTGCACTTCTAGTAGATGACTGAAGATGCGGATAGTTACCCGAATGATGCATCAACACATCCAGAACAACTTCCTCCAAATAATCCCATACCTCTCCCATGAATACTGCAGACTACCGGAAATCCCCTTTACTTTGCGCTGAAAGATAGTGAGAAATACAGATCGGGGAATAAAATTTGGCAGCCCGATCCCCTTGGTTTCCTCCAATACTCTTCTTTCATCCATCAAAATTTTAGCTGGTGATGAGTTACTGTGGAAGCTCTTCTGAAGTTCATCAGAGAAGTGGTTGAGCATTTCAGCTAACCTTGCTGTGCAATGCATCTGTTTCTCACCTGGATATTCATCAAATTCTCCTCTAAGAAGAATTTTTCTCAGCGACTCTTTGGCTGCACCAATAATCTGCAAAAATGCTGTCAATGCCTCTGCAGTGGATGACAATGACCTGGGCATTTTGTTTAGTTCTGTGATGTTATAATTCAACTTTTCACTAATTTTTTGAACAGTCTCAGGCAAGCACTTTGCTATAATTGAAGCTTGAATTCGCACAAGATTCTGAGCCAAAACAGGAATTCCCACAATAGACTTATCGATCTTAGATAAGAGAGGATTGGATTGAAATAGTCTTGATTCTTCCTGTCGTGCTTCCTTATAAGATTCATCACCAATAGGATTCCTCTCACAAGCATAGCCGAGGACTATGTTAACATCATCAGCATTAACTTTCTCGAGCAACCCTTCGGGTGCTCTATCAGATTTAGTTGCCACTGCGAGTGTAGATCTCCAGTCTTGTCTACTTGCCTTGACATCCTGATTGATTCACATGTTAAGAAATCAACGGATGCAGATAACACAATGAGGATAATGCTTTCCTCAGGCTTGATATATTCCAAGATGATATCCCTAATCTGCTCATTGATATTTTCTGGCTGCCCATGAACTGGGACTCTAGTTCCTTTTTGATAACCAAAGTCAAAGGATTGTTTGAGATTCCTTTACCCAGGCCTGCAATTTCATCTGTGGCTATCAGTCTGTCACTATTGCTTTGGCAATGTTGTTTTCATCCGTAGAAACAATTTTGTCATTAAACTCCAAGAAAATCTCTGGCACAGAAGTATGATTTTGCACCCTCATAATGAGGGGCACACGGGTACGTGTGCCCTGGCCCCGGGGGGAGGTTAATGCCTGCAAGTGATTCAAGAACACTTGACTTGCCAGAAGACCGATCTCCTACAACAACAATGGTGGGGAGCTGAATCCCTTCTTTCATTACCAGGAGGTTCCTGAGCCTGTCAACGACGTCTAGTAGGGGGCGAATCCGATCATTGTAAGATGATACAATAGGCGCACTGATTGCTTCAACTGGTTGTGCAGGTAGCAGTGAAAGTGAGTCATGGTGATCAGTATTATCCATGTCTCTTACAATTAAGGCCCTACCAGATTTGCTCTTTCCAGAAGAACCCTTTGCCCTTATCATTTCTTTAGAGCGAATGAATCAAAGAGAAAGAAACAAAACATCAAGTGTTTTATGTTTGAAGAAACTAAAAGAATTGTGATGTATTTATAAAGATGGAATTTAGTACATTCTAGTAGAAAAGGGAGATGAAAATGCATTGAGGACGTTTGGTTGTTCCAGGAGCCAAAACCAAGTTGATGAACACGATACCAAAAGTGTAAGATTCATTGAAGCACAAATTAACACTTTTAATTAATTATTGTCAGAATTATCCAAAAAGAAAGTGTCCTTGGAAATGGCCAAATTTCTGGAAAAAAAAATTAAGTGGCGATTGGAGTTTTTCATTGTTGAGCCAATACTGAATTTAATATCAACGCTGTGCATACAAACAATGAGCTGAAGACATAAAATCTAAGATACTTTCATACCTAAACAAAACTTGAATAATATTAATTATTTATTTATTTTAAATCTTAAGTAATATTTTCGATAGTAATATTTATTTATGGTATAAAACACAAATTAAGTGAAGTTAATATATTTTTTTAACTAATACAAAAATATTTAATGGAAACTAAAATCAAATAATTTATTTCATTATAAAAATAATATTATTTTTATTTTTAGTTTTACATGTCTTTTTAAGCTTTCTCTGGCAAAAAACTGAAGATTTAATTAATTTTTATATTAAATATAATATCCGATTTTCATGTAAATTTGACATAAATATAATTAAAAAAACTCCTTATGACATTTTTTTTTTATTTTCATTCTCCGATCAATCATATTTACAGTACTGAAAATTCATGAATCATACTTTCCTAGACAGCAATTTTCGCAATAATTTTCAAATAGTTTTGTTGGTAAAAAATTAGTTACCTTTTCTTTTTTGTAAACAAAAAAAAAAAAAAAAAAAAACCTCAACTCAAAATTTCCTTACCCTAAAACGATACTAAAATTTTAAATTCAGTACACTTATTCCCTCTTGCACAAAAAAAAAAAAAAGGCCTTTCTAGGGTTTACGTTGAGTTTTCTAAAACCCTTCGCGATTGGGGCTTTTCCTTTCACTTGCAAACGGGCAATGGCGACTTCCAAGATCTTACTTTCCCACCTGCGTCGTTCCAGTCCTCTTTCCACTCCTTTTCTTGTGCGTGTCTCTCACCTCCCTTACTACCCTGCACCTCAATCTCAGCCCAACCTGCCGCCTCGCGTCACCCCAATCGCCCCCTCCATTTCTCGCTCCTTCTTCACTTCGCCCAACAACTATGAAGAAAATATCCTTCCGGTTCGTGCAATCGTTTCATTGCTCGATGGTTACCATAATCTCACTGGTTTCCCTTGGTAAGTCAATTTCGTCTCTCTTGTTTGTTGCAGAGAATATGAAGGAAAATGAAAAAATTTTGAAAATTTGCATTTACAGAAAAACAGAAGTTGTGAATAATGTTTGCAGGTGGATAACTATTGTAACTTCCACTGTGGCTATGAGATTTGCATTGTTGCCATCAGTTGTTATTCATCTTCAGAAGATGAAAAGGATTGGAGAGTTAGCTCCTAAATGTAAGTTTCTTTTAACACTATTTTGAATGTGAAGCATTCCTTTGACAACTCAACTGAGTACCTTAATGTTCTCATTTTAACTGATAGATGCATGTTGATCTTGTCTGACTCATGTATTTTAATTGGTACTTGAACTATTGGCAACATTTGGGGAGATTTCTTCTAAGTACTTTTCACTATAGTGTTATGTTCTGTTTCCTTTTTTTTTTTTCAGATTTTAGAGTGTGATTTCACATTTGGCTTGAATCTTTTAGCTTTATGTCATATATATATTCCTTTTGCGTGGCTCTTTATTTCTACCTTTTACTGATAATAAAATGAACTCAATCCTGGAACCAGTTAAGCCGAAAATAAGTGAATACCTTAGTGCAACCAATTGAAAGTAATAGGTATTTTTCCTACATTGCATGGCACTTGGGATTTTGTCTGGTTGTCATCTTTGCAGATTCATTCCTTTGTAACACATTATTTTGCATTGTTGTTCCAACAAATATGCACATACGGACCCCAGTGTGCATTCTTATTCAGTTTGCTTAAATGTTCCATTTTTGAATTTTTTGACACAAAATTGTAAGGAAACTCATGTTTATCTGTTCTTTGGAATTTTGCAAAGAGATCCTTTTTCTTTTCCTTGTTGTTTCAGTGTTTAACTTACGGTTGACTTTGATGTATTTCTCATAGTGCCTTCTCCATTTCCACCACCTATGTCAGGAAGAAGTTATAAAGACCATTTTATACATTTTCGAAAGGAAAGAAAGGCAATTGGATGCCCCTCTTTTTTATGGTTTCTTGCTCCCTTCTTAACTCAGGTAATTCTCCCTTGCAGTCCAAGGATCATTTTCTTTTTTTCGATTAATGTCGTTTGACCTATGCAATGCCCGATTTGTATAATCTAATATAACATTTTAAATTTTAAGGAAAACATCTTGTTTTGTAAGTAGAGTTACTCAACATATTTGCAAATGCAAGATAAATATCCGCAGAATAAAGGCCAAAATCAAGAGTGACTTCATAGATTGCAGGAAAATTTTGGCATCAATAGTTACAAACATGGATTAAAAATGTGTTATTCAAAATTGAGGTATTCAATATTATCTTAGTTTGACCTAACTATTCTGTGCTTGAATCATATGACCTTACATCTATTAATATTAATTTCGGTGCACGTTCCAAGAATAAGACCCTTGCAAATGAGGGCTGTGGTCATGTTGCTTGTCAAGGATATCAGGGATTGATATATTATAGTGAGTACTTCCTAATTATAATGAGCTTTATTTTGGGTTTGAAAATGAATAGAAAATCATCTAATCTTCTAATAGTGAACAAAATTGAATAGTGTAAAATCAAGTACCTATTGCCAAGTGATAAATATAGGTACTTTGAGAATAAATAGTTTCATGACATGAGATACTGTAATTGGGTAGGTTGAAATAAAATAATACTGATGAGTTTTTAACTATCCAGACTAGTAGAACTCTAATGCAAATAATCTCTCTCTTCTGAAACTCTAAAAGAATGTTTTACATGGTTCTGATTAAAATATATTTCAATTATCTCACTTGCAGTGCCTTTTAATTTGTCAGGTCCCATGCCTTTTCTTATGGGTGACTAGCATTCGCAGAATGTCATTGGATAATCATCCTGGGTTTGATAGCGTAAGTTGTTGGCTTGGGTGCTTATTCATATTGGAACTAATTATATATTTTTATAAATATAAATGTTTGAAAACCTCACCCATGACAGGAGTTAAACTTTTTTTGGAATTTTCTAGTTTTTGAAATTTTTTGTATCATTTAACTGTTATTTTGTTATTTTTGGAGTAGAATTGAATTCTTGGAAATATTTGTCTATTAGTTGTCAATCATGCTTCTTATTGCTCTGTCCCTAGAAATGACAGACACAATCTGTTTTTACATGCATTGCATCATATTAGACAAATTATGCATGCTGGATAAATATTCAATTGCACTTCCAAATTCATTCTTAACAATAGTGCCTGAAATAGTGTCTAATGTGTTGATGAGTTGTTAATAGACAAGTCAAAACTGAGAATCTAAACAATTGTCCAGTTAGTTTTTCCCTTTTTGCTTTGCTAGCAGCATGCTTAAGCAATGAAAAAGAAGGGTTTTACATGAATTAAAATATTTTTAGCTTTGTATCTCTTCACTTTTATCACTATGCTATTGATAAATATGGCTGTACTGTTGAAGATAAAATTAACTAAGTTTAGTTGGACAAATAAATACTTACAAATTGTAGTTTAAAGTTTCTGTTAGTCATTTGACTATCTAATGAAGAGTTTGCTAGTTTTTCTATATTGGTCATATATAATTATACTCACAGAAATATGAAGAATGTATGCTTTAGAATGATTTTGAAGTTTGCTTGGACTGTAACCGTTTGCTGTTGGGTATGATTCTTTAAAATAAGTGTACTTTTTTATTTTAAATATTAATTCTTGGACTACATGCATTTTAGATGGTTGTATTTTTAAATTGCTTCTCATTGTATTTTCCAATCATTGCAACCAGAACTGCACAGCTCATGCTGTTCTCCATTGTTTCTTTTCAAATGATTACAGTATGTTTACATTTATCAAGATGGTCCATCAGTCACATATTTGTGTTTCAAGTGTAGATTTTCCTTGTCTATTGTATTGACATTCACTTGGACTTGGTCTCTATCTAGCTCTGTTTTGGATGGAAGCTTAACCTATTCTTACTTGCCTTATTCTAGAAATATCTTTCTATAAATTGACTAAAGACGTTTAAAAAACAGAAGGAACCTTTAATCCTTTGTTTATGTTGCTGCATTGATAATTTGGTTGAACCTGAGAGTTTTGTTTATCTGGTACCTGTAAAATGTATGGTAGGGTGTTGAATGTTTGGCCATAGTGGCTCTTTCTAATTGCTTATCGCATTTTATGGACTTTTATTTTTTAATAATTGCATTGAGCTGCTCAAAAGTTGAAATTCTGACATGATTAATTCCAGGGTGGTGCATTATGGTTCCAGAATTTAACTGAACTTCCTCACGGTGTTTTAGGCCTCATATTTCCATTTCTGATTGCTAGTTTGTACTACATCAATGTTCAGGTACAATAATCTTCACCGTCTCTGTTGACATCTTGTAAACTTCTATTTCTAATACAGGAAGCCGAATCCACGATTTACCCAATAATGAAATGTTAAAATTTAATTTATTCAAGTTATTGAACCATTACATGTGTTAGGTAAGTACTGGTTGCATTCAAATTAGGATAGTTGATCAAGGGTTAACAGAAACAATTCTTAAGGTCATCCTTTTGGTTACTTACTTTGGCTCCCCTATTTTGCATTATTGTTGCACCAACTCCCCTATATGAATATTTTACTACAAGCGATCTAGTTGAACTTAGCCGGTTTGCTGTTGATTTCTATTCATTCTGGCTCCCCTATTTTGCATTATTGTTTCACCAACTCCCCTATATGAATATTTTACCACAAGCGATCTAGTTGAACTTACCCGGTTTGCTGTTGATTTCTATTCATTCAAGTAAGTAGTAACTAGCTTCATGACTTACCAATGGTTTTGATGACTTTTTATGCAGTTTAAGCCAATAATACTTTGTTATCTTGATGATTATATGTTACAAGCAAATATCAACTGTCTTGCTCCCCCTACTTTTTGATACTTTCTTTAATATGTACGGAACACCCTTGGTTAGATCCTAATTCTATTATGTGAATAACATAATATCATGTCAGTTAGGTTCTGAATCTTTATATCATAACTAGTTTTAAGCCCATGCAGTGCACGGGTATACAATTATATATAAAAAAAATTAATTGTAATATAACTAATAATCTTTATACAAAAATAAAAATTTTGATGTAAAATAAGTAAAAAATAAATATTTGAGATGAATATGTAACTAAAATAAAATTTTAAGAAGATTTTGTAATAAAATTATTTACCATATTTACATGGAGATATGTATTAAGTACCATAATATTATAAAGTTTATAAAGATAATAAGTCATAATCCCAACTTTATTTAAAACTTTTTTTTGGTAAGTATATTCTTTTACCTCTTATATATAAAGAATGCATTATGACCAAAATCTAATAATTTTGATCTCCAAAAAACTCTCAAATCTATAAAAGCGTGAACCGTACATTGATTGTATATTTGTATTATTTTAATGAAAAAGAAATTAAATCAATAAAAGACAATTAAGTAATAGATCAAGTTTTGGACAATGCCATGTTAAAAACCAATAAAGTAGCAATAAATGCAATTCAAGCTAATTAAACCAAGAAAGAAATAGAAACTAATCAAGAAAAGAAAAGCAGAATATATAATTGTAATATTAATCAAGACAAATTTGAACAGAAATGATAGTTAATTTAACAATTTTGATCCCTTTTGTAATCAAAATGAAAACATTTATATTATTAAATGCGACCATGATCAATGTGATCATGATTTTAATTCCCTCATAATGGAGAGTGATTTATTAGTAACTATTTTTGAAATCACAAAGGCAAATTATAAACATTATGGGATACGGATTTTTGATATGTTGAATTTGATTTCATCCCATGCATCTTATCAATTGATTTATACCAAATGAATTGTTTATTTTTTAGCACACCACATAATTAAGATTGAGCGGGAAATTAGCAACCAACATACTTGGTTGGGATCACTTTCAAACCTTATTTCTAGATTCATGCTTCTTGATATTAATGAAAGTTACCTTTTTTTTCATAAAAAAATTGAGTGAATAAAAGTGACATAATACCAACTACCAAATGTGATAAAAGGAAAACATCTATGAACACAAAAAAAAAAAAAAAACTTGGTGATCAATATTAAGCATTGTTGTTCGCATAATGAATAGTAACTGAGAAACTAAAAGAATAACATAACTTGACAAAAATACAATAATGAAAAAAAATCAAAATAAAAATAATTCATTGTTATAAAAAATTAATATAATTGTATAGCAAAATTTTACCTAATCACTAATTGATACATTTGGATATCTTCCTAACACTCTTAGCTGACATGATTTTCTATTTATAATAAGAATTATAAAGCCTATGCAAAGTAATTATAATAGGTTATTACAGAATATATTTTGAAATAGTAAATTATGTTAGTAAATATGTGTGATTGTAATTAATATGTTTGCAATTATAAAGAAAGAATTATAAAAAATATATTTGCAATTAATTAGGCCTTTTATTTTAAGTTTGAATTCTTAACATTATATGACTTATATATTCATTATATAAATTATTTCTTAATTAAATACTAAAATTATGGATATCAAATAGTCAATGCTTTTAAAGTATATTTCTTATTTATAGTATTCATGTTTAGTGTTTAAAATTTAGAATTGAATTTATTTGAAAGTGATTTAAGATAATTGAATTGTAACGTAATTATTAAAGGCAATAATATTTGATACTTATAAGAAAATAAATATACCTAATTTAATCAAAATAAATATCTTTTAAATTAATAAAATTCATATGAAAACAAATCAAAATAATTAAATGCAGAACATATAGCGATTTTTCAAAATTGTCCACATGTCAAAAGAATAGATTATCCATATTAGATTTTTCCTTTTTTGTTAAAAGCTTTAGCTTTTATATATCTTTATAAAATAAGATGACTTATATATTCATTATATAAATTATTTCTTAATTAAATACTATAATATAAATATATAAATTTATAAACATTAAAACTTATAATATAATATTATAAAGCCTCTTATAAATTGAGAGTAATTTATGTAGAGTAATTATAATGAGTTATAGATAATGTATTTTGAAATAGTAAATTATGTTGGTAAATGTGTGATTGTAATTAATACTTATATATAAAGAAATATAAAAAATATGTTTGCAATTAATTGGGCTTTTTGTTTAGGTTTGAACTCTTATCATTATATGACCTATATATTCATCACATAAATTATTTCTTAATTAAATACTAAAATTATGGATATCAAAAAACAATACTTTTAAGGTATATTTTTTATTTTTAGTATTCATGTTTAGTGTTTAAAATTAAGAATTGAATTTATTTGAAAGTGATTTAGGATAATTGAATCATAACGTATTTATAAAAGACAATTTGATATTTATAAGAAAATAAATATATCTAATTAGTCAAAATAAATATATTTTAAATTAATAAAATTTATATGAAAACAAATCAAAATAATTAATGTAGGACATATGATGATTGTTCAAGACCGTCCAAATGTCAAAAGAATAAATCATCCACATTTGATTTTTTTCCTTTTCTGTTAAAAAGCTTTGGTTTTATATATTTATATAAGATAAAATAATAATACTTGTCATTTTTGGTCATGTCTTTGTGTTGACATGACTCAATACAAACAAACAAGGATATTGGATATGGGTCAGATTTGACAGATATGGGTAAGGAGGTAATGCCATAAATTGGGCTTAATTGGTGCTACCATTACCAGAAATCTGATGACAGTGTAGAAGAATGAAGAATGTGGACTGTGGAAAGATTTGTGGTCAATAAAGAGATCATGAGGGTATAGAGAAATTTCCAAAATAAGAAAAGTAAGGGGGATTGGAGATCTAGGAGGAGAAGAAAGCTGAAACATGTTGCACACAAAATAGTCTGCGAACTGGCCGGTGCCATCCTGAATGGGATCATGGCCACTGAGAATGATCTGTATTAGCATATTCCATTCTTTAGATGGAAGCAGAAACAAAATGCACCAAATAGCCATTGGCAGTGATGGAGAAAAAATAAAAAAATAAGACTTTTTACTAATTATTGATTAAATATTGAAAAGCACAATTGCCTCTTCTATCGGACCTTTGGTTATTCTAAGTGAAATAAGAAAGGATTTGGGTTGGTTTGGGCTTATTTCACATCATATTGAAAGAAAATACTAGAAATTTTGCCTTTTTTGTTTTTTAATTTTTGTTTTGGCCATGGGTTGCTTGGCTTTTATTAAACTTTTGAACAAAAATTAAAACATTTCATCAACCAATTTCACGGTATGCAAATTTGAGTGCAAGCTACTATGATACTTGAGAAAATTTAGACAATTGATGAAATAGAAAGAAATGAGAGTTTGCTCAATACCTAAAGCAATTTGTGCTTTATGTTTAGATTATACTAAAACCAAGATCACTTATCAATATTGTATATTCCAATAATTACATGCTCCAAACCTTGAAAACTTGACAATTTTCAATTCTCACTGTGGGTGATTTAATCATGATGGGGAATATCATGAGATGGTAGTTGGCTCTTAGATTAAGATGGACAATTTGATGTGTAAAATGGGTAGCTCCGTAATTTCAATAAATACTTAAGAATTCTGAAGTTTAACCAAATAATGCTTTTTGAAGGTGTGGTATTTTTAACTGCTGGATTATAAAATTCTAAGCTATTTTCAAAATACATCCAAACTCTATGTACTATTTCCTGTTACCTTACGGTATTTATTTTACAGTATAATTGAATGAATTACTATGAGAAAACGCCACTATAATGTTCACTAACATGATTCATTGTTTTATCAGATTTCTTTTGCGACATCTTCAATAGAGAAAGTTGATTCGTTATTGGCAAAAGTGAGTAGAAAATTTTGCCCAATGCTAGTATCAGCTGCTCTTTCATATTTTGCAGGGCCAAAACGTATTTTCTTGTCAACTTATTCAATTAATTGTGCATAACTTTTTGTTCTCGTTGTTGGAATTAGTTCAACAAGAATTTGAAATCATCTTTATTTTACAGGCTTTCAAGTTCTATATGGATATTCTGACATTACCTCTTTTTGGTATTGGTCTGTTGATTCCCCAGGTAACTATATAATATATACCCTTTCCTCTTTTCTTTTTTACGTCATTTGTCAAATTGATTTCATTGAGTTGACCTTTTAACACACTCTGAATTAGTTAATGAAAGTTATCCTGATTCTTTCACTTAAAATAGCTAATGATCTTGCACCATTGGTAAGGTAAAATTTTTGTAAATAGTAGAATTGTGTTGCTTTCTTTAAAAGTCTGTTTCCTCTGTGACATTATCTCATTCAGAAGTGCCTATCCCAATCAGACAATAGTTTGAAAGAAGCTTTTCTATGTAATTAAATAATACCCATTCTGTTTTATATGGTTAATTGAAGGGTAAAGTACAAAAACTCCTTGATCTTGGGTCTAAAATATCCTCTTTGTTGGGTGGTATTTTCTTTAAGATAGTTAACTTTTAACCTCAGCCAGCTCTACGCATTGACATATTTTTGGTGGGATTTTTTTCTGGGGGATGGGGGATTAAGGCCCAGCTCTTTGAGCAGGGGGAACCAGGCAAGCATGCGCCAGCCATTGAGCCATATGCTTGGGTGTTGGGATTTTTAAATTTATCCTAACAAATGGAAGCATTTTTTTGCCAAGTCAATGATCTGCCAGCTCTAGGATTAGATGAAATCATATCAATTTTAAGAACGGCTAGCTGCACATAGATCTTTTTTCAATTTTTAGAAGTAATTTAGAATCAAGAAAGCCTAACTATGTTCTCTATCTAATAGATACAACTAATAACTTTTATGGTAGCTATATATCTGGTTATTGTTGAACTTTAACTCTCTCTAGTAGCACTATATAGGTGTTTGAAGCAAACTAGTTACAATGTGCTTTTTATGTAGGTGTGAATTATGAAAGCTTCTTGGCTGCCTTCTAATTTGTTGTTTGGACGTGCAACTGTGAACATTTGCCTTCTTTGAATTTTTGTTACTCCAATTCTTCATGTTTCATAAAGTTCCCATGTTGTAATCACATACAGCATGCCTTAAAGTGGACAGAGGTCTGGGTGATATAACCCTCAAAAGTTTATGAAAAACTGGTTTAGAACAAGTAGTCTCAAACAATTACACACAAGAAATAATTGTGAAATCCCAATCAAGATTCTCCAAAGTCTCCAAAAATGTTCAAAGCCCCAAAAGCATTCTTAATCTGTAATCATTCAAGCTTTGTAGAAATTTATATAATATAGTTATTTATAATAACCCTAAACCCTTGTAGAACTGCAAAATACCAAAGATAATCGTAAAGCCCTAATAATTTATATAATGTACCTATACCCTATATATTCTAAAATATCTCAAACATTGTAAAATTACAACCCATAAAATATATCAATTGAGAAAAATAAAGTATTAAATAATTTAAATTTTCAAGTAACTTCCTTCCATATTCCATTAAAAACTTAGGAAAATTTTTACATATCTATGTCTAGCTTATATCAATTTCTGACATTTACACTCCTGAGGCCAAGCAGAAAAGCTGTGAGCAAAGATTTTAACCTCTCTCTCTCTCTCTCTCTCCATTGAGAGGAAAATACCCACTTTGGTGTAGACCACAGGCCTTCCACTTTTTCCAACCACATCACTAAATTGTTAAGCTTTTAACTTCTCTCTCTCCCTCTCTCTCTCTCCATTGAGAGGAAAATGCCCACTTCGGTGTAGACTGCAGGTCTTCCACTTTTGCCAACCACATCACTAAGTTGTTAACTGAAATTATAATTTCCTTTCATTACAAATTTTATGTGGCTTCAAATAATCTTGTGAAAGGAATTCTGGAGAATCTGTTTCATATGTTGTCCTAGAAATTGTATAAAAAAGATTGATGCTTTTTCAAGGCACATAGGAATTACCTGTGGCCAATTACGGTAAATCAAAAGTTATAGCAAGGTTTATTGGTATAAAGTGGAGATAAATTCATAGGTTGCTCTGCAGTGAGATGTTGCAAAACTGTTTTGGTGTTCGTATCATGTAACTGATTGACGTTGATTCATTGTGCGCATGAAGTTGTTATGTCATTCTACATCTACATAGTTAAAGGCTAAAAGCAATTAAATATGTTTGTATTATTTTTTTTGTTGTTGCTTTCTTTTTGCCGACCATCTGGACTGTGACCACACTTGGTGATTTTGTAGTTTCATACTTCCTACCCTGGCTCTTGTAGCTGTCTCTAAGTCTCACTTATTATTTTCTTCCTGATCTTGCAGGGAAGTCTAGTCTACTGGGTTACCAATAGTTCATTAAGTGTTATTCAGGTTAGTTGTTGTTCTTTTCCTCTTTTTTTTTTTTTATATATATTTGTTCTATGTAGAAGCAAGTTGTGCCTTATGCTTTGTGTGTGTGTGTGTATATTTTATGCATTGTATATTTATTGGTTATTATGTCCTTAATTTTTAAAGATGCTTTCACAGTGTAATGAGACCTATAATTTATGGGTCATTAGGAGTTCTTGCCAATTTTTTTGTTTTATGTTTTCAAAGTTTTTGTTGTTTTATTTTCAATTTTTTTGAAATAGAAATCATGTTGGATTATTATGTTTCGTTACAAGAATTTGACTATGGTAGTACATAAGTCCAAAGTGATTGGAACTTGATTGAAGAAAGAGGTAAGGGTTTGAATATCTTTGCTTACAGATTTCCTTTAAATTTGACTTTTTTTTTTTTTTTTACCTGCATTGTAACAGTGCAGAAACACTTACAAAATTTTGGAAACATCAAATTTCTGCTGCCAACAATTTCCAATTTTTTTTTTTTTAATTTTTGGAAACAAAAACAGAGCTACCAAACAAATTTCTGTTATAGTTTTTTTTTAAGTTGAAACAGAACAAAAAACTCTTAACAAAAACAATCCCAAACAACCACTTAATGTTTCATTTCAATGGTGAATTATTAGCTTTTCTAACCGAATTTGTACTGGGATGTCCAAATATTCTTGAAAATGTTATTTTATTTACACACTGTTTTGGTTAATTGATAAACTAAATATGTTAAAAATGAATAAGGATTAGCTTACAGCCTTACACCAATACAAGAATTTTCATTGGTTGTTACTTTTCCACATCTTTCTAATTATTCATTCTTTAAAAAAAAAAAAAAATCAACCTTTGGAAATGATGTTGTATTCATGTATTATCTTACTCGACTATGACCTATTACATTGCCACCTTATCCCAATCTTCATGTTCTAACTGCAAACCCGTGCTAAAACAATTCTTAGCAGCTCAAGCTGTGGGGATTTTAGTTAATAGTTGCCTTTGGTATTTAGGTATCAAGTATATATCTCAGCACTGAGAAGTGCTTGAGGCCAGTGTTTGACTTTTCCTGTTTTTATGAGATTTTCCGAGACATCTGATGAATGGACAGTGGTTGACTTTGCAAAAGAACCAGATCATGTCTCACTGCAGTCTGGGATCCAGGATGTGCAAGTTGGATCGCTGTTCCTGGGGATGCAGTGACCATGGTAGTTAGGGTTTCTCTTGTATACTTCTAGTTTATTTCCAACTTGAGCTTCCACTAAAAAGTAAAAAGCAAAGATGTTTTGTCTATGCATATTTGATTGATTGTTCAATGTTCCTTTGATTTATAATTTAAAATAGTGGTTTTCAATATACTTGAATATTACTTAATATATAATTGGACTTTCTATCCTTTTTCGGTTACGGATTCTCATACTCATATCTCAAAGATCCTGAAATTTGATAACTTTAGGCATTATTCTGCCTTGAGCAACATTATAGAATAAGTTAACACTTCTCTACGAACTTAATCAACATTGCAGCAATTAACCCTCAAAGACCCTGCTGTTCGTGCAATTCTGGGCTTACCAGACAAGGATGCTTCTACAGCAGGAGCACCATCTGTGGAGCCACCCTCAATGGAACTTAGAATTCCTGTTCAGAACTTAAGTCCTGGAGAACTGCTTGCGGTAAATGTCTGAGCATAGGATCCCGGCACATTGTTTTAACTAGCAGTGGTTTGTTAAAAGTTCCCATATCATTGTAATTGGAATTGTTTTCAGCTTTCAATCAAACACTTGTCACGAGGGGAAAAAGATCAAGCAGCTTCCTTGCTAAGGTTAGTCACTTGTCTTACTTTCATTTTTTTTTTCTACTATCTTTTTCCTTATACAAGTCAACTGGCTTTATGCATTGTACAATTAATATTTCTTCACAGATTGACACTTGAAAAAGATCCTGAATATGTAAAAGCTATGGTTGTCATGGGGCAGACTTTAATGCAAAAAGGACTGCTGGGGGAGTCTAATGAATATTTAGAGCGAGCCATTTCAAAGGTTTGATTTTATTTCTTTTGTTTAAATAAAAAAAAAATTGTCAAAGTTATTGTTGAATACTAAGCCACTGGGTTAAAGTTAAAACATTGTTAGCATATGTTCCTCATATTCTAAGTTCCTTTTATTCAGAATTGTTTTGGTGTAAAGTCATGGTTTACTTTGGTATATCATTGTTGACTTTTTAATTAAATGCATGCATCTAAGATGACAAATGATAACAGAGATGCATTGGGACCAATTTCTATGATTTGCTAGTAATTTGTGTTAAGAGCTCTATCCCTTGGTTCCCAACTAATCACAAGCTGATCTTTTGACTTCTCATCAGTTGTCTCTCGCTGGCCATCCAACAGAGGTTGAGGACGTTGATCTTTTAATTCTATCGTCTCAGTGGGCTGGTGTTGTCTATATGAAACAGGTAAAGCAATATAATTGGAATTTTTTTTCAAAACATCATCAACTTGTCATTATTATATCTTTATCTAAATTATTCTCCATACATAAGACCTGATCTAGGCCTGCCCTCGACTTTGTGAATTTTGTTGGTAAACTTAAAAGCCTGTAGTTCATTCAAAGAGTCATTGGAACGCTCTTCATTTTATTTCCTCTCCCTTTTCATCTCACAGGGGAAGAAGGCGGAAGGACTTGCACACCTGGAAAGAATTGCAAATTTGAAAGAGCCAGAGGATCCCAAGAGCCAAGCTCATTACTTCGATGGATTGTTGTTGCTCTCAAGGTTCGGATTTTAACTTTATATTTTTTTCTGAAAGTCAATTATCTCACAATCTCTTCGTGTTTCTCTGTGTTCAAATGCTTACATGGTTCATGCTTGACTTGGGGCTTTTTCCAGTGCTTTGGCTGACTCTGGTCGCAAGGCTGAAGCGTTAAAATTTTTGCGCTTAGTTGTTGCTTATGATCCTAATTATAACTATTTACTTGAAGAATTAGAGAACGAAGAAGATGATTTTGCTAGTAATCTTGCTAGCACTAGGAGACGAGACTATTGATTTTTCTTCATAGTTGTTTCATTATTTGAGCTATAAACATTTGTTCTGCTAAAAGAATTATAGAATAAAAAGTTAGCCAAGCCGGCTTTCCCCTGTATAGAATAAAAAGTTTTGGGGACACCATGTATATATTTAATGCTAGAAATGCTCTCTGAAACCTTGAATTTGGAATAATTTGATTACTTTTATATGCCCTGAAACTGGGACTGGGACTCTTTTTCATATTGTGCATGTGTTAAATTATATTAATTAGAGCTAAATAGTATTTTATTCCTAAAATGAAAGCTGTAGTAAACAAAGAAGTCTAAACAGAGGGAATTTAAACCTTGGATCTTACGCGTTGGCCCGTCCGAATGTGTTGGACGAAACTTCAGTTGAAAAGAGAGAGAGTCAAAGATTAGTCTTACCAATTTATCTATTTTCTTTATTAAACTTTTATACGAACTGAAATCAAAACTAGGTGTAGAGATGTATAGTGAGAGTAGTGATGACAAAAAAATTCAAAAAAATTTAAAAAAATAATTTGAAATCGTTGTATTGGTTCAATATTAAATTTTTATATTAATTTTGAGTTTTTTTATTGAGAAGTTAAAATAATGAAAATATCTCAATTGAATTAAATTATATATTTTTTATTTTTTTATATGTTTTAATTTTTTTTAAAATAAAAATAATTTTTTTTATTTTTGAATCTATTTAAATATATTAAAAAATTATATTAAAAAATAAAAAAATATATTTTTTAAAATCTGATTAATTGAATTGAATTGTATCCATAAAATTCAGGATTTAAACTCAAATTATTGAAAATAAAAATCTATCATTCTATCAATGAATTACATAAATCTACAAACCACATTAATTATTAGTAATCAATATGTATATGCATTTATTTATTTATTGATAAAGGTGGCCAAAACATGCGGGTCTTGCATCATGATGCCATTTCATATATATATATGAGGGAGAGAGAGAGAGGTGCCAATAAAAAATTAGTTTTACACTCTCACTAGTAAAATCTAATTAAGTTAGAATATGATTTAAGTTTGAATAAAAAAAACTTTTAGTACTTTAAAATTAAGTTAGAACAACTCTTTTTTTTTTTTGTCTAGAAATATAATTTAAGTTTGGATAAAAACTTTCAGTACCTTAAAATTAACTGCCTCTCCAGGGCAGCACCACTTAGGAAACAAGCCTGAATGTGATGCAGATCCTGGTGTAGCCGAAAGGAGCATCACCTACGAAGTTGTTTCCTTTGCTTTCTTCCTCTTATCCAGTTTAACAGCAAAGACCCTCAAAGTTCAGCTCCACATTCACTGCTTCAATATCAACATCTCGTTTATGAAGTAAAAGGTTTTTAGAGGGTTCATGTTGTCCTTATCCTTCGGGGCATCGCTGTTGGGGATTCTCTTTTTGACCCTTTCCACGGTTAACGTCATCCAGATTCGCCTAGGAACGTTGTCTTGTGGGAGTGCTAATGCCATTCAAGCAGTGGCATCATTGTGTGCCATTGTTCTTATTGCCCTTGTCATCTACGTACCTTCCACCATCAATGTCATTTGGGTTAAATCACAAGAAACAAGTCAGGTTTGATTGAAAAAAAAAAATCAAATTTAGCTTTTTATATAAAAATATATATAGTTTCAACATTGTTGATATAAAAGTTTGGCGTGGCTAGGGGCTTTTTTTGGTGAGCAGTGATCTGTTGTACTAACATTATTGTTGTTGTTAAATGTCCTTGTACTTGCGTTTGGCTTTATTTCAACTTTTGTAATTTTCCTTTTGCAAAATTGATATCATCTCCCAAAAGTGAAAAAAAAAATTTTTCCTTCCTCGATTTATTGTTTTTATCAAAGGGCAGCGGCAATGTTACTTTGAAGCTACCAAGTTTTTAATTCCAGCTCTCAAATCTTGGCCCGTAATTTTTTAATAAAAAATTATTAAATATATTTATAATAAAATTTTTAATTTTATAAATAAAGTTAAAATAATAACACATATTTTTAAATATATATTTTTAAAAAATAATTTAAAAAATGTAAAATATATATTGTTACTTTAATTTCATTTATAAAATTAAAAAAATTTATCGTCAATATATTAAATTATTTTAATAATTATTTTAATTCTAATTATAAAATTTTAAAAAATTAGACACGTTTTATTTATTTTTATAATTATTTTTATTAGAATTTTACTTTCAAAAAATTTCTCTTATATTAAATTTAAAATACAAAAATTTAGACTTTTCAACAATTTTCAATGTTCTTTCATATTTGTTAATAATCTTTAAGCTTTTTTTTTTTTGCCTAAATCTATAATTTTTATCAAACAAAAATCTTTTGTAGAAGAAAGAACGTAATACTCGAATTAAGATCCTATTCACATATCTCCATCACTGTTACAATTTGAGCTAAGCCTAAGCCAAATCCAAAGTAGTATAAATGAAAAGTTTTAAGCTTTATCTCTTCAACTTTACAACTAAGAAATTAAAGTGGTTTAATAATATCATCATCCCTCTTTTTTCAAGATTTTCTCGTCTCATAGCAAAAGGTGGAAAAAGAAAAAAATTTAAATTATATAAAATATTAAAATTTATATATTTTTATTATATTTTAAATAAAAATTATATATCATAATTTATATTAATATAAAAATATAAAATACATTATTTTTATTTTATTAAATTTATATATAATTATTATTAAAATTTTAAATTATATCACTTTCATAATCATACCATATCCATATTTATTATGATATCATATTTTAAATTTCCGATCTAAAATAAATCAAACAATTATGGATAATTCTCAACCGTTGAACACGAATTTATGAGTGTCTTGGTTGAGTTTGCACACCAGCTTTCTCGTGGTCCCAACTCCCATCAATGCATGGCGTGTGTGATTATAATATTTCTTCCTCTTTTGACGAAACGTTGCTTTCACAAAGAGAAAATAAAAATTTTTATCTTAAAAAAATAAGATAATTTTTTTTTTTGGATAAAATTTATGGTCTGATTTTGATTTCAAACAATGAAGACAAATTTTATGGGATGAAAGAGAGACATCCTTCGTCATATGGTAAAAAAGTAAATGGCTTTCCTTTTTTTTTTTTGTTAATTTATATTTGATCATTATTACTGTTATATACTGTCATTATATAATAATAAAATTTTATAAAAAAATTAATTTCAAATATATTTTAAAAATTTTAAAATTAAATTTTATGAGATGTATTTTATAATATTTATATGTTGATATATTATAAATATAAATAAATTAAAAAGTAAACAATTATTTCAAAAGAAAATTGAAGATTGGCATTTATAAAAAAAATTGAAAATTGGTGAAAAAGGAAAATTAAAGTAAAAATATGAAAAAAGTACAAAGAAAAAAAAAAGAGAAGAAAAAGAAAAGAAGAGTCTTTGTTTCTCTGCTGTCTTTCACGAGGTGTCAAACGTTCGGTGCTTTTCCTCTCATCTTCTTCCTCTTGCCTTCCAACTCTATTCTCTTTAACCGAAAAACAGAACCCCAATCTCTTATGATTTCTAGCGCCTTTCCTTTCGGACAAGACCCGATCATTTCCTTCCCCCCAAATCTGTGTTAGAAAATCTTTCTTTTCCTCCCAAACAAAACATTAGCATAACCCAACAAATAAAAAAAAAAAAAAAAACTTCAAGATCTCATTGAAGACCCATTTCAAAACGGATCTCAAAAAATGCTAATTTGAAGATTAAAAAATGGCTACTTGTCCCCAAAACTCAATCTTGTACAACGGCAGCCACTGTGCCTGCCAAGTTGGCCTCTTTCTCAACCTTACAGCCAACAGCTGCACTACCTATGACGGCAGTTCAGCTATAGAAACTGATTCTGGGATTGACTACTTTGCGGTGTCGTTTCCTGAGAACATTTTTTCATTTGATTCAATTAAGAAGTTTACTCAGTCTCAAGCTGTGTTCTTGGAAGCTACTCTTATAATGTTGCTTTCTTGGCTCGTATTTTGCTTCTTCTTACGGTTTACAAAGCTTGGTGATGGAAGAAATGTTTGGTTTAAGATTAGGTGGTGGATTAGTCGCTTGGATGTTTGCTTTGCTACTAGGCATTGGCTGGTTAGTCCTTTTTGTCTCCTCTGAGTAATGAATTATTTTCTTTTTGGTTTATTTCTTTTGGATTAGAACACGAAAAGGGCACCTCGCTTTTCTAGGATAACTGATGTTTAATCTTAAAGTTTCAGGTTCTAACTATTCAAGTCGGTACTGATAACTAATAATGGTTCTTTTCTTTTTTCCATTCTCTAAATGAATTTGTTTTTGTCATTCCTGAGTGGGATTTCTTTTTTGTAGTCAGCAAGTACATATAGGGTGATAGCACGCTCAATTTAGTGAGTTGGTTGTGATTTGATTGTCTTGAAAATTTGGGGTGACCTAGAGATTGATTTTTTGTTGGCTCTGTAAGAAGTCCTCTTTAATGTGTTTTATTGAAAAGCATTTAAATTTTGCATACTTGGAACTGGGTGTATTATTGTTGAAACAGGTCATTTGGATCTTACTTAGGAAGGTTGAAAGATAGAATTGTTGCGCTTGTCTAATGTTATTGATAGTAGTACATGATGGTTTCAAAATTCTTGTGACTAAGGAATGATTCTGATTTCTGACAATAAAAGTCTGTACATCTAAGGAATGAACTTTTCTGTACTTTCTTTACCTAAATATGATAATGCTTTAATTTGCATCATTCTTTTATATAGGATGATCAGAAATTGGTTGTGAAACGGAAAACAGAACTTGGTGGAACTTTCTCAATTGCCAGCTGGATACTTTTCACTGGGTTGTTTGCTGCGTGAGTGAGGATAACATCCTTTTGTTACTAGCATTTGAATTTCTCAATGCAAGCATTTGATGTTCAAATTCTTATGGATGTTTTCTTTTACCCTTTTGACACATGAGTACACATTGACTTATTACCCTCCCCCCTCCATGATGTTTCTTAGGTTGCTTTACCAAATCATAGCAAAGAGAAACATTGAAATGCATAACGTGAAAGCTACAAATGCACCTGACCTAGCCTCCTTCAGGAATGACATGGAATTTAATATGACCACTGTTTCTAGTATGAGCTGCTCAAACTTGCAACGTCCCACTACCTTACTTACTGGAAGTTCTGGCTTCATTGAAGGAAAAGTTTTCCCTATTTCAAATTTTTTAAACTTTTCATGTTATAACACAAGCTTGGGGCCAACCATAACTCTCAAGTGCAGCAATTGCCAACTCAGTCAAGACTATATGTCCATTTCATGGCAGTTTGTCGATCTTCCAAACAGTCCTGCAAGTGCTGTAGGTTTTCAGTTCAATGCAACTGCAAAAGATCATACTAGGAGAGGTCATGTGAGTTTTGTTAGTGGAACACTGAAGAATGGAAGCAATTTTGATAAGAGCCCAGTTACATTCAGAGGGGTGGACACAAACATATTGATATTCAATTTATTTCCTCGTATATACCGCAGTGCAAATGATCTGAAGCTAATCCAACCTCTCTTTCATGAATTTGTCCCGGGGTCAATTTTGCGTAATACATCTCAGCTCCAGGCATCACTTGAGAGTGCTAATGATGGACAAATCAACACCACATTATATGTCAACTATCTTTCTTCCTACATCATTGAGATTGAAAATCAAAACATAATAGGTGCTGGTGAGTATTTTGCTTTGCCTGTTTATCTGTGATTTAGTCTTTCACATATTTCATCAGCTGCTAGTGGATAACTTTATGCTCTTCCTTCCATTATGATATCCCCTAGACATTTATGACATTCAATGCACTGTATCCTCAGTGGAATGCCTTGCAACATATTTATAAACTTGAAATCATCGGGTAATAAATCTTGCTGGAATCAAAAGTGGAATATCAGCCAAGATGTTCCATACTTAAAGCTTATGCTGAAGATACATGCCCTATTTTGGATCTTTGCTGCTTAACAAGTTGGTTCACTTACTGCATGATAGATTTCCATAATAACTAATTTTTCAACTGCCTGCAGAACTGCCAGCTCTTCAGAGAATTTACTGACTGTTGTTAATTACTGTTGTTTTCATTCTCCTTTTTCTCCTTTTACTTTCAATGATTGTTTTGTTCTTTTTCTCGTCTTAAGCTATCTATTGTGCAGATAGATTGTTATAGTATCTCCTGGCAATTTCTTGTAGATAACATTGATTAACTATGTGTTCTTGTGAACATATGTTACTAGTATCGTTTTCATGCTTGCCACCATATTCCAGGAGAATCTGTTTTATTCTGAAATAATTTCTTTCAAATTTATGGATCCTGTAGATTCCATCCAAGATGGCCTTCTCCAAGTAAACTGCAACTTTGTTTAGAAATTTCATTTTTTATCAGCTTAATCATCAAATATTGATATTTGACACTCCATATTATGATAGCCATGTTTGTCATTATAACTTTTGTTGCTTTACTTTATTGGCATCTCGTATGTTCATGTGTTGGGAGTATGTTGGACGTATCTTACTTTGTTATGTGATTTTTCTTTAGGCAGAATGTTATGACAATCAACCTCCTGAAATAAGATGCTTTGGAAACTTAATGTGTTTGATATTTGGGAGAGTTGAGACTATTTAAGGTTACAGGCTCAGATATCTGTGTTATTTCTTTAATCACTTTACCAACTTGACTTACCTGACAGAATCCTTTATGGGTACTATTAGGAGAGGATTGTGTTTTGATTGAACTGGCTTCTAATTAAGGTTTTCACATGCTTTGCTGTTTCTTTTTGAATCCCTCTTTATTCTAGTGAAGGATGGGGTTGCCTTGCCTTACCCTTTGATTTGTAAATAGTAAAATGATCTGTTAGGAAGATGAACTCAATCATTTGTATTGTTCTAGATTTTTTAGTTCTTTGTGCATGGTGAATGTTGCTTCATCATAAAGTTTGTTCTGGAGATAGGAAAGTTTAATTTAGTAAAAGTTTGCCATTAGTAAAAAGGCAGCTAGAACAAGATTTTAAACAAAGTGCAGTTGTGTTGATAGCTTGATCATGGTTTATGGACATTTCAAGTCCGTGCTTATAGATTTCAAACATTTCTTTGAGCTGTAATTAAGGAATGCATGATAAGATAGTTACCTCTTTGTGAATGATTTATAAGTTTCTTTACTCTTGTAGAATCCTTTGGTTTCAGGGAGCATGATAAGACTTTATGACCTATGAGGATCTTGAAAATTTTGTTTAATGGAATTACCGTTCTATTGTTTCACTTTGCTGTAGGGACATCCTTCATTACTAATTATCTTTAATCAAATGCATAATTTTTTATCTTATTCCTATGCTGTTTTCTACCTTCTAGGGCCTTTTTTATTTTTAACGGAGCCAAATTCTTTGGTCTTTCTTTTCCCTTCAAAGTTGTCATCCTTGTTTTTCTTCTTAGATGAATATAATAAAAGACGTTGGGCAAGAAAATTTTGTATCTGTTGAATTACACTTCATCATGTGCCAAAGCTAACAAAGCCCTTACCTCTATGTGGTTTGAAAGCATGTGGTTTAATTTTGGTTGCTGTTCTGTGGATTGCATTATTCCATGGGATTAATTGAAGTACATCTCTACTCTGATATATTAACACAGTATTGTTTTCTTCAACTTGCAGTGGGCTTCCTTGCAGATCTTGGTGGGCTATATTGCATTAGTATGGGGATATTTCTCTATCTCTTGGTGCAAGTAATTGCTGTCCCTCTTGAATTTATCATTTTGTTCTTTCTTTCTTCCTTCACCCTTGGTTTTCTCGATATAGTATAAAGATTCAAGTATAGATGATCAAGAACCTTATATTGTCTAGAACTGGTACTGTTAAGTTTTATTTTTACCTTTTTTTGGATGAAGAGAGAGATGCTTTTATTCAGTTTTTCTTTAATTTTAGTGGTTAGCATATTTTGGTTTGTTCTAGTTTTCTAGGTGTGGGCTGTGCATTTGTGTTTTCATCATTTAGGCCGTTTTATGTGAAAGTATGACACCCCAGAGTTATGGGATGTATAAGGCTTAGTTTGTTATTGTTGTTTTTTTTTTTTTTTTGAAAGATCTTGTTGTTGTTTATGTGAAAGTATGACATATTTAGAAAAATACAAGTTTGTAGGTATTCATAATGAATGGATGTGATCCTGTTCATGTGTTAATCTTGTGCTTTTCTGATTATATGCAATACAAATAAAGGTATTTTTTTCTAGGAGAGGGGGTTGGCGAGATAAAGTGATAGTTATCAGTTTATGCTTTCACATTTTTGCTTCAAACAAAAGCTGTAGTAAAGTAACTGTTTATATAAGAAATGGGCATTTTCAGAAACTTCTGCTTAACTTTCTCTTTGAATATATATGTGTGTGTGTGTATATATATATATATATATATATTTCATTAAAGGAGGACATTGTTGCGAAAGTCATATAACTTGTCTTTTCCATTCTTGTCCACAGTTCAATCAAAGTAAGAAAATGACATATCTATTCCTTTACTTTCCAGTCATTTTAAAACATTCAAATAAGGGAAACTGTGATACTTTCATTTCCTTCCCCTGCTTTCTTCCCATACCAGTCCTTTTTCTTTCCACAAAACTACCAAAACTAGGTGCAAGCCTAGGATTAACTTTTTCTTTTCCTTATTATTATTACTGTCAGCACTCAAAATCAAAATCTAGACTATTAATCAGACCCGAAGCATCTAAAACCCTTGAAAGCCCTTTCCATAAAACCTAATCCAACCCACGACCATTGGCCATCAAAAGCTAATATTGCACGTTCAAGTTATTATTCACATTCCAGTATGAGCAGTTGGTTTGCTCACTTTTGACATTTTTGCAGCTTTATAAGCTTTTCTGTCCTAAATTAATAACTATTGAGATATTGTCCGTTACATAACCACATTAACAAATTACTAGTTTTTGGCCATTGCATAGCTACTTGTCAAATTAGTGTAACTTACCATTGCACCTGCTCTTATTTCTCCCTTCCACTTGGTCACCTGAGTTTCCCACATTATATTTTGGCATATGCATGATTTTGTACTTTAGTATAGAGCTTGTAGCAAAGTTTCAAAGTAATTAATAATATAGCTGGGTTCCTTATTTTGCTTCTTTTCCAGCTCATAAGTTTTGTTTCTAATGTAAAGAAGAAACAAGGTGTGTTTCTTGTTCTCTATTTTTCTTGAGAAACATAGATATCTGATAACATCTAATCTAAGCATAAAGCTAATAACTCCCGTTCTCTATATTTGAACATCACAATGAAAGAAAAGAAATCATTATCTTAATTCTTGCATAAGTAATTATTTTAAGTTTCCTTCCCCATCCATAAATGAGTTTTACTCTATTGAAAAGGGTGCTTGATTATGTTTTAAAAATGTGGAGACTGTTTGTAAATAGAATATAGAAAGCACATGAGTAGTTGTCTAGTTACAGTTTTGCCAGCCAGAAATGCATCTTTAGGGTCTTAATTTTGTTCCAGGATACTAAGTAAATTATATTTGCTTGAAACAGTCCCCAAGTTTTTAGTACTTTTATTAGTCTTTTTTCAAATTAAAAAAAAAAACTTTTTAATCCAATGAATCCAATATTCCTAACCTTCTTAGTTTGTAGTTTGAGTACAGAATAAAAAGGCTCCGCAATGAAGATAGCGTTTTACGGAAGATCAGAAATAAACGAAAAGCTCAAGAGCACTGGGATAAAGTAATTTCTTTCTCATAGGAACATGCATCTTATGTTCTATTAATCGGTCGAGTCTTTCTCTCTTATTTAGTCCTTAATTTAATTGAGCTGACTCAATGTTTTTTTCTTAACCAGGTGAGAAAATATGTCATGTATACGTGGGGTTGCAGCACAATGGATGTTGATAACTACTCTAAAAAGGAATCAGGTTGTGGCCATTTCATGATTCCATCGGCCTATGGTAATGGATCAATTCGTGGAGATGGGTCATCAATGAAGCGAAGGCAGCTAAGTAATATCGACATAAGTTTTAGCAAGCGAGTCAGCTTCCCTAGTGAAAAGGTAGGCTCTATCAATTTCCTTTCCAACATCTACCTAATTTTGCACTTTCTTCTTTTATTAAACTAGTTAACCAAAATGAAATATTCTTTTCATTCTTCCCTTGATGCTTTTTCAATCTCTTCAACTTTTCCTGCAAAGTTGCTGGATAGTTTTCATTACTTTAATTCTACATATTCAAGACGTAAAATCTTGCAGAAACACACTCGAGATGTAAAATCTTGCACAGCACGATCTATATCTAGCCCTGAAGGGAGGTTCTATTGAAGAAGTGAACCTGTATGTTATTGTTCTTTCATTGTTGTTAACAAGAGGGATCTTGATTGACATGTCATGTAAAATATTTTAGTATATTAGTCATCTTCTTCCTCTCTCCTTCTTCACTTAATTTATTTATTTGTTTGTTTTGAATGTTTAACCTGACTTTCCATACTCCACTCATTTAAAGAAGTCTTGGTTAACACAAGTTACCTGTAATTGGTAATATTTCTGTTATTGATGACTAAGCTATTTACTCTTACTAGATGCACTATTGCTAGTAATAGTGTGTGTGAATTAGTCTTACCTAAAATTGCAACTCGTGTCCAACCAAAGTATCAAGTAATACTACATGCATAACACGTATTTCTACCAAGTTAAGATGGACGCATTCGTTCCAAATTTAAGATAAATTTTAGCTGTTTATCAGTTTATGCAAATAATGTTAGCCACCCTATCACAGATTTTGGACCCGAACAATGCATTACTTGTACGCATAGGTTTCTAAATCCAAAGTTTTCTCTGCAGGTCCTCAAACATGATATGCCTGGATCCACAAAGGACAAGAGAAAACGTTGTGTTGGTTCCAATGATGCAGTTGCTGTCCTGCATCAAGCATTTACTTTTGATGATGATATAATTCCCCCACCACCAATGCTAGGTAAGAACTAATTTGTAGGTTTGCCTTATTAGCATTATTTTCATTATATGCTGCACAAAAAGGCACAATTGTAGTTAATCGGTGCTGCTGATATCTATTTTCTCTATTTCCTTATCCCTTAAACCTTGTCTTCAGTTTGTTCGATCAATAAGCATTAAACTTTTTAGTGACAAAAAAATAGTCAATTTTTTTGTCAAATCATACTTAGAATTGTACTTATTGCTATGCAGAAGAGTGGTTTTTTTTTTTTTTGGGGGGGGGGGGATGCTTTTTGAATGAGTTTTCTTTTATTACTTAATGGAGCTCCAGTCTCCTGGAAGTGTTACATCACTGCTTTCTGTTTAACGAAAGACTCAAACATTGATAATAACAAATCCCAGTGCCTTAATTATCAGCTTCTATTCAAAACAGAAGTAGAAAAAAAACTTTAACTGCAATTTCGCCTGTAATATTTTCAAATTTCAAGTGGCAAGATACTGCATAGACCAATGGGCAACAAAAAATTCTTTATCATGCTTTAGACTGGCATAGATCCTCATGCAAGCAGAGCCAATCTCCTACTTTCTTCTATTTAAGAATTTCAGTGAACTTTAGCAGACTTGATAGTTATGGCATCCTGAACATCCTGTAATTGTGGACCTTTGAGACAGGATTTTGATGAAACCATTCTTCTCTGACCTTAATATAGGCATTTCCAAACCTCAAACAAGGGACTAATTAGTAAGAATGCGTAAGCAAGAATGTTTGAAGTAAGATTTTTATTTTGGTTAAGATTACCAGACCCTTAATTGTTGCCTTTATGCTTTGATTGTACCTTTGTGGTTAAAAAGTTGTGTGTTTGCCAAAGAGTATGGTTAGAGAGGCTTTTCATTAGAAGGGCATAAATTGGTTCTAGAACTAATAATCACAACTGGGAGAGTTTAATTTTGCTTCCTTTTGGAATGCCAGCTCTTAGGGCTACCTTTGTGATAACTATAAATTTGCAATGAGGCATCAAGTTTTCCTTTTGACTTTTCATTGATTAAGTTATAAGAAAACATTGACTTATGACTTATCACCAACAAATAAAACTTCATCGCCTGTCTGCTGCTCTGTGCATGTTAGTGTTTGATTTGCTATTGGACTGTCTGATTGGTTTGGTTGAAAGCTAGAATAAGAGCTTGATCGAAAATACTGATTGAAAATGTGCCTTTCAATGGCTTTTGGAATTTAAATTTTGTCAAGGTTCTGACAGTGGACTACTTTTCCCTTGTTGACTCTGCCTCTCTTAGTTTTGCTTCCTCATTTATAACAATTGCAAAAGTTTCTCTTTCCAGAGTTCAAGCATGTGATTGTGTAGGGTGATTAAATAACTAATACATCAATGTGACTTCTGTCATTGTTGTCCAATTGTTATTGCACTTGTATCTCAAGGTAATTTGCTTGGAAATGATCTGAAGGTCCATTTTGAAACTGCCTATTATACACAGACCTTTCAATATGATGAATTGAAACTCTATGCCTTTGTGGTGTGTTCCTCCAAAACCCTTGATAGGGATTTATTAAAACCAACATAATTTATGTTAGAGTTTCTCTTTATAATCCTTCCCCTTACTCGATGCAGAATTGAAGTCTGGTTCTGAGATTGAGTTGTCCAATATACAGAAGAAGTTTCAACGGTTGTATGACTACAATGTAATGCTCAGAGAGAAGCTTGTAGCTACCCAGTCTTTGCTTGGTGCTTTGGCTGCTAAGTCCTCATCTCCGAGAGCAGAAAGGCAAACATGACATGCCGAATTTATCCAATTGAAAGGGGTTTTTTTCTTGTCATTGCCCAGGAGTTTCTGCAACCTTCTACAGACATGTTTGGCATCGAAGTAAAAGGGTGATTTAGCTTCGATCCTACATCTATGCCTTCTTTGTCTCTACTGTCTTAACCAACCCTAGTCAAGACCAGTGCAACAGGCAAAGTGATTGATTTCTAAAGGACAACTATTGGATCTAGCAGATCCATAGCTCACATAATTCAGTTTCAGTGTGACATGGTTGCAGTATGTTGCTTTCTTATGGAGCCTAATGCCGCAGGAGATGCTCTTTAGAACCATAATACCCAGGTTTTCTGTTGTAAGTTTTGTATCATATACCGAAAGGAGAATATAAGAGGGTTATCGTCATTTTCAAAATGGGTTTTGAGCTGTAATGAATTGTCATTTCCATATCTATTTATTTGTTAATTTCATTTATTTTAATGTGATTAGTTCCACCTCAACCATAGATGGAGAGGATTTATAGTAAGGGCAGCAACTATTGGATGTAAACAATTTACTACCAAATGCTGGAACTAACAGGGGTTATCCTAGAGTTTAGGAGGAAGAATTAGCAGCTTGATTTATTGCTTACTTTGAAAGAAGATTGAATAAATCATTTGGGTATCATGTAATTGGATGCCTCACAACATCTTAGACTATGGAATGGTGTTTACCGTTTATTTACACTTTTGAATGCCATGGAATAGACTGAAAACGTTCATACAAAAGGCTTGTGCAAGTCTTTGGTATAACTGATACGCAAGTGTGGGTTTTAAAGAATATAACCAGACAATGCCATCAAGATCTAAGTGTGTTTTCATAATTACCCTAGGAATTAAACCTGGTTAATGTTTTCTATGCATATAATACAAGTGATTCCTTGTCTATAACATAGTTTCCTATACTCACAAGCGCACGGTTTCTAAGTTACCTATACTCACAGGCTCGCGGTTTCTATCTCTCGAACAAGTACTATAACAGACTACAGATTATTCTCACAAATCTTACACGGGGGAGAATGACTCCTTTCGACCAGCACATATGACTCCTGCACAGCTTAGATGCGTCTTGTAGTCCATGAAAAACAGATTGCCCGTGACTCTCATCCGATGCAAACCAGTTTACAAAGCTTCATAAATTGTCATAGAAAAACTTATGCCATGAGGAGATGGCAATGTTGCCAGACGCAATTACGAAAGACTCAATCAAACAGCTATCAGGCCACCTCACTTTTCTCATTTGACAGTAGTATTAACATGAAGCTCCATCCTTACCAGTAGTAGGTTGGAAGAAAAAGGTAATGAGCTCCTTATCTACTGCACCAAGTTCAACAGAAGAAATAAATGATCCATATGTTAACTTGAAATGCACTCAATCTTACTCATTGTCAATTGTTTTCCTTTCACTGCCTTTCAAAAGAACACCATCCTTGGCTGAGTGCAAACCTAAAGCATGAGCAAACATTCTCTTCGCAGCTCCAACATGTTCTTCTTTTGAGAACCCTTTGTTAACTCTATTTCGACCTCTTCCAGGTATGCTAGCATCAGTAGGCCTCTGTTGAGCTGGTTCATTAGAAACATTCCTCTCACTAACTACCGAAGCATTATGTTTATGTGCATTGCTATTTGCTTTACCATATGCATCCACAGTTTGGACCGGCACAAAATCAGTATCTTGATAAGTTTCAGTTCTCAAATTATTATCAACTTTATCCTTATCTTGAATGCTCAGTTCATTAGATTGCCCTTCGTGGTCTTTACAATCCCTAGTATTATCATCTTGATTGCATGAGTTTATTTTTTGGCCCAAAGCATGTGCAATCATTCGACGAGCCACGATAGGCACAGTTCGTGGCTTCTGCTTAACAGATTCTTGTATCTCTCCAACATCCATTGAAAAAATCCGCTCCCGAGCAGCCAAATAAGCTGCTTCTCGTGCCTCAAGACTAAGCTCAAAAGAAGGCAAGTTTGTCTCCATTACTGAAAAAAGAAAAGACAATTTTTCAGGTCTCAATGTCCAGGTACTCAACACCTTCATGTTATTACATAATCAATTAACAGAAAATAGGTATATATGCAGACAAAATTTTTGGAATAATAAGCAACAAAATAAAAAGAAAAAAAGTTAGTCAATCCTATGACTTCTTATATGAATCAGGATTCAGGACCACTTAACATGCTTCCTAATCCTCTATAAGTAAACCGAAAAAAAAAAATTGTAAAGAAAAGAAGATATTCTCAGCTATACATGTTATTCTCAAAACTTGCCAATGACTTGATCAACAGGGGGATCATGAACCAGTACCCTAAACAGTGCCTTAAACAAGTGAACATGAAGAATTTTACCTGGTGGAGTTTCTTCTCTCGTTAATATATGGCGTGATGTTGTGAGAGACTGAGGCTCATCGCACTGCCATAAAATATCACTAACAAGAATGGAAGGTCTGCAAGACAAGATGCTGCCAGGTCATGAGCACCATAATAACTAAATGTCCAAAAACCTGACAGTTAGGATACAAATTACATACATTGATGTCTCTGGGCATCGTTGCAAAACTAAATGCCGATCGTCTCCTTCACCAATGGACTCATGAGCAAATCTAGCACAATTTAACAAAACATCAGTATTAAAAGATAACTCTGAAAACTCCACAGCTCCAAATTCAACTCAGATGATAAATAAAATACGTCTGATTATCTAATAAAAACAAAAGGATTACCCAAATATATCTGCAAGACGATGTAGGAGAAGTCGATTGTATGAATTCATAGGTTCCAACTCTAGGATCCCATCTGAGCTGCAATCCAGCATATTATCATTCAAAATGCTCATAACTGAGAGAGATTGAGACACGTGCAAAATATGAAATTCCCCTGAATTTGTTGCATGTGAATGTGGGCTATTAAGTTACCTTGTATCATCCTGAAGGAAATTAATGAAAGCATCTTCCATTGAGAGCACTAGATGCTTGCAAGGAAGATTGTCCTTGACTAGAAATGCCAATTCCTCCACCTGCATCTTAAACATATTAGTCCCACTATAGTTGTTGCCTTGGATAATTACATTTTACAGCAAAATACATAGTATAATAAAGAATTAAAGCATGTTTTGTTGCAATTGAATTACCAAAGCAAACTTCCACTGAATTAATAAGAAATATAAATATAATATTTTTTATAAATTCAATTATTTAGTAGAAATTTGAGTTTTAAAGAAACAATGAGTATAGAAGCAGAATTTTCAGTTTTGAGCACTAAAAATCAATAATTATGGGTAAAAGTACAGAAATTAATAAGACCCAGAAAGCCAACATGGGTTATTATCAAGTGTTACAAACGAATTGTGATCATTCTGATTAAAAAAAAAAAAAAGCAATGCAGCAAAACTATTACACATAATTCAACACGAAAAAAAAAAAAAAAACAGTTTGAGATAGAGAGAAGCTAACCATAGCGAACTGGGTGACGCTCATGTTTGAAAAATTTTATAGGACAAACAGCCTCAGAAATTCTAGGGCGGGCGAGGAGAGAGAGAGAGAGAGAAATAAACGGAGAAAATTGTTCGCAGATCCGCGAGAGCAAGTTATACTGTTTTTTTCTTTCTTTTTATTTTAATTTTGTTTGGACAATTGCAATGTAGCCTTTGATATTTGACTTATATCTCGTTCTGGCGCTTCGACTTCTAAAACTATCAATTTAGTCCTTATGAGGGAATTGGTTTGCTAGATTGTGCTCATACATACTCTAGGAATTAAATGTAGGCTTTTCTATGCCTTTCTATCTAGTTATTGAGTTTTTTTTTTTTTTGTTTAGATATTTTCGCAAAAATTATATGATTTTATGGTTGTTATTAAAGATTTGTTGTAGTAATTTGATTTATAAGAGGTAATGGTTGTGATTTATTGTATCAAAGATCAATTTATGGGTTATGGAGTCTGTTTTTATTTTTCTACGGTTAATATTCTTTAGAGAATTATCAATATTAAAAATGGTATGACAACTAAGTTTAGCTGTGTCATGTTGGTTTATAAATGAGCTTTTAGCTTTTGAGTGAATTTATATATTTTTTTTATATGATAATAAAATTATACTTTTGATATTTTTTGGTAATTTATAAAATAAAATATATTAAATATTTAAATTATTGATAGATAAATTATATTTAATTATTGATTAGCAAAAATAATAAAAATAAATTAAGATTTTAAGTTAAATACAAATTCAATTAACAAAATAAATTATTATAGGTATAAAATAAATATATAAGTAAATATATATTATATAAGTGAATCATAGACAATAAGAATGAAAAATAAAATAATAATCTTGTATTTTATAATATCTTTTCTATATATGTATGTTAATATATTTTTTAAGGATTAATAATTTATTTAGTAGATTCAATTACTTATTTTCTTTAACTACAAAAATTATATATATATATATACATTATTTTACTTTCATTTGTCTCTGACATGTTATTTTTAATAATAATAGATAAATGATTTTAAAAATAATTAAAAATTTGAAGAACTATTAATGAGTTGTGCTTGATCCATCTCAATACAAAAAATAGTGTTGTGTTTGGTAATGTACAAGTCTTTAAGGTTACAACTTACATGCAATACTTAGTATACTCTTAATTTTTATAAATCGTATTAATATGATATATTAAAATATAGTATTGGATTGACACAATTTATTAACACAATGATTAATATCAAAACAAGTTAAGTCGGACCAATTGACCCATTAAACATCTCTAATTTAATATAAAAATGTATAACATAATTTGATAACAATAATTATTAATATTTGGTTGGAGGATATTGAAACATATACTAAAGTTATTCCCTTCAAAATTAAAACCTAATTGTTAGATAATTCATATTTATAATAAATTATAATGAATTTGACTTTATGTTAAAACTACCTTACATTCATCAAATCTAATAACACAATAAATAAAGAAACTAAATAAAGGTCTATCAAATAAGAAAATAAATAAATAAATAAAGACCTCTGTTAACTTTACATTTTCATAAGCTTTCCTTCCAAAAATAAAAATTACCTTTTGCATCAATTAATGTTTTGAGTTAGCAAAAAAAAAATTTTTTTATAGTGCAATTCTATGAAGCCTTCATTATTTTTTTAATCCAATCAAAATGATAAGTAAACCATTTTTAATGAATTACTTTGATATTTCATCATTGAGATTATAACAATAACAATAAATTAAGTCTTATATCTTATAATTTTAAGATTATTTATATAAAAAATCAAAAAATTATCATTGAGATTAATTGTTATAAATATTTAAACACTTTAAATGATATAAATGTGTAAATTATTTATTTTCTCTTCTACATTGTTGAATCTCTAAATCCATAATATTATAATTTTTTAAAAATAATTATATATTAATTATACTTTCATAACGAAGTACAGACGCTCACCAAATTAAGATCCAAGATTCATAGTTATGAGAGGCATCTCATCATGGAATTGAATTTTATCGGGATGGTGCTTGATTTTGATTTGGCGTGCACCAAAAATATTAGAATGGTTAGGCATGCCTCCTACAAGCTATGCAATACGCTTCAGAGCATTTGTACGTATAAGAGTAAAATTTTGTACCTTTAAATTTGATTTTTCATAAATCAAGTAACTGTATTAGGTTGAAGTGAATTTAGACTTGTGAGACTAAATTCTATAGTCCAAATTTATTGGTTATTTTTATCCAATTAATCTTATTTATTAGAATTTTTAATAGTCTTTCGCCTTTTAATTTATATTTTTATATAAAATATAAAAATTTATATGAAAATTATATATTATAATTTATATTAATATAAAAATATAAAATATATTTTTTATTTTATTAAATTTATATAAAATTATTATTAAAATTTTAAATTATATTATATTTATATTTTATTTTTATATTATATTTATATTGTATGATGATATCGTATTTTATATTATTAAATTTACTTTATATTTTATTTTGTAAAAAAAAATTTAATAAATCATTCTTATCTTTTTTTTTCCAAGAAATAGTTTTTACCTTTTTATTTTTCAAAATAAAATTTACGGTAGAAAATTATACAACAACCTTTTTTTTTTTTTTTTTTTGGTAAAAACTAAAAATTAAGAACACACTTTTCTTTGTTTTTTAAGGAGAGAGATGGTTAGCTGTTTAACTTAGCGGCAAACGGCGAGTTTTAAGTGTTCACTAAGAGTCTAAAATATATTTAAAAGGGCAAAAACAGAAAGGAAAAATTGGAAAGTGAGAAAAACCAAAAATTCGTAATCTGAGATTCTGGGTTATGGCCACAGCTCTGCCATCAACGGCATGGCACACGATAAAGTTTCAGCCGCACCCTCTGCTTCCTCAGCAGCGACGTCGCTTATTAGTCCAATCCTTTAGGCGGAGCGACTTCGACACCTTCACTCGCCGCATGGCCTCCGGTGAGGCCTGGAAGGATGCTTGGCGAACCGCCAACGACGGCTTCGAGCAATTCGTCTTCGAAGCTAAAAAGACTGCTGAACGCTTAGACCGCCAGTACTCCGTTTCCCGCCGACTCTCCTCCGTAGTCCGATCCGCCACTGACCGTGCTCGTGAAATCGATAGGGAGTTCGAGATTGGACTCCGTTGGCGGACTTTTACTATGGATTTTAGTAGAAATTGGCCTAGGGTTCGTGTTTTCCTTTATTTCTTATTCTAATTTTAATTTTTTTATTTGTAACTTTTAAACTAACTAATTATTTTGGGGGATTTTGTGAATATGGTTGCAGTACAGGAAGCAGCTGAATGATTTCTTGGATACTCCATTAGGAAAAAGTTTTGCTGTAAGTAACATTCGGTTAAGTTTCAACTTTACTAGCTTTAATGGGTAAAATACACTTAGCCCATGTGGTTTCATAGAAAATATCGCTTACCCCTTTAGTTTGAAAATCCTAGTTCCAAAACGCCCTCTTATCCTGTGAGTTTGGTGAAAAATACACTAACCTGTGTTATTCATTAAGTCAATTTTAAATGAAAAAGCAAATATCCTTTGTCAATTAAAGATAAGTTTAAAATATTTAACATGAGCTTGAATTAGAATATAACTGGATTAGAATTTTGTGTATGTTTTACCAAACCACAGGGGATAAGAGGGTGTTTTTCCAACTAAAGAGGGTAAATGTATTTTTTTTAATCAAACCTCAGGGGTTAAATATACTTTTTCCTACTGTCATCGGTAATTTTTATTTTTTATAGGTTCAATTTCATTGTTGCTTCCAAAAATAAAGATTGTCATGAAGCAAAAGAAAATAGAAAATGAAAAATTATGTGCTAATTTAATGTGTAATTCACTAGGATGCATGATTAATTCAAAGGTTATTGTTTCATTTGAAAGTAAACTCATGCATTTTACTATTTATATGAAAGTTATATTCTTAAATTTTTAATTTTTCAAAAATGTTCATTGCATTTTACATCCAAATGTGCCTTTAGCTTTTGAAAGCAAGAAATCAAAGCCAAAAAGTAAGTAGAAAAAGGAACAGTTTGATAGAGCTTAGGAACGCATGTTTTTTATGATAACAATTCCCCCCCCCCCCCTTGGGGGGTCTCCTTTTAAAAATGATTCTGTTGTGAAAGAAGTTGGTAAGATAGGTTGTTGTGTGGTGGGGGTTGTTAAGTAATTGGTGAAGTCCAAAAACTCCTTAAAATTAAAACTATCGTGACCTATACTTTAATTTGTAATATACAATATCATGTTTTCATTGCCTGTAACTAGTTAAAGAGGATGAACCTTTTACATCTCTTAACATCTGTTAAGTAGAAGATATCCAACATCAGTTGTTTTTGGAGTTTATAATTGCCTTCTATCAAAGTCTAGCTTCAACACCTGTTACAAGTTGGTTTTAGGTTGAATACTTCATATGCCCAAGTGTTTGTTTACTTCATTTTGGGAGTCCATGTTACAGGCCTATTATTCTCAGTGGTTCTATTGGGCCTACATGTAAGGGAGAGTCATGTGGTCTTGCATGTCATGTCAGTTGTATCTGGGTTTGTATGGGTGGCCTTATATTCAAGTTAGGTCACAACTTATTATTAATTGGTTAAAGGTAAGATGCCTATGACTCTCATAATCTTATTCTTCAATATCTTTTGCCTAGAAATTTAATCTTTTCAAGGTGTTTTTCTTCAAAGCAGAGAATTGAGTCATTGAATTTCTATTGAAAGTTTTAATCAGGAAGTGATAGGATTGAGATAAATTGTTTGTATTGGTTATAGATCATTAGCTAACTCATTTCAGGGTAATAAGAGTTTTCTTTTATCTGTTTGCAGACAATTTTCTTCCTTTGGTTTGCATTATCTGGTTGGCTGTTCCGATTTTTAATATGTGCCATATGGATACTGCCATTTGCTGGACCTCTTCTTATTGGGACTGTTGCCAATAATCTTGTTATTAAGGTATCACTTATTTTTATAACACAACACATATAATGCAGGAAAAAAATGATGACTTGCATAACATATGTGTTCATCTTTCTAACATTTATTTGTTTAGTTTTTATTCCTTCTTTTCCCTGTAAAAGGTGACAGTAGTAAGTTCTGGTCATAACATATGGAACCATATGATCAAAATCAAAGTCTTGTCATGCATGTAATTCTTTAGTTCTACTTTATTAGTAGCTGAAAAAATATTTTACTCACTATTTTGATGATTACAGCTAAAGTTTCTTCAATGTGGTTATTTAGATGCAGAATGGTAACAATGGATGTTCATAACTTCTAACATTTCTTTTCCTTGTTGTTATTACTATCCTTACAACATTGAGTTTCTAGGAAGATCTTCCTTCTAGTAACATATATCATTGTTAGCTTGGTTTCATTGTGAGGAGTAATGTGAAAATAAAACGTAGAAACTAGAATTAACAATTCTTTTGCGGTTGATTTCAATGATAAAATCTTTTATTAATCAGGTTTTCTTTATAAAAATTTGTTTCGTGTCCTTTTTTTTTCTTTTCAGTGGATTAGTTTGACAAGTTCTAGAATTTATGCTAGTGAGTTTGTCAAGTTGTTGGATGGATTCAAGTGGGAATGTGGAGCTTTTAGGGCATAACATTGTGTTAGTTTGTTTATAATGGTGTATTGTATCTGAGTAAACTTTTGACCATGTATATTCCTTGAGAAGGGAACCAAAATTTGGTAGCAGAAACAACCTAGGGTCCATTTATTCACAACTTCATTGCAAATACGTTTTAAAACTTCTTCATTTTGTTCGTGGTTTGGTTTATGTCAATATGCTTTACAGTGTGTGTTCAGAAATCCATGTATTACCTTCAATCAACTTTTGTTTTAGTCATAAACATTATTTGAAATGGCTTTCTGGCCTTTCTATGATAAATTGGACAGGGTGCTTGTCCAGCTTGTAAGAGGCAGTTTGTTGGTTATAAAAACCAAATAATACGGTGTGCGAGCTGTGGAAACATTGTATGGCAACCAGAAGGCGACTTCTTTCGCAGAGACAGCAGGGGCACCGCTTCAAGAAAGTCTGAACCTGAAATTATTGACGTTGAGTTTGAGGAGAAATGACAAGATGTTCTAAGAATATACAAGTGATCTTTTGCTTCCTGTGGAGTCAAATGAGACTGAACGGCAATTTTTGCTCATTTCTTTGGATATTTAGTTTCTTTGAAAATCTGCTGTTGCTATTAGTGTCTGTACTGTATAGTATCATTCTCAGTAGTAATCTCTCACTTAAAAGACAAAGGAAACTTAAAGAAAAAAATGGTAATCTTTTGTTCATAGAAAATGTTTCATTTGATAGGGAATGGCATTTAGTTTGAACTTTGGTTCCTGAAGCCGTCGAGGTTACTGTTGTAGACAAATGCTTTCAGTTTATGGAAGAATTTTTATTTCTATTTGATTGAAGAATTAATTTGTTATTTGAATTATGAATTATATTACTTTTAATGATTTGGTATTTATAAAAAAAATTATATGTATTTAAACTTTCATTTTCGTCAAATTTGTTTGTATATTGACTAACATTGTTAGTCAAAATATTGATATGATAAATATTAATCAATAAAAATATTTCATATATTATTATATTATTGATTTTTTATTTCGTATCAAGTTATCCTTAAACAGTATTAATAATATTAGTGTGCAGGATAAAATGATTGGTGAAAACAAAATTTAAGTATTTAATCATGAAATTTTTATAGATATTAAATTGCAAAAAATAATATAATATATTTTAGCTTAAGTGACAAAGATTTCAAAACAAAGGACGACATTGGAGGGCGGTAGAAATCCTGGAAATCATGATAGAATTAGAATAGTATACAAAATAATTTACCCAGCGCCGACATATGTTTATGTGTGGCATGTCCAACTTGATGTTATTTTCATGTAGATAAAATAATGACAAATTTTGAGACTTGCAATCATTCTATATACTATCAAATATCATGATTGGTTCAGTAAAAGTTTGCAAAAACAAAATAAATAAATAAAAATATTTATCTGATTGATTTCCATCACAATTAGTGTTTTGATATTATATATTAAAAAAGAAGACTCGGCCAAGGCAATTTTTTTCAGAAGAACCCACATGGATCAAGCAAATGGCAAGCCCAATCACAAACGCCAACGGGATTGAATATCAACAACACAACAGCTTCCTCAAACAACAAAACGAACAATCGGATGCTTCCCATATTTGCTGTTTGACATCATGGACACCATTTTTCGTGACCCATTTTACCATGATTACAAGCACCCAACTGCATGGTTTGAGTTCGAAAATGGGTTCCTCGAACTTGAATGAGTTTCATTTTCAAACTTAAGCTTGACTCAGTTAAGCCAAATGCTTTGCACATGTGATATTATTTTTATTTATATCATACATACATAAATATAGACAAACACTCACGTAGATAGGAGAGAGCGTATTTCGGTTATAACTGAAATAATCGATGCAAGCCAACTTAATTAGATAAAATCGGGTCAATTATTTTAGTTTTGATTTAAAATCGGTTATTGTTCCGGTTTAATCAAATTATTCGGTCGGTTTTTTATTTTTATAAATACGGTGATGTAAATAGTAACTCATCCAATAAAAAAACAGATGATAATTAAATATTTAAAACAATTAATAACCTTAGACCCAAAAACCCTTTTTCCTTTCCAGGTTCTTGACTCCTCTGACCCTCTGACCTCTGACCCTTTTTCTTCAATCTTTTTTCTTAACTCACCTCTGATTCGTCTCTTTCTTCTCTAATTTCTTCATGACTCCCCTCTAACCCTCTGATTTCATCCCTGGTTTGATTCAATTCTTCCTCCATCCTGCACCAGCAGCTTCGATACCAGTACCACTGATCCACAGCACCAGGCGGCAAGCATCTTTCCCCCGGCAAAGGTTAGTGACTCACAACTTCTACTTGTTGATTTAGTATTTCTCATTCTGTTGATGTTCTTTTTCCTTTTATGTCTCTTTGACCCAACCCATGTTGTTGTTTTATTTATAATATTATGAGATTAATATGAGTAGTGTTGATTAATAGTCTTCAAATTCTTAAAGAATTTGCTGCTTAACATTAAAACCGATACAATTAGGTGAAATACAGATTTGGTAAATCAATAAAACCATTGCAACCGACCGAATTAAATAGATTCGATTAATTTCGGTTATTATTCGCTTAGTTAGTCGGTCGGTCGGTCGGTCGGTCGGTTATTCTTGAGATTAATAGGTTCAATCGGTTTTGGAAACCAACCCATAAAAAAACCGGCCTGACCGGTTGCTCTGCCTTACACGCGCAAAATGGTTTAGTTTTATGTAGCCTAGAAACTAATATAACATAATATAATATACTATAATACTCCTGTGTTTTATTTTTTTGTCTTTTTTTTTATGTCCCAAAATTATGTTTTATTTTCTTTTTTGAATATTTAAAACTCTTACTTTTTTATATTTTAAAATTAATTTTTATGATTTTTTTTACTTTTTATATTAAAAATTATGGAACTTTAATTTTATTAAAAGTTTTAAATTTTAATACTAAATACATTGAAATAAAAAAATTTTTTTTAAACTCCGTAAAAATCAATAACTGACAAATATTTTGGGACAAATAGAGTATAATATATGTATTTTACTAGAAATTTATGCATTTTAAAATGCTTGATTAGCCTTGCCAGCGTCAGCAGTGGCAGAGACTAGTTTAACTATTTCCTGGTAGCTTGCACGCTGGCTTGCCTCAGTTACATCCAAGTTTGAGGAAGAATCAAGAAAAATTATGCAATGCAGATGCAAGGAAAGGGAAGTATGGTGGCTAGGAGTCAAATCTTTTCCTAAGTAAAATTATCTAAGCATTTAGACATTGTCAACTTTGCCATGTCGGGTTATAATTCTATGTATAAGATCATGAACTATGCTTGTAATATCAACAATTAGATAAAATATTATCAACAATCATATTGAGAGTTATAGCATGATATGTAATGCTAATATCATTGTTTTCTTTATTTTAGCATGAGATTTCACTTGCACCCCAACATATAGTAATGTTCAAGCCCTTTTTCATTCGTTCCATTCAGGTTACCTTCTTCAACAGTGGCAGATTCATGATTTTTTCTTGGGGGTGTCTACTTGTGCTGGATGTTTGCAGGCTGTAGGCTGTGGTTGGTTATAGGTAATGGAAGTAAGTAGAGTGATTAGGAAATTAAGAAAGATATGCTTAGGGAAAAAATTTGGGGGTACCTCTATATCTGCATCCAGCCCTGAACAAGAAAACTACATCCGCAATGGAGCCACCTTATTAGAGAAGCAAATGACCCTTTTCCAGGGGAAAAGCTTCTATAGCGAGCCACTCAGGATATTTTCTTACAAGGATATCAGACAAGCTACAAACAACTTTGACCAGGACCTTATCATTGGCACTGAAATTGCTACAGTCTACAAAGGAATCATGGAAAATGGGAGAGTCGCTATCAAAGTACGTGAAGGCCTTGGTCCTACTGAGGGTATGATTAATTTTTTCTTGAACCAGGTAACGATAAAACAAGTAATCAACCACAAGAATGTGGTGAGACTCTATGGCTGCTGCTTGGAAACTGAAATACCGGTCCTGGTTTTTGAGTTTCTATCAAACGGGACTCTCTATGATAATCTTCATAGAAGGAACCCAAACTCTTGCTCAATCTCTTGGTCAGATCGTGTAAGAATTGCTGGAGAGATATCCTATGCACTCTCCTACATGCATTTAGGTTCATTAAAGCCTATTGTTCATCTGGATGTTAAAACTATGAACATATTTTTGGATGAGCATTTCACAGCCAAATTATCAAACTTTGGATTCTCAACCCCTATATCCCCTGAAGAGACCGTCCACAGCTGGGCAGCCTTGGGCACAGACGGATACATGGACCCCGAATACCAAGACACATTGCGTGTCAATGAGAAATGTGATGTTTATAGCTTTGGGGTAGTGCTAATAGAACTGTTGACAGCCATTGATCCCTTTGCAATTTCATGTGGCTTGGCTAATTACTTTGTTCCTTTTGTAGAAGAGAACCGCTTAAACCAAGTCATAGATAGTAGAGTTCTCGAAGAAGGAAGCAGAGAAGAAATTCAAGCATTCGCAGCACTTGCATTCAAGTGTGTTGGGAAAAAGGGAGATGAGAGACCGACAATGAAAGAGGTAGCCTTGGAGCTCAGGAGGATTCACCTTCTTGTAAGATCTTAATAAAAAAAAATGGCAGAACAAGTTGCTGATTCTTATGTGCTTATTTGATTTTGTGGTCTCAATAATTACTTGTAATTTGGTTTGGTTTATGATGTGATGTAAACTTGATTGGAAGGTCATTTAATTAGGATTTTGTTTTTGTATGGATTTTATGGGACTGCATTTCACAATCCTAGAAATAAATTTTAAGAATTACTTAAAAATATTATCATAAATCCAAAGTTTTGGATTAAAGCACTTGTAGGCTTGTCGCAAAATAATAAAAAAATAAAATAGAAAAAATAAAAAATTTGAGTTTGGTGATTGATAGGAAACTAAAAAAGTAAATAAATAGCCATGTATAGTATATATTATAAAAAATTAACTATTAATTTCATAAGATTGATTTTGAGTTTAAGTAACATCTCTTTATATATGTAAAGTACTATTTATGTTTTTATTTAAAATTTTTCATGTTTAATGCAATTTTTATATAAATGTTATATTTATCATTATATTATGCAAATTATTTAATGACATTTTTTTCTTTAAATGTTACTAAAATCTTGTATAATATTTTGGTTAAATCCATATAAAATGCTATTTAAACAGTAAAGAGAGATTGCAAATCATTTTTTAATAGCATTGATTTGAAAAAAATGACTAAGAACAAATATATTGTACTAATATTCCAAATAATCCCATGAACAGCTCTACATATATAACGAGACATATAATAGATCTTTATAGCATAATTAATATTCAAATTAAATAAGCCCAAAGCTTTTTCATCAATGGCTTAAAAATGCATAATATTGCAAAACAAGACTTCCAATCATGATTCTAAGCCATGTTTGTCCTAGAAGAAAATTTGAAGTGGTCAAGCAATAAGAAGAAAATATATGACAAAAAAGAAAGAAGCCATTGGCAAAAAGATTGGGCCAAGGCATTTTTTCATAAGTACCCACATGGATCAAACAAATGGTAAGCCCAAACACAGAGGCCAACCCAGATTGTGCTGCAAACATTGCCCCTTCTTTCCTGAAAGGGAAAAACAATATCAATGATTGTTGCTCACATTTTGGTTGAAAAACAATTTTGGATGGCTCAATTGGTGAGAGCACCGACAATCTGGTTCCATCCTAAACTACTTCCTAAACAACCCAGAAACAGGATGGCATTGAATACCAACAACACAACAGCTTCCTTAAACAACAAAACCAACAGCAGGAAGCTTCCCATATTGCTGTTTGACATCATGGACACCATTGTTCGTGACCCTTTTTATCATGATATCCCTGCCTTCTTCGGGTAACTCCGTTTTTCATTTCCCTCCCTCATTTTGTTTTTTTTTTTTAATCCTTTTTTGGAACTGGGTCTGTCGATTTTTGTCATTTTTTAATTTAAAACCAATATATTTGCCTCCTGTTGGCAATAGTTTATGGAAGTGATCAAAGTTAAATTTGATGGTCAGAATGTCTTTGGAGGAACTAATAGACCTCAAGCATCCAACTGCATGGATGGAGTTCGAAAATGGGGTGATTAATGAGGTACACTACCTAGAAATATAATGCGGAAAAGTTTAGTTATATTTCTTCAGATGTATGTTGAGGTAAGTAATCATATGAGAATAGTGTTGAGGGATCTTTCAAACTTTTTGATGGAGGCATCTAACAAGATTAAATATTTCTTGAAGTACGTTTCACTTGTCAATTTTGGGATTGATTGCCATTTCAAAGCAATAAAAAGCTATGTGGATGTTGATTATCTTTGAATTGTTGTACATTGGGGTGTAAGAAGGTTGACTAGAGTTCCCCAGTAAAGGCTGGAGATCAAGCTCTACTATAAACTTGAGGCTTGGAAACATCCTTGAGCTTGAATGAGTTCCATTTTTCAAACTTAAGCTTGACTCAATTAGGCTCAAATACTTTCAATATGTGATGTTATTTTTATTTATATCATACATACATAAGTATAGTGACACACACAGACAAAATGTTTTAATTCTAGTACACATATAATATGTATATTTCACTAGAAATTTATACATTTTTATAATGCTTGATTAGCCTTGCCAGTGCTGATCTTGAGCTTGGCTCAGTAGTGGATGAGTGTAGTTTCACAATTTCCTGAGTATCTTGCACGCTGGCTTGATTCAATTTCAAGTTACACCCAAGATGGACACACTGTAGTAGTTTTGGTTTTTCTTACTTTTCCATCATTGTTGTTATCTTACATCTCTTGCAATATATTATTTGGCAGTTAAACACAAAATTAACTAGCCTTTCTTTGTAGTCCTTTTTTATCTCTGATATACTACTGGCTTTTCTGATAATTTGATACAGCAGTTGAAATATTGTTCTATTAACATTTTTTTTTTCTGAATGTGTGAACTATTGCAGCTTGTCTAAACAACCAATACATGGCACAACACTTATGTATTGCTTTTAGTTAACTATCATTATGTGCATATTTATTTTTGCTCTTCTTTTATGCTAGTAGCCTTATTAGTTTTATGTCAATGTTAACCTATCCAAAACCATGATCCTTTACTATATTGACCCATATATTTGCTTCTTTAACAGAAATCTACTGGCACTTGTAAATTTCTAATCCGGCAAAAACCTACTATGAAGGATTACTCAATCATTTTAGATTCAATTTTACATTTATAAATGGAACTTTTGGATTTTTATTTCTGTCTTGTACTTTCTACAAGATTTTAGCAATATAGTTTGAGACTTAAAGAAATGCAAAATAATTCCATGCCTTTCGTCTGTGTTTTTTACTCCCTTTTCCTCTCTCTTTCCTTTCTTACTTAGATCTCTTTGGTTCAATATTGCCTCATCTTTTGAGTCATTGCTTTCCTCCTGATTTTATTTTCTTCTCATTTATCTTCTGGTTTGGAGTGTGAGAAAGTTATCTTATTTCCTCTCAGGAGGAACTAGCAAGCAAATTCTTTAAAGATGGAAGGCCTATTGATTTGGAAGGTTGGTTTGCATTTTTATTTCTTTATATTTTTCCTTCCATCCGTTATATGAGGTTGATTAGCATTTCATTTGATATATGTAAAATGTGCTTGATCTTAGTATAAATCTCAAATAAAATTGAATTTAAATATTATGCATTAATTCTGGCTGAGATTGTACATTGTGTCATTTTTTTCTTTTTTATTGCATATGGCATATATATTTCTTTTCCATAATCTTTTAGTACCACAGTGCTAATTTTGATGGCAGTAATATCGGAAATTTACATAGCTAGGTATATAAACTGTTATGCTTAGGGTTTTCAACTGCAAAGAAAAAGGTTTAAACAATTTTGGACTCAAACATGTTGACAGTGCTGGGTTTGGAGGTAGGAATCTGAGTACTGCTAGTTAAGAAGTATGTTGAAAAGATTTGTCAAAAGTAGAAGAAACTTATTTCAAGGTTAATGGTTTGGTGACATCAAGCTAAGAGAGCATGGGAATTTAACATTTTGTGTTTGCTAAAAACTAAGCTTGGCAATTATAGTTCTTAGGGCTATTCTGTGTTGTGTATTAGAACTATGTATGAACAAAAGAGCCAAACCATATTGGCATGTGGTGCTGAGCCTTCTGTACTCTTCAAAGAAAGGTTTAGGCCAATGCTTATGTTGATATAATGCATAGAGATCTCAATAGGTGGGTGAGTGGATACCTGTGTAGTGTTTGCGTACATGCAACTGCATGTCAATTTAATAGATATGAGTTTTATTGTTTATAATTCTGGATGTATATGCGTATATGTATTCATGCCTGCAATTGCTTGGTTTGTGTGGTGCTAGAGATACAGAGACAAAGAGTTAAAGAGAGCTTGCATTTATTCAGCTGTGTGTGCACATATGTTCATGTTTCATAGGCACGTGTATCCTGAACCACTGTAAAATTTTCATCCAATGAAATTAGGATATAAATTTATTAATTAGCTTGTCTTCTTTAGCTTTTAACTCTACGCAAAAGGATAAAAGAACTTTCTTAGGAATACAATAGTCTAATGAACCACAAGCACATGTAGAAACCTATGATATCATGTAGGACGATAATATTAGAAATTTAGTTCACTAACACTATTGGTATCATAAAAATACCTTTTTTTGCACAAAATGTGGAGCAGAGTCAATACGCACATGATGCAGTGTGCTCTTTTCATTTTTATTTGGTTATGGGGGTTAGATATATTGTACAATGGTAATGGGATTGAATTAGAACAGAAAAGTACTCAGTCCTGAGAGAGCTTGAGAGAGGTGGAGGGAAAGTGAAAGCATAAAGGCAGATCAAGTTTTGATGCAGGTCCTCCTGTGAAGTAGTAACAGATAGAATCAAATGTGCAGTTGATGGTACATGTACAAAATATCCTACAATGGTGATTGATTTTCTAGTCTCTGGTCTCTAGAAAGACTGATGCAGGAACAAGTGCAAAATGTATATCATCTGGTAAATGACTAGTGATTGTTACAATTATGTTTGTTCTGATCATAATGAATATGGTGTTTGCCTTTTTTGTCAAATAATGAAAATGTATCTGATAGATCGAATGTTTTCCATACATATTTAGAAGTAATATTAAGAAATAAAAGAAAGCAAATATTGATTTGCAAGTGAAATATAATTTTTTTTAGTATTTAAATATGCATAGCTGTTATTTAATTAATAATTAATAAACTAATTGTACATAAAACTCCGCACCGTGCTTTGATGCTGTCTTACCCTTGAAAGCTGGACATGGAAGGAGAAGTAGGTTATGCTATTATAAATGCATTTCCATTCAGGTTTGTAGAAACAGATTGCATTTGTTAAATACAAGAGAAAACTATGATACCGTTGCAGTAGATTTTCAACAATGTTTTTCTTCTTTGTATTTCATCTATAATTTAAGTGTGTGTCCATTAAATATATCTGATATTTAGATACCGTTGCAGTAGATTTTCAACAATGTTTTCTTCTTTGTATTTCATTTATAATTTAAGAGTGTGTCCATTAAATATATCTGATATTTTTATGTTGGTCTTCCTAATTATCTAAATATGTTAATTTCTCTAACTTTCTTTCAGGCCTAAAAAATTGTGTGAGAAAAGGATATTCCTACATAGAAGGAGTAGAGCGGTTGCTTCAAGCTTTGAAGCAAAACAACTATGAGATGCATGCTTTCACAAATTACCCCATTTGGTAAGGTGGAACAGCTCTTCTGGTTCGTTCTGATTCAGTAGTTTATTAGTTAAAGATATGTACATGTGTATTTATTTTTTCAGGTACAAGATAATCGAGGACAAGTTAAAAATTTCAAATTATTTATACTGGACATTTTGTTCATGCATATATGGTATGTTCAAAGACTTAACTATTCTCCAATTCGCTCAAATATTCTCCTATTCACTCAGTGGTATTGTTGACATTTCACTATCTTTATCTGTCTGTTGGATGCACATTTTCACAAGAGCAGGTGTTTGTTTATGGTGTCTGTTCTACTTCCAGCTTGGATTGATTGTGTTAATTGTGTATCTGTTATGTTTTGTTGTCTCTATTTTTTTAGTTTTAAGTTGACTTTTACTGTTTCGTTTATAAAAGCTTGATAATGTTGTTTGTGGAGATTTGATGTTAGCGTGGACCGTAGTAAAACTCTTGCATATGTTCTTCTTTAGATATTCTCTAATTCCTGTCCAGATTAAAATATTGCTTCCGCACAGAATGATTGAATCTCTGTAATTTCTATATCCAAATATAGAATGTCTATTCTAAATTTATTTCTTTTAGTTCATAATTCCTTATCTGTTCCCTAATGTTTCATAATAACCTCTAAATAATTATGCGGAATGTGATTTCCTCACTCTTTACCCTCTTTCTTTCTGAAGTCATGGTAAGAAATCTAAAGCTAATGGTGAATGCTGTCTGTTCATAATGGTTAATTTTGCTGATTTAGTCCTGAATGATGTGTAGTTTATCAGGCTGATGTGTGATGCATTATGAAAGTTCTAAGCAAAGGAGTCTACCTAGTTTTTATTTCAACTGAAAAGATAATTAGTGCTTAATACCTTCTAATTTGTGTTATGCTATGTGGGTTATTCTTCCCATTTATTTATTACACTGATGTGGGCACATTGTCATTCCATTTCTGCTCTGCTTCTAACTGGATTTGAGTCTATCTAAATTTTCAGAGTTGATCATATGAATGTGGCATCACCATGAAAATGAACTGTATACACAGAGGGTACCTAATAAAGGGATGTAAATTTCCCAATTTTCCCTTGGTTACATTCTGTTCCCATTCTGTTCCCGTTCTGTTTATCTTGTTGAACATGAAATAAAAGTTAGTGGTGCCTGTACCATTCTTGTGTTCTATAATTGTTAATCCAACATATCATCACTTTTATACTTCTGCTAAGTGATCAACTCCTAGTATTTGGTTCATTACTGCCACTTGCAGAAGCAAGTGAGCAGTCATGTTGCCGTTGAATTCATCATTCAAAGACAAATGATGCAAAAATATCTATTTGTCTCTAACACAAGATTTTCCTTTTTTTATTTTTCAGTCTCCTTAAATATTTCAATATTTTAAAATACTGTATAGCTGTCACTAATTGTGTTCTTGAGAAAATATGTATATCTGGAGATGATATTACCTGTTTTGTGGCTGTTAAATAGCTCATTCTGCTATAGTGAATGATTCTGATTACCGTGCTCCGTGCATCCAGGAAAGAGGAAGCCTGATCCTGATTTCTATTTGGCTGTTGTGCAACATCTTAAAGTTGATCCTGCGAGCTGTATATTCATTGATGACAGGTATCATCCTTGACTACTTCCCACTGAGGAGGCACTTCTAATATGATCTAAAACCAGTTGTAGCGGATATTAAAAAAAACCCTGATTTTATGGAAAAAACCATGGGAACACCTGTCAGTGCTAAAGGTAAGCAGTAGGAAATTCTCTTCTTATGGCCTGTGTCTGAACCCATGAACACATATGGATGCATGTGTTGTTTCAGACCAATGCCTTCGTGCATCTATTGGGTTTGCATGGGAGTTTTCTGGTATGGATGTGTCTGTGCACAATCATTCTTGTCTCATATTTTGTGTAGGGCATTTAAGAGAAAATTTTGTCATAGTATAATGCACATTTAACATTGCTTGTGGGCTAATTTCTATGTGCCACTTTTTTGGGGTACAAGTGATGACATGAAGTCCCATTGTATTATTTTCACTCTGGTCATCATAGGCTTTTCTTTGAAGGAAACTTGTATCTTTCTCTAATGCTTTTAAGCAAACTTTGAAAAGCAATTTGATAGATATATATATATATATATATATATATATTATATTCATGCAATAACTCAAAAGTAATACTTTTAATTTCCTATCAGATGTAATATTAGCATGGAAAAATAAAAGTTGAGGAAAACATGCCACAAATATCTTAGAACTATTTCACTGGTTTGGCATGCATGTATATCGCTCTGAGAAACGTGCACATACACACATTACTTCACTTTCTTAGAACAGTTACTCTCTTATAGCTTCACTTACTAAAATGTGGCATGGTAAGCGTCTCAGGATCAAAAACGTTGAGGCTGCTGTAAGAGTTGGCATTACTGGTCTTCATTTCAAGAACGCAGATTTACTACGGCAAGAGCTTCTGCGGTTAGGGGTTGACATTCCAATAGATGGAGATGTAAGTGAGGATCAACTTAAGCCTGCTGAAGGACAGACATTGTAATATCTAAACTTACACATATTAAACTATATATCAGTGTTAGTCTTTTTTGGTATTCTGCCTTCTTAAGATTGATCCATTACGTTTTTTTTTTAATAAATACCATTCTTTGCATTGGGTATCCTTTGAATAAATGATACTCTGATTGCAAAATCTTTATACTTAAACGTACGGCCTTAGTGCAATTAGCAAGCCTTCCAACTTTTTCACGGAGTAATCATCCTTAATCAACTGCTTTCTACTGTTCTTTTTTTAAAAATAAGGATTCACTTCTTTCTCACAGGCTCTACTGATACATGCTTTTCTTAGCTCATCAAGGCTCAATCATGCAAGCCAAAAAAAAAAAAACACCCAACAACATCCACTATCAAATCTTGGAATCAAAATTTGATGGTTTTACGTAAAGAATAGAGGATTGTAAATTTAAGGGGCTTTCAGGTTGTGCGAGGTGGGCTTGGTCATTTGGGAATTAACCATGCTCACTTCAAATTGCTAAAATTTGACGTAGTTGTGCCATCTTCTGTACAAGGAAGCTCGAATTCACACCAGGTTTTCTTCTCTAATTTCTTCCGTTAGGATTTGACAAGGGTCTCCGTACAAATTTTATCTATCTCAGCTTCTTGATAATCCTTGTCCTCTCGTACCCAACTTTTGTCTTCAGCTTTTCCAACTTTTCTTTACCTCCCTCTCTATCAGCTTGAATTGCTTTGTGTCTTTTGTTATCAGATAGCAAAGCCGGTCTTGCAAATTTCATTGGCCTCATCAATCCAAGTCTCTCCGTTATGTCCTTGAATGCAGGAACAAGACCGCGTCTGATAAAACATCCTTCAATTAATTGCATTGAGTTTTGTTCTGGGAGAGATGGGGCATCCTTTAATTCGAGGTCCAAACAGAACGGCGAGTCTTTCAACCACATCCTGAGGGAGTGAGCCTTGGCTACAAGGAGGCCACTCCTTGTTTTGCAAGGAAGAAAAGGAGAGCCCATCTCCCATAGGCATGCCTTCAAAGTGCTGTTAAGAGAAACCATATTGTACTCTGCCGTCCCGGTTATCAGAACAACTGATTTTGGAGACTCTGGATCTCCTTGTAGTGCGGCATCCTTCCAAAGGAAAAGCATTGCCAAGTTAGAGATACAATAACAATAACCAAAAACCCAGGTCGAGAAGAGGAATACATATAAGTGTGATCAAGAAAGTGCCAGAATTTTGATCCTTAGCCCCCACAAGACAACACTCAATCTAAATATGAATCATAAGAAAATAAACAAAAATAAATCAATCTCCCTAAACCCTGGAAATGCCATCTATCCTACCTCAAGTTTCAACTAGTACTAAATTTCTGTTCATCAGTACTATTCCGAAACACAGATCAGCTCAAAAATCAATCAGAAAACTCTTGCTTTTAGGATCCCATTTTATACCATAGCAGACTCAATTATAAAGCCTAATTTGTCTCACAATTCTCCATCATTTTGGTCTGAAATAAAACCATAATTTCCCTCAAACCTTAATTTACTTGCCTGTGTACGGTAGTTTCCAATTCCTATTAATTTGAGGGCAGCCCTGTCTGCCTCCTGTCATGCTCGTGTATCTATCTTTCCACATACTACCTAAGTGTACAGGCTATATACCAAAGTTACAGTAGCCAGAAAGGGAGATCTAACTAGTATTGGAGCTCAATTGTGAATAAAGACAAGTTCTGGCGCAAATACAAAAGTAAAACAGAAACTAAAAATCACCATTAAAAAATCAATAAGGTACAAAAAGGGCCTTGAATTTCAGAATTAAATAAAATTTGCAAGTCCAAAGAAATTGTGAAACATGAAAAGAACAATAATAATGAATATTCATGATGACAATCAGAAGTTAGAAAATTGTATTCTATCAGCAGTTACATTAGCATCATTGAGACCACCACTGGTAGAAGCAATAACAAGAACAAGTTAGGCATTACAAGATATCACTATATTATTATTATTTTGTAAATGGGTATGGTTTATTGTTACTATGATCACACCTGATTTTCAACCTCAGAACAATTCAAAAGAAACTAAAAAAGGTTAAGAGAACTTGCCTGCATATGATCAAGCCATAAAGTAAGAGCAACAAGAGCAGAACCAGCGGACAACTTTCTAAAATCAGCACCCCAATCTTTATCAGCTACCCTGAATCAGAGATGTTACAACAATAAGGGAAAAAATGCCGGTATAAAAATGATCATAGTCTGATTTGCAATCAGTTCCTATCTATGATTATGCATGCATAAAAATAGTCCTCTTTAAAGAATAAAAAACCATAGAGTTCTATATTTGCATCAAAGTTCCTTGCAGCTTCAGTCCTTTCCTATGTCCAGTTTTGCTTTGATGTGAGATCTTTCAGATCAGCTCTATCGTTAAGATAAATTGGAGATTTTGAGTTTTAAGGATGTAATTACCCTCACAATCTATAATGGCAAACAAAATTACCGAGTCTAGGGGTAGTTGTGTGCTGGAATCAAAGAAGCAGTAACATAGTATAGAGAAGCCTAGAAATCACATCATATCCAGGGTTTCTGAGGTAACTCAACTTATAATGGAGAAGGCACTCACAGCTTAATTGCAAAAAAAAAAAAAAAATGCTAGCAGCAAGAATATCCTAATATCTAAAGGACCAGATCCCCAAATCAGGTGAAGAAAAAAAAATTCACTGTCTAAACCTCAGCTGTAAACTAATTAAAACTACATATTAAGACATAATAAAAGTTGTGATAGTCCAACACATTTCTATCATAATCTGAAATCATCAAGCTATGCTTGAGTCAAGAAACTTAGGAATAAAAGTGCAGCAAAGTGACACAGTAACATAAAAATAGACTTAATAGTAAAAATCCCTGAATTGTTCCGAAAACCTTCTTTTTCTTGTACTAGCTTTTAGAACTTCCTTGACGTGGGAATGGAGTTTCAAAAAAGTTAGGTAAAAAGGCACTTAAAAACTGAACCTATCACTATCAGAACAAACCTGAAAACATCATGGTGATAAATGCTCTTCTTGACTGCCAATTGGAAAACCCATGAGGCAGTGGCTCGAAGCTCAAATGCCCACAACAGATCCTCCAAGGCATTGACAAAGTTAAAGGCTGCATTGTCCTCTACTGGTTCTAGCTTCTCAAGACAACTTTCTATCTCTGAAAATAGTAACTCAGATTTTGCTGTCATAAGCCTAGATAACAATAATAATTACCAATAATTATAAGGAAACAAAGGCAAAGAAAATCTGTCTTCAAGATCATTGACTTGCTTCTAAAGTGAAAAACAACTACCTGATAGGAAGATCAAATCCAGCATCTCGAAGCGCATTTAAGAGGATAATGGCTTCACTTGTGTGTTGGGACAAACTTGCAGCCCTTATAAAGCATGTCCATATTCTGTGGTCCACTTCCAAGCCCTCTTTCTTCATCTCTATAAGCTTTTGAATTCCAACATTATAATCTCCATTCTTAAGATAAGCATTAATGACTGAACTATGTGGCAGTGTAGTAAGATTTAATCCAGTTTCTTTCAAATTATTAAGGACTTTTTCTGCTTCCTGTGGCTGTCCAGAGCTTCCATAAGAAACCATAAGCAAGTGCATTGTGGCAATAGTGGGTTCCACTCCAGCTTCTTTCATCATGCTTAACAGGCTTTCAGCTTTGGAATGGTTTCCAGAATTTCTAAATATTTTCATCATTGTATGATAGAAAGAACGGTCCAATTTATAGCCCTTTGAATGCAACTGGTTGAATAATTCCTCAGCTTGTTCCAAGAGCTGCTGCTTGCCAAATGCTGAAATCAGACTTTTATAAGTGTCAAATTTTGGTTCTAAACCCACCTTCCTCATTTCATACATCAGAGATAATCCCTCTTCAGGTCTACGATCTCTGCAACACATTATTATCAAAGTGTTGTAAGTGTCCTCATCTGGTTCAAGTTTGGCTTCTTTAATTTGCTGATATATTTGAGCTGCCTTTTTATAATCATCAATTCCTGAATATAACTTCAGCATAGAATTCCAAATTGAAAGATCAGGCTTAAATCCTGCTTCTTCCATTTCAGAGATCATTGCTTCAACATCCCTCACTCGTTTTCCCTTGCAGAACAGCCTAATCATAATCCTGTAAAGATGCATTGTAGGAAAATAACCAGCAGCTTTCATTCCACTGTATATCTTCTTCACCTCAAAGAGATTTCCAGCTTGTGCAAATGCATCAAGCATCAGAAGAATAGAACTCTTGCTTATTTTAAAACCCATATCTTGCAACTCCCGGATTACCACATAAAGCTCAGTCAATCTTCCATCAACAATCAGTGCTTCCAACATACCATTAATGGAATCTACTGTTGGCGAAGGACCATCTCTCATCATAGTATTAAAAGTAGCTCTTGCTCGTTCATAGCACCCACTTGCAGCATAAGCTTGTATTAAGGCATTCCAGATCTTCCTATCCACATTCATATATCTTTGTCTAACATTGCCAACCAGACTTTCAGCTTTCTGCCACAGCTTCACTTTTCCATATGCTTCAATAACATCAACATAAATAAAGGAATTGTCAAGAAGAATACCTTTCAATTCAGCGTGATTGATCAAACAATGAGCTGTCTCAGGGAAGCCCATTTTACAATATATTTTCACCATACTTTTGAAAATATATTCAGAAGGTTCAACACCATAAAATCTCATGTCAGTAAAAATTTGGGAAGCTTCAGTTAGAAGTTCATTTTCTTCACAGCATCGAATAAGGGACTCATACATGGTAGAACTCCGACTAAACAAACCAGAATCTCTAGCTTTACTGTACTCCTTCAAGGCAGCATCTAACTGGCAAGCCTCACAAAGCATGACAACTAGAGCTTCAGTTATCAGTTGATTGTATCCTTCAGTGTGTTCTTTCAGGAACTCAAGTAATTCACAAGCTTCTTTGTGCCTGCCAGATGAATTGTATGAACTCAAAATAGACAACAAATTCTTGTCATCTAGTTCATCACCATTACTGATGCCCAATCTCAGCATCTGCGCGGCAAGGTCATAGCATTCAACCTTGACAAGAAAAGAAGAAATAGTCTGAGGATTCATACCACAGAGTTCTTTCATGTCTCTGACCACCTTTTAATATCTTCCACTTTGTTTTCCTTTCTTAGTGCCTGAAGCATCAACTGATAAAGGGTATGATCTGGTTTGAAGCCATCACGAACCATTTTCCGATACAACATCAATGCCTTTGTTATCTCATTGCATCTCAAAAGGATATCCAACATCATAGAGTATGCCAGGAAATCAGGTCTAATCCCAGACCTCTGCATGCAATCGAATGTCTCCTCAGCCTCCACAGCCATTCCAGCCTTGGCATACCCACAAATCAAAGCACTATAAGTCCTCACAGTAGGTTTAACACCAGCATCGAACATCTCTGACATCACTTTAGAAGCCTCTTTTATCTTATTTGCTTTCCCTAGGGAATCAATCAAGATAGTATATGTTACCACATCTGGATTCCGCCCTGACAATTTCATGTCCCGATAAAGCTGCAATCCCAAATCATGCTGGCCCAGCTTCCCATACATGTGAATAATTGTATTATAGGTCATCTCATCTTTACCCAACCCCATTTCAACCATTTCTTCACAAATCTCCTTTACCTTGTCGACATTTCCTTCTCTGGCAAAAGCATACAACAATGAATTATACGTGACTGCATCTGGGAAAAACCCTTTAGACTCCAAATTCCTAAAAAGCTGCTCAGCTTTATATGCCATCCCACATCTACCATATACAGAAATCATAGCATTATAAGTCCATAAATCAGGTTGACAATTATGACTGTCCATATCTTCAAAAACCTTCATTGCCTCCTCCAAATTTGATTCCCTAGAACAGGCACTAATAAGAGTATTATACGTTATTATATCTGGCCTAAGACCAGATCTCCTCACCTCATTCAAAAGCTCAATAGCTAAATCAGGCAACATAGCTCCTGCTTTCAATCTAGCATTTATTAAAGTATTGAAACTCACGAGGTCAGGCTCACACCCTCTCTCGCGCATTAAATCAAGCAGTTCCTGCACCTTTTGAAACCTTCCATTTCTTGCATAAACACCCATCATGGCATCATAAACCTGGACTGTATTTCCAACGGCTGGTTCAGCCCTGGTGAAGATTTCAATAGCTAAAACCTCCTGATTGGCCCTCCCCAACACAGCCAAGATAGTAGCAAGCATCCTAGCATTAGGGGAATACCAATGTCTCAAATTTAACCACTCGTAAACTTCCAGAGCACGTTGCCAGTTCTCCTGACCAACATATTTCACTACAAAGCAAAAATCCGTTGGCGTCATCTGAACTTTCCTATCGTCCAAAACATCAGCAACAAACCGGTCTTGTTTCAATCCCAAAATCCTGTCAGTCAAAAACTTAACTCTTTCTCTCCAATCTTTGGCCCTTTTCAAGGCCAGTTTAGTCATTTTCTTAACTCTCGTCTTACTAACTCTTCCCAACTTTTCCTGGGTCTCTTCATTCATTCCCAAAGTTTCAGACTTTGAGGATTCTAGAGACAATTCAGCTTCTTTAACAACAAGGGTCAGTTGAGGAGGGGTAGCTGAAAAAGGGGTTTGGCTTAAAGGATAAGTTTCAGCTAGTTGAAGTTGAAGGTGAGGCCATCTCTCAGATGGGGTCGCTCTGTTATAGCTAAAATTGTTGTTAGGACTGTTATTATTACTATTGCTGTCATTTACCTGTTCATTTGGTAAAGGAGTTGAGATGTGGGAAGAAGAGCAAGAGACAAAGGAGTTTTTGCATACCTTTGAAGTAGGAAATGCAAAGGGTACAAGTCCGCCAGTGCATGACATTGCCATGACTAATGTCTTCTTGTTTGCTGAACATTCAAGTCGAATGCTGAGGAAGAAAATAAGATAAAAGACAGTTCTCCATTGATTTTCGCAAGGTGCTGATGTACACTTACTTGCTTATCAAACGAGTTGTTACGTTTCTTAAAAGTAGGGTGAGAAATGAGTTTGGGTTTGGGTTTGGGTTTAGTGGCCCATCCGACTTCCGACCCTACTAAATTCCATCAAAACTCAAAACCCGTCTATTATCAACCGAAGGAAATAGGAGAACCCAAAGGTAAGATAAGACCTTGGAACTTTTAACACTTTTATATATTCTTTTTCTTCTTGGTTATTTCTTCTAGTATTCCTTTTTTTTTTTTTTTTCAGTTACATAGTTTGAACTTGGAAATTCAAGACATATGAAGTTTACATGGGAATGTATAGGCTTCATCAGTTCCTCCTTTAACTCATGGTAGCCGATTCAAACTTGGTCTAAACCAGAGCCACTTAAAACTTCTATGGTCTTCCAGAACGGGTAATGGTAATAACAATGTCAAGCAAGTGGCTTTAAGAGAATTCAACAAGAAAAACCCCGTTTTAAGGACCCATTTGGGTTTAATAGTGGAGAAGAGCTTTCCACCGAGTAACACAACCAAAAATTCAAGAGTATCGCAAAATAGGGGATATAGATAAAGCTATGAAACTTGTTGCTCAATTGGAGGCTTTGGGTTTTCATCCAAATTCTAGTTTTTATGGTTTTTTGATTGAGAGTTTGGAAAGTGTCGGTAGGACATTGGAAGCTGATGTCTTGTTCCAAGAAATGACGTATCTTGGATTTAAACCTAGCATAAGATTGTTTAATGATTTGCTTAAAGGTTTTGAGGAACGGGTTGTTGGGGTTAGCTGTTAAGGTTTTGGTGGAAATGGATCAAATGGGTGTTTGTAAAAATCAGGAAACATATGAGATGCTTTTGGATTATTATGTTGAAGCAGGACGGTTGGAAGATTCGTGGATGGTAGTTAATCAAATGAAGAAAAATGGGATTCGACTGAATTCGTTTCTGTTTAGTAAGATTATTTATCCTTATAGGGACAATGGAATGTGGAGGAAAGCAATAGGCCTTGTGGAGGAGATTAGGGGGAAAGGGATATCTTTAGACAGGCAAATCTATAACATTATTGATACGTTTGGAATATATGGAGAGCTAGGTGAAGCTTTAGAAGTGTTTGAGAAAATGAAACAAGAAAGTATACGGCCTGATGTAACAACATGGAATTCTTTGATTAGGTGGCACTGCAAGGCTGGAGATCTCACAAAGGCTCTTGAATTGTTTACTAAGATGCAGGAACAAGGATTATATCCTGACCCGAAGATCTTCATGAGCCTTATTAGTCGATCGGGAGAGCTTGGGAAGTGGGATGTAATAATGAATAACTATGAGAACATCACATGTAGGGGACATCAATAAGTTGGGACCATTTATGCATTCTTGGCTGATATTTATGGACAATATGGAAGTTTTCAGAATGCTGAGAATAGCATATCTGCCCTAAAGTCAGAAGGCCTCCTACCTTCCGCTAGCATGTTCTATGTCTTAGCAAATGCTTATGCTCAGCAGGTGTAGTGTCCCCTTTCTGTCTTTTCAGAATTTTCAGTCATTCCATCTTGATTTCTTTTCAAATTTTTTTCTGGGTCTGACCTTCGTTATGTATACATTTTTGCAAGAGATGATGCTTTGTTTCTTTTGTATTGCAATTTAGCACGCTAAATTTTCCATTGAACGTAATTTTGAATTACACAAGACAGTTCATTCACTGAACCCATAAAACTTTTTTTTTTTATCTTATCTGATTAACTACCGTCTTTCTTTATCCTCTCACTATGATCTCTGTTGTAAAATCACAAGACATTTCATTCACTGAACCCACCAACTTTTTTTTATCCACATTCTTTATCCTCTCACTATGATCTCTGTTGTAAAAAATAAATAAATCTTCATAATTATAAACTAATAATTGCGTCTTGAAAAGTGTTATGCCAACTTGGATGGTCTATCTTATCCTACCTTTATTAGGATAGCAGCTTCCCTCATTGTTTTTTTTTTTTTTTAGGTTTTCCTGTGTATTTAAAACTCAAAAATGAGGAAAGGGTGAAGCAAACAAAATTAATTATTTCTTAATTGAAGGATATTTTGAAGGATGGTTTATTTCTATATCTTACCTCAGTCATATTTCAACTCTAATTCAAGAGCTGTCTTCCAGAAGGGTTGATGAAAATGGTTGAAAAATGAATTCTACCCAACAGAGAAAGCAGAAGGGGGAAAGCTTTTAACTTATTGTTGGCATTGCAGATTCCCTACACCTTCCACAACCAAATGGGCTTCCATTTATTTCTATTTGTTTGGTAGACCACAGACCCAAAAAACAAAATGCAAAACCCTCATCTCAATTTTGTTTAATTTTCCTCTTTATTTCTCCAAAATTTTACCTGCTGAGAATGAGATATTTAGGCGACATGGCCAGCAAATCTCTAACCACAGATATTTTCTTCTGATCATAAAACCTGTCTGCTAAGCTGAATTATTTCCTAAGTAAAGAAATTAATTTTTTGAATGAAAGAAGAAAAAATGTTGACCCCTTATAGTGGCTGTTATAGTAACTCAAATGTTGTTCTCAAACAACATTGCAGGGTCTCTGATCGTCTGCAACACCCAATTGACAAGCATTTCTCTGGTTGGAAATGCTTGCACATGCCACACAGCAGCTGTGAATCAAGAGCAAATTGCAGCAAGAATATCATAGCAAAGACAACTGATACCATAGACGAAATAACCAAACTTTTTATAGTAAGATTCCAAGCAAGCATTACAAACATAAGTTCGTATGGTACAAAGATCATAGTAACTAAATATGCAAATTCCCATGCAACAAGTGGCTAGATACCCCCAGCTCTATCTTTCAACAAGCTAAAACATAAACATTAAACTGGGGGTTTTCCGCTGCACTTTATTATACTTAAGCAAGCCTTTTAAAGCACACCTTTTATTATCTGCAGACCTATTATAGTAGGTAATATTTAAGAGCCCTTAGTAATGGTGTGGCTTCTCCACGTCCTCAATACTTGTGGGGCGGAACCAGGCCTTTTCCTCCAGGACCGAGTTCACGCCGCCGTTGCCAAGGGAGGAACGGAGGCCCTGCGTCTCCCCACCTGCAGATGTGTTAAGCTCGGAAGGAGGGCCAAACACCCCAGTATGCGGGTCCGGTGCCCAGTACTTGTCTGATTGAGACTGAATCACATAATCAGGAACCACGGTGGGATGGACTTGATCATCGAGGTTCTTGTCATATGCCGATGCGTGAACACTCCTGCACATATGATTAAGATTGCTTTTCAATCTTAGTGTCTTCGAACTGTATAGATGTTCTTCGTCAACCAGAACTAACAGGCCTAAATTTACGTTGACCATGCTTGAGCCAAGATACATGCATACCATTACCATCTATAGTAACAATGCCAATAAAAAAGAAAAAAAAAGAAATACTACTATTTTTTTTTATTTCAAGTGGAACATAAGTAATTAAATTTATAAATAAAAAATTCAAATTTAGAACCAAAATTTTAGTTATGATAATTTATGTATCATTATTTGTTTTATATAAAATACGAAAATTATCGTCATGATTCATATTGATTATCAAATATAAAATATTTTTTTATTGTAATATCGTGTAGTATCTAAAGTTATAATCAAAGATTTTATTAACAGGTATTTATAATCATCAATTAAAATAATTTACATAAATATAAACTTCACCAGTACATTTCTTTTAATTTAATTAAAAGCTTTAATTACGTTTGTTAATTACAGTGGGAAGGAGTGTGAGGATGGGTAAAGGAAAGGCATACAGCATCCAAAGTCAAAGAGAGGCCATTCCAATACCCAAAAAATGGAATGATAAAACACGTGTACACCATCTGACACAATCGAATAACTACCTCCAACCGACCAAACTTTTTCTTTGTTTTTTTTTTCTTGTATTTAATAATTTGTATTAATTAATGTTTTGATTAAAAGTTAAAACATTTCTCATGCTTTATTACATAAAGGAAATTAAAACATTTCTCATGCTTTATTATATAAAGGAAATGACTTGAGAAGACAAGTTCAAAATATTGCCAATTAAACATTAATTTAAATAATATCAATACTGACTTTATCGTTTAATTTAATTAATTTATATAATTATATTTAAAAATTAAATATTTAAATTTTAATAGTTATAATATTTTTATTTTAAAATTGTAATTTTTTTTTACCATAAATGACATGTATATTAAATAAAATTTTGAAAATTATCAATTCAAACGAAATTTAAGCTTGTAATATCAATTGAATTAAAGTGTTAAAAAATAAATAAATTCCTTTAATATTAATAAATTAAAATGGTCGGCTGTGGGCCATACAGATCCCATGACAATTCCTATGCATTGACTGCATTTCCATAAATGGTATCGAGGTTTCATAAAATGCATCCAACGTGACATGCACGCTACCAGCCATTAAGTCAACGTTTATGAAATTAGACATAATTTTTATATATTTATTATTATCATTAATTGAAAATAACAAGAAAGGGAGAACGGACCAAATTGTAGTAAGACTATTATAATTAATGTAAAATATTTTTTATAAAATTAAAATCATTTTTTGTTTTAACAAAACCCTTATTATTCATTAAAGCCCAAAAGGGCAAAAAAAAATTGAAGTGGCTGCGTAAAAAGCGAGATAAGTGCCACAATGAAAGACAGGTATCCAATAGAAGACAAGATTCCCACGCTGAAGGAGGGCCCTTTTTTCTTCTTTTTTTTTTATAATAAAAAGTTTTATATACTATGTAATAGCAAAAAATAAAATTCCTGGCCAAAAAACCAAAAAAATAAAAGGGTAAGTCTCAATTTAATTTGGAAAATAGAATGGTCCTGATATTTAAATAAATATTCCTTCTACAATTAGTATTAATTTGGATATAATTGATTTAATTAAGAATTAAGTAATACTAATATGATGAAAGGTAGACATCCATCAAATTCAGTAATTCAGTAATATGTCAGCAATTGTGCAAAATTCAGTAACACGATCACATCATATGGTGAGTAGAAGACGGTTATAACTGACTTAATGAATCAAAATCAACTAAATTCGGTTTATTTGGTCTCGATAATAATCATTTAAAGGAAGTGGTTTAATTAGCTAATTTGATTTTTTTTTTGTGTTTAAAATTAATAATCAAACTTATTGAATTAACCAACTCTTGTGCAAAATTCATCAAATAGCATTCAACTGTTTCATATATAGCAGTCCGATGTTCCATTTTTTTTATCAAATTGACCGAACCAATCAATTATTTTTTATTTAATTACTTTCGATTATTAAAAATAAATTGATTGATTTTAATAATTTTTTTAAAAAAATCTATTAATTTAATTTTTTATTTTTTAAGATTCAATGATCAAATCGACCGACTGCTTATTTCTAAACATATAACCATGACCATATCAAAAAAACACAGAAGAAAAAAGTGTAAAGGAACGAGGAAAATTAAAAGGCAAGCAAGGAAAGAACCTGATAGTGTAAGCAGAAGCAGGACGAGACGGAGAGGCGGTGGCGTTGAAGAGGGTTGGTTGAGGAGAGGAGGTGCGGTTAAGAAGTCGCTTCCCCAAACTGGCGATCCCTCCACCACTCTTCCAATTGGCTGCCATACAAGTGCCAAAAAACCAAATACAAAAAACAGGGAGACGAAAAGAAACAAATTTGATGCTGGACGAATAGATTTTCCCACTATTCCAAACAATGGGAGTGGATGCTGTTTATATAGACAGAGAAGCATCATGCCGATGCCAGCCACACTCCATCCCCTCTTAACCGTCTAACACCCCCGCTAACCAACGAACCGTTTTCTTTCACTCAACCGTTATCACGGAAATTAACACGTACTAGCATTAATTTTTTAAATAATGGAGTACAACAAAATTATATATAAAACTCATCTACAATTAATTAATTATAAGTGACGGAATTCATAATATTCATAATTATGAAGGGATAATTATAAATTTTAAAAAATTATTATATTAATACATATTATTAAAAAATTATCTCATTGAAATTTTAAAATTTCACCATTAATATTAGAAATTGTAGCTTTCACCTAAATATAATTATGCCATTTTATTAGCTCAGTTTATTAAAAATTTTCATTTATTATTGAAGTATATATACAATGTATTTATTAGGGATTTTTTAGGCATCTAAAAAGTAAAATGCTTTAAATAGTTATTATTCTCCATTTAAGATGGAATATTCTGGTAGGCCGTTAGTTCGGTGTTACTTGACGGTGTTGGTCGTTGGTTAAAAGAAACGGTGTTTATTGAAATGACGTTTTTGTCCTTTATGGTGGAGAATTTTGTACTTTGGCCGGTACGGTTTTTTAATATGCCCCCAATGGAACATAGGCATTGGTGGAATATTCGTGAAAATGTGGTAAAGCTATTTCGTGAAGATTTGGTTGAAGCGCTTTCATTTTCCTCTTGCTTTACTTTTGAATTTAAATTTTAAAGCAGCTTAGTAATTTAGAATAATACTCAAAAATAAAAATTTACCTTCAATCTTTTTATTACGTGAAATTAAGGTTATAACTTCTTATTTTTTATAACTAAAATCTTGACAGAATATTTTATATTTTGTTAAAATTTTTTTGCTGAATTATGCAATTTATAAAAAATATTTATTTGAATTTTTTGAATGAATTTTACAATAAATATTTGAGAAAAATAATCTTATTATTAACTTGAATTAAATTTTATTAATTTATTTTTAATTTTTAATAACTATAATTACAATGAAAAAAAAATTTATAATCTTAATTTTATATAATAAAATATCAACGTTATATTTTCATTATTAATAAAAAATTTGAGGATTTACTTGATAATTTTTTCAATAATTTTATGTGAAAATAAAATTACATTTCTTTAATCAATTTGTAAGATATATTTGAAATACTTCAATTTTTATATATTTTATTAAAATTCTAATATTAATATTTAATTAATTTTATATTTAAAATAAATTAAAAATTAATATAGAATACAAAAAAAATAGGAGTTATGAGTACTAAAACAAGAAAGATAAAATAAAAAATGAGCATTCATGAATGAAGTACGTATTGAGATATTAAATTTGAGTAATTTTATTTTTATCTATATTAACAAATTCAAACATAGATTTTTTTTTTTTTACTTCTAATCATAATCATGGATCATATATAAACTGATGAAAATTTTAAACTTTATAAATAAATTAAATTATTTATATATATATATATATATCTATTTAATTAGCATGTTAATTTATTAATACATGTTAATTTTTTAATTTCATTTATTGAGTTTAAAACTCCGTCAGAGGTGAATAAGATAACAATCATCAAGTTACAATTATTTGAAACAATTTCATATTTTATTAAAAAAAAAAAAAAAAGGCAAACGCGTTCCAAACCGCGTAGGTGGGTTCTTCTATTCTCTGAAAGCTACCTCAATATCCTAAGAATTTATTCCCTTCTTTTTTTTTTTTTTTAATATCTAAAACTTTTAAAACCAATTGACTTTTAAAAGGGCATTTTTTATATTTAGATATGCCCTAGTTCATTTTCAACCGTCCAAACTCATTACCATTCAATTTATTTAGGAAAGAATTATTTTTTTATTATATGAAAAAAATACTATATTTATATGATTTTTTACTAATTATATTTGAACAATTAAAAAAATTATAATTGTTTAATATCTGTAATTAATTCCTGAATTAATTCAAAATTCATTTATTTTTTATATAATTTATTTGTTTTTTATGTTTTCAGAATTTCTATAAAAGCCAAAAAATAAATTGTAGCATCCTTTTCATAGGCATGCAAGTTGAGATAAATTTTTGGAGTCAACAAACCTTGTGATGTAGTATTAAATAGTGACCTGTTTATTGTTATATGCAAAATACGAGAGGATGCAACAAAACCAATTAAAATAAGCAAGAGATTGATGATAGCTGAGCTCCAATCTAATGTCATACTGGAAATTATTCTAAGAATTTAAAATATCGTTATGAGAGTCCAAAATTATCTTTGAACTTTATTTTGAAATAATTAACGTATACTTAAATTAAATTTAAAATTAAATTTAATTAATTAATATAATCATTTTTTTAAAATAATATTTAACGAATCTGCATTTTAATTTCAATTCTTATAATCATTTTCTTTATTCATAAATTATGATTTTTTTCGTATCAAACTCGTAGTCAAAAAATCATTTGTTTTAATGAGATTATATATAAAATTATAACCGAACAATCTTTGATTTATACATTTATCTATTACTAGAAATCAATGAACAAGTCAAACAAGTAAATTAGCATGCTAGTGTATAGCTTAACCGAATTTAATATGAAATTCGTTAAAATAATAATAAAAAAAACCTCTTAAATTTTATAATTTTATATAAGTAAGTCTTTATATTTTTATTTTATTTAAATAAATTTTTAATTTTTAATTTTTAATCTACACCAAAATGAATCTTTCACTTTTAATTTGCATCTAATAAATATTTAGACTTTAATTTATACAATAATCCCCGAACATAATCTATTATTTTATTTGAAATAAAAATTTATTTGAATACAAATTAAAATATAAAAATTTATTTTAAAAAATAAAACAATTTAAAATTTTTTAATATTTTAGCCTATGATAATCAGATGCCGGCACGTACACACGCGTTAAGCACGTGATTAGAATTTCCCTAGGGTGATCACTGACATCAAATAGCCACCTTGTTTTCCCTATTCATCAATTGAAGTTGAATGATTCATTATTTCTGTCGTTAGATCAATTTTAACAAATCAATCATCAGACAAGTCTTTAAATCACAGATAAACAACCTGCTGGAAATAGAAAAAAGAAAGGGGAAGCCCATTCGTGGCATGATCCTAGCAATTTGGAACCACAAATGTATATAATTTGAAATATGAAATCAAAACCACCTTTCAAGTTTCATACTGAATGTAGAAAGTAAAATCCACAACAACAGAATCGATGTCAAGGTGTCATAAGAAGAAGCAAATGCAATCATTGACAACAACTTCCCTAGACAATCCGCTCCAACTCCCTTGCATAACTAAGAGTTTGATTGATCAATTGAAGTGATGGAATCTCCTTACTCGGCGCAGATTCTTTTGCCTTCTGGAAAAAGACAAATCCCTTCTTCACCTCCCACTCTGGATGCTCCTGCAATCAAGGGAACAGGTCCAAGTAAGCTTGGTACTGCCCAAGCCTTTGACAATTCTTTTTAATGGCTGATATCGAAATGCTTACCTCTTTGATGTATTCCAAAAGCTCTTGATCAGATGAGAAAAGCAACATCTGCCGGGCATCATTAATTGAAAGATAGTCATATGCCTTCTCACTGCATCCAGCTATTTCATCTCTGAAAGCAACAAGTTATGAATAAACTAATGAGCATTAAGCAATGAACAAGAATACATGATAGAGCAGATTCTATCACTTAAAAGAAGCATAAGAACATGGAAGTGCCACCAGCTAGAAACTCCCAGGTCGTCAAAACAGGTAGTACTATTAACACTGATGTAATAAAGTCATTAAATGATTTTTGGTTCAACAATAATTGTGGACACAACCGAAATTTAAATGATAGTTTGCCATGTTTTGAATTTTTTATCCCCCAAACTATCATCATACATCAAAGACACTTTCTTACCTCACTGTTTTTGCTAAGAGATCCATGAAATAAACATAAGTTTCATGGGGAGCAGTCTGTCGAGCACTCAACACACGATTGTAAGCCCCTTCCATAAATGATTGCTCCAGCTCCACAGCATGCTTGATGCAAGGATTCTCCAGAGCAGTGGCTGAAAGCAGTTCCAGTTCGGTGTGAAACTCAGCAATTCTGTTCTGGACAAGAAGTCTCAAGAGATTAAGGCCTAAAATTGGATACTCTTGAGGAGATGGTGGAAGACGGTTACTGCTCCATCAAAACAAAAATAAAACTATTAGCATCAATTCCCAAAAATAAATGATAGAGGCTTCTAGATAAGAAATTAGTAGCACAAATGAGTACACACATTGTAAGGAGTGGAAGTTAGACAATTTGTTTTAATGGCACAAGTTTAACAAACCCAATTAACATGCTCATACAAGATATAACATCCGTTTTAATTTCTTCATGTATTAAAAGTCTCATACAAGATATAACATCCATTTTAATTTCTTCATGTATTAAAAGTCTTACATAAAAGAAAGGAGATTGCCCATCAAAATTCTAAGATGTGAATCACATATAGGAGCATGGAACCTATTCCTTTGAACTTTGGATAATTATAACTAATTATATAGAGAAGTGCCACAAGTTAAATTAAAGAAGGAATATCAACAACCAGGAAATATTTAGTAGTGGATAAAAAACATCCTAGATGATCTGACATGTAAAAAACTTCCTTTATATATGATTCCCCATACTTTAATAAATGTGCAAGAGTTGGAAGCATCGGATTTGGAAAGCGGACAAACTTAATAATGTCCTGTAGGGGCTAAGCCATACTATTATTCCTCATGACTTGGCACCATTATTGGCTGCTTATGCCAAGCAGATTAATTGACCAACCAAAATGGCTATTCTCACAGTAGTTAATGTAGATCTGATCCATAAGTTACTACCTTAATATTAGCATTTGCTGGCAATATATTCCCTTAATTTTATTAAAGATGATGCTAACCATCAGGAACATATTTGATAATGTGTATGCTTTTAGACGATTATAAAAATTTCACTCCAAAACAATAGAACATAAACATTTAGAAAAGTTCTTCAATTTTTTCTGTCATCGATTTCATTGCACAATTCAGACCAACAAGTCCTTTTGGATTATATAAACCTTCACTTGATTTTTCTAATTAGACAAATTGTTATCATCTTTTATGAATCGCTATGCAGGGCATTATAGCATGCAACTTTTCTATATTCATCTACTTTAGGCACCAGATAGAAAGGGCAGGAAATTTTCAACAACAACAAGACGAAGAAAACTAAGCCTAGATAGAAACTTATTCATACAGGAAAATAACTACATTAAAGGTTGACAATGACATAATCCTGAATCTACAGAGGCAAAACTTTAAACATAGCTTCTGAAAAGACAAGCCAACTAACCCAGCATCTGTATTAATAAGGGCTTCAACTGGAAGAAATCCCTCTCAAAAGGGCATCTTGGATCCCTCAACCATCACACTGAGGACAACAGCGATGCTTCATAAATTTCCCCTGAAATATTCATTGAAAGAAAAAAAGAGAATTAAACAACTTATAAGTTATAATCATCAAACAATTAGAGACTTAAATTCTTATATTCAAACAGTTTAAAACAACTTTCTTAAGGCAGCTGAAACACAATCAGATTATTAATCCCATCTACACTCCAAAAAGAAAGTTTAACGATCCCAAAAAAGAAAGAATCAAACTTGAATATTCCAAATCATATTTGAAATTTACTAATGGTCTCATAGGAGTCCTCACCCTAAACCAGGTTATATTTAGTTCTTGCACATGAAGCTTCAACTAATAAGCTACCATACATACAGCAACCTTTCAAAATATGCAAATGCTAGTGCTTCAATTACAGATGGACAAACATACAAATGAAATACAAATGACAAAACAAAAACGAAAAGCAATTCAATTGAGTCAAAATAATTACTTGCTAACAGCAATTCATTAACCGCATTAGGTGTATTTTCAAATAACGGAGGAAGGCTCCTGAACTTTGTCAGCAACACCTGCAATAAGAAACCCAAATGGCTTGAGCAGCATTCCCATATAAAAAAAATTGAGAACTAACGAAAATAGTACCGAGCCAAATAAAATGTTCCTTTTTAACGCCTTCCTCTAGTTCCAACCTTTCATCGATCCAATTTTCAAGCTCAAAGATAGCTAATTCATAATTGAAACATCCAACAAAAAAACCCCCAAATTCCTAAACCCTAAAAAATCAACCCTCCAAAGAAACTGAAGATCTACAACATCGGCTCGATCTTTTCGAGATGAAAGAAAGAGGAACACCTTGAGTTGAGAAAGGAGATTGGCGCAAGAATCGTAATCTTTTCTGATAAATGCAGCTTTGAATCGCTCGAATAGCTGAGACACTTCGGTTCGCTGTGGATCCATCTATGTGTTCTTTCGCGAACTATCGTGTTGCCGAAACAATGGAAATTCTTTTTCTAATTTTTTTCTACTCACTATTAGGCTACAGCAAAATATATTTAAGGGGAAAATCCTTTTTTTTTTTTTTTTTAATTGAAAGGAGAAAATATCCATCGTGTTTTTTTCGTTCATTTGCCAATGCATGGGATAGTATGATTACGATGTCGTTTTATGATTAGTATTTTAATTTAATATTATCATATTTATTAGTTTCCAAAATTAATTTTATTTAAATTATAAATTCTATTAATTAATTATGGGGATATAATATACGTTATTATAATTTTAGTTATAAAAATTTCTGCTTTAAAATAAAGTTTAGGAGTAATTTGATAAATTATTAAAAGTTTTAATTTTTTGAAAGTTATTTTAAGATCGACTTTTTTTTATTATAATAAATCCAATGAAAATTTCTTGAGAATATTTATTAATTTCCTACATTATTATATGTTACTTAAAATACTTTTATTTTTTATTTTTATAAAATGTAAAATGTGTATAAAATTATGTTTTTCTACATGAAAATATCATAAACTTTTGTTCAATTTGTAACACTTAATTACAATATAATATTGAATTTTTGATTTATTGAATGACTCTTTTAAAAATATTATTTACACTTTTTTTTCTTTAAGGTCTTAAAAAAAATCATGCATGAAACAAATAAATGTAAAAAATAATAAAAATAAAAATAAAAATTCATTACTACTAATTTCTAAAAAAAAAAATCATTACTATTATTTTTTGACAAGCATATTAAAATTCATCTCTCATTTATGACTTTTGTGAAATATTTATTTGTTTCAATCACTTTTAAAATTCAAATTTTGAATCACATTTTAAAAAAAAATTCAAAATTAATCTATTCTATCAATAACTATTAATTTTTTGACACGTGTCATTATTTATTAAGTTTTTTATCATGTAATTTGACTAACAATGTTAATTTTTAAAAATTTTAATAAAAATAAAATTTTAAATACTCAAAACTATCTATTATATATTTAAATTTAAAATCTAACACTTCATCTATAATCAAAACGGCTAATGACTATTTAAGTAGTATTTTTGCCAATGCCCTATTTCAGTATGTAACAAAGGCAGAATTTTTTATTTAAATGATTTTAAACTTTTGAAAAATATTTATAATTTTAAATAATAAGTATAGATTTAAGTTAATCCAATAAAAAGTTCATTTATTTACTAAATGTTACTTCATTATAAAATTCATGGATTTATGTTTAATTTGAGTATTTCATGAAAATCATTTTGATAATAGTATTCATGCACTTTCAATTTTTACTCACATGACATAAATAATGTTATTCTATCATATACACAACTTGATTTAATGAATTTAAAAAAAAAAAAAAAGAAAAATTAGGTCTAAAAGAAAAATAAACTACTATAATTAAATCCTCTTCAATTTTTTTTTTTTTTTATAGAAGGAAGGGGAATCAAACCTTATTCTTTAAGTAGGAGTTAAACTTGGATTATTGAGTTAAAATTAGTGCTTTATTATTTACTTTCCTTGATCTCTAACTTGTAGCTTTTTTTAAATATTTTGATCATCTGTTCTGTTTTTGAATATACATTGGATTGATTTTCATTTAAAGCGTGCAAGCGTCTGATGCTGCAAAATACACAGCTTTGGGGGTTTGAAAGACAAATAGAGAGAAACAGAAGATGAATTTGTCATATAATGGTTTGCATGTTGACACATGCAACAAAATTGGATGAAAAAACATTATTGTAAAATTCAAAAGCAGCCATCAAGTCTTTGCTAGCTGTGCTATATATATAAAAACCAGCAGGGGAGGCAGCAACAAACCAAGGTTTGAATTGAATCCTCCTCTGTCTCAAAATGCTTTTCTTCTATACTTGTTTCAGTTTTGCTTCTCTGCTTCTTCAGTGCGCATTCAGTTCTGTGGCAGTGTTTGCAAGGCTGGTATTGTCTCCCCAAATGCCTGTGCTCAGCAAGAAACCAAATAACTAACACTGAAGCATTCAAAAGCATTAATATTTATAGTGACCTTGTAAAAGTAAAAGTGCACCTCACCTTACTGTCATTCTTATCTTCTTTGTTCTTCATATTGCCAGTGATCTGTAGTTTGTCAAACTTCTTGGTCAGCTTCTTTAGATTCCTTAGACTCATACTTTCCAATTGCTGCATGGTTTCCTCATCAACGATATTCTTGTTTTTCTTCATCTTTCCCAGACTAGGCTCCGTCACCTCTTTTGCACTGTTGTTTTTGTCAATGTTCTCCTTATTGTTGTTATCTGAAACTTGTGTCACCTTTGGAATTGTTGTCTGTTTCTTGCTTGAAGATTTCCTTGGTGTGAAACGAGTTAGCTGAGAAAATTGAGCTGTCAATGGTGACAATGGCATTGAGGTTGTAATCGCACTGTTTGGGAAAAGAGAAGGGCAACGAGTCCTTGGCTTTGCAGCGGTGGGAGTCTTCTCCTCTGGAAGGATTTCCTGGGCGGCCTCTGCAAATTCCTCCACTGGCTTTACACGGACAGCAACCAATGCTTCTGCATCACCATAATCTAGCATCTTGTGAACTGGGATATCATCCTCAACAGATTGGAGGGCATTGTGGAATGAACTCACATGGATTATGTCAGCATCAGCTACATTTACATCAACCAATGCTTCTTCATCCACCATATTTCCAGTCATTGGTTCTGACTTTACACAGACATCAACCAATGCTTCTGCATCGCCATAATCTAGCATCTTGTGAACTGGGATATCATCCATAACAGATTGGAGAGCATTATGGAATGAACTCACATTGATTATTTCAGCATCAGCTACATTTAAATGAACCAATGCTTCGCCATCCTCCATATCATCCACAACAGATTGGAAAGCATTGTGGAATGAACTCACTTGGATTATTTCAGCATCAGCTACATTTACGTCAACCAATGCTTCTTCATCCACCATATTACTAGTCATTGGTTCTGACTTTACACAGACATCAACCAATGCTTCTGCATCACCATAATCTAGCATCTTGTGAACTGGGATATCATCCATAACTTCTGACTTTACACAGACATCAACCAATGCTTCTGCATCCACCATATTACTAGTCATTGGTTCTGACTTTACACAGACATCAACCAATGCTTCTGCATCACCATAATCTAGCATCTTGTGAACTGGGATATCATCCATAACAGATTGGAGAGCATTATGGAATGAACTCACATGGATTATTTCAGCATCAGCTACATTTACATCAACCAATGCTTCTTCATCCACCATATTACCAGTCATTGGTTCTGACTTTACACAGACATCAACCAATGCTTTTGCATCACCACAATCTAGCATCTTGTGAACTGGGATATCATCCATAACTTCTGACTTTACACAGACATCAACCAATGCTTCTGCATCCACCATATTACTAGTCATTGGTTCTGACTTTACACAGACATCAACCAATGCTTCTGCATCACCATAATCTAGCATCTTGTGAACTGGGATATCATCCATAACAGATTGGAGAGCATTATGGAATGAACTCACATGGATTATTTCAGCATCAGCTACATTTACATCAACCAATGCTTCTTCATCCACCATATTACCAGTCATTGGTTCTGACTTTACACAGACATCAACCAATGCTTTTGCATCACCACAATCTAGCATCTTGTGAACTGGGATATCATCCATAACAGATTGGAAAGCATTATGGAATGAACTCACATTGATTATTTCAGCATCAGCTACATTTACATCAACCAATGCTTCTCCATCCTCCATATCATCCACAACAGATTGGAGAGCATTGTGGAATGAACTCACATGGATTATTTCAGCATCAGCTATATTTACATCAACCAATGCTTCTTCATCCACCATATTACTAGTCATTGGTTCTGACTTAACACAGACATCAACCAATGCTTCTGCATCACCATAATCTAGCATCTTGTGAACTGGGATATCATCCATAACCGATTGGAAAGCATTATGAAATGAACTCACATGGATTATTTCAGCATCAGCTACATTTACTTCAACCAATGCTTCTTCATCCACCATATTACTAGTCATTGGATCCTCAGAGCTATAGGCGGCTGTTGGAATAGAAATGCCTTTTTGTTCACATGAAACTTCCTCTTGTAGTTCATCAGCTACATTTACTTCAACCAAGGCTTCTTCATCCACCATATTACTAGTCATTGGATCCTCAGAGCTATAGGCGGCTGTTGGAATAGAAATGCCTTTTTGTTCACATGAAACTTCCTCTTGTAGTTCATCAGCTAAAGAATTGTTGTCAGATCCGGTGTCATCGTCAATGTCTGAATCACCGAGGAATGCATCAACAATATTTGACTCAGGAACAATTTCATTTGGATCATCATCTTCATTTTCCATTTTTTCTGATGAAACCATATAACCTTTGGGGAGAACTGAAACATTTTGGGATGCTTTGCCATCGACATCCCCTTCAGCTTTGGGAAGTTTGGCTAGAGCATCATGTACTGCATTGGTATCACAATCTTTGCCAACTAACTTCTGGCATTCAATTTCCTGTGGAGCGTGATTCGCATATTCTTCTGCACTCCCTTCTATTGGCTCCATAAATTCTGCAGATGAAGAATGATCCAAGACCTTTTCAGAAATATCCTCAATGGTATCAGCAACCAATATGTCTATTGAATTTGTCTCATCAGCATGAGAGCCCCCGTTGTTCTCAGCTATCAATTCCTCGGTCAAGTTGTCAATCTCGTATGAGTCTTCAGAGACAGCAATATTATCAGATCCTGCAGTGCGACAACCATCATTTACTAAGAGAAAACATAAACAGCAAGAAAAAAACAAAATGCACGAAGAGGGAAAACATAGCTGTCATACCCTTTGGATCTAAGATTCCATTAGGAATATCTCCCAGCTTGTCTTCACCTTCAGGCTCATCAGTCTTCTCATTAGGAAATGCATCTTTTGTATCTTTCAAGGCTGAGTGACAGTCCAAATTATCAGATTTGTGAGAACCAGCCTCAGATATCACTGTGCTATCTTCTCCATTGTGACACTCGCTGTTTTCTAGAACATCATCTGTCAAATCCCTTTCATCTTCAAGGGACGCACTTAAATTTCTGGCCAAAGGTACGACTGATGTATCTCTGCAACATATATTCATTGACTAAACTCATCAATTCCTACTTTCAGCATGAGATAGTGAATCAAAAATCTAAATGAATGGAATTTGCAAATTCATTAACAACAAAGAACTTACCAGATTGACCATTTCTTGTTCTCTTCAACTGCATCCTCTCACCAATTACATCAATCTTCCACAGGCTCCATCCTTTCACTCTCCTTCAAACTCATCCCGGCATGCACTTTTCTCCACAGCCTTACTAAACCGCCTCGGCCGATAGCCCTGCAGCAATGACCTTCTTTCTGAACCTCAACTTCTCCCTGGTCGATCCCACATTCCAGGCCTTCTCCTGCCAGTCTGCAACGCTGGAGTTTCAAGCAGAATCACTATTCTTCTGCTCCTCAACCCTTCAGGATCATTTTTCTGAGCCCTTCTCCTGGAAGTAGTAGCCATAACAGGAGTGTCAGGCACATTCACATTCTTGTTTTCTTCATTTAATTCCATTGTTCTTCTAGTCGTTCTTCGGGTTCGGGTTGTTGGTTGTGTGCTTTGAGGTTCTTCTTTGGTAGTTTTTCTCCGAGTTGATGTCCTAGCCACAGTAGAGGGGACTTCTTGGGATGATTTATTCATAGTCTTTTCTGGGGATTGAGATTGATTCATGAATTCATCAAGTCCTTCAACCTGATACAACCATTTACAAAGAACGTTACCATGAGGGAATTGGTTTTTTTTTTTTTCAAGAAAAAGAGTCTTTTTTCCTATGAATGTTAAAATCAATGAACTTGGTCCTTTGAAAAAATGGGGTTTCTTTTTAGTTTCAAGAAAATGATTTTTTCGTCTGATATTAATACAAGGTAACTGGGTTCTTAAAAACATGGCTTTTTGTTTCTTCAATAAAATTATTCTTTTTCTTATGTTTTCTTGGAAACCAAACAGAACCATTTCAATAATCAAAGAATCCAACAATGGGTATCCTATAAATTCACTTAAAAAATAAAATTCTTGGAAGCTGCAGAAACATAAAAGTCTAGAAATTGTTTCTCATTAGAGATATTTTATATCATCAATCATAGAAATAAGGCAGTTCAGATATGAACTCCAAATGCAGTCAATTCTTTCCTTTGATTTCCAGTTTCCCAACAACCAGCAGAATATCAAGGTAAATAAAAAAATGGTATTTTGAAGACTGCAAAAAAGAAGAAGAAAAAGGAAAGCTTACAATCTCAAGAGCTTTGAGAGCATCAGCCATGGCAACATTGGTAATATTTGCTGGGATTTTGTTCCTCTTGCAAAGAGTCTGGAGCTCTTTCCTTGTAAGGCTATGGAAATCCATTTTTTTCAAAGAACAAAAAAAAGGAAACAAACGGAGATAGTTTGTTTTTTCTTGTTTGGTTACTGCGAAAAAGATTGTTCTGTTTTTGTGTAGTGGAAATGAGGGAAGAAATGCGGCATTTAAACGGGTAAAGGAAGAAACAGACGTTGGGAGAGAAAACCCTAGATAACATGACCGTTGGAATGGCTGGGCTTGAAATTTGAATTTAGGATTGCGATTTTTTTTTATTAGGCAGGTTGTTGTTTTTTTTCTTTTTATACCTGATTTGTTTTTATATGGTGATTTTTTTTCTTTTTTTTTTAATTTTCAATTATTTTATGATTTTTTTTGGGAAAAAAATCATTTTCATATTTGAGCCATCACAACCTTTCTTTTTTTGCTTTTTTTTTTTTAATTAAACAATCATGGTTGATGGTACATTAAAACAATTTGAGCCAAGGCTAGCCATGATTCAAGATCCAAATTTTGGGCATGACTTTGTTTTAGTGGGTCAATTCAGCTCTCCCTTCTTAGATCCAGGACTAATAATGATTCAAATAGGATTTAGTTAAGATTTTTTATAATGTATAATATTATAAAATTTTAATAATTAATTCGAATCTGAATCGATTTTTTATATTATTCGATCTAAATTGAATTTTATTAATTTGATGTAATTTATTGGATTTTAAAATTTAAATTTTTTATATATTATTTTAATATAAAATTTTAATATTTTAAAATAATTTTAGATATAACAAATTATTTTTATTTTATAAAAAATTAAAATATATAAAAATTAATAAAAAATATAATTTGATTCTTTTTTTTTACTTCTCTATCCGAAATCTAATCTAAACTTAATATATATATATATTTAATATCTAAATTTAATCCGAAATCTAATCTAAACTTAATATATATATATATATATTTAATATCTAAATTTAATCCAAATCGAATAAAAAATTTGAATCGAACTGAACACTAATAATTTAAATAAATTTTTGGTTTTTTTTATTTTTTTCTCATTCCTACTTAGAACTTGAATTAGTCATCAAATCTTATAATGTGATGTTCAGATGCTATTTCTATAATGGACTTCTAAAGATTTATCTTAAATATTCGGTTAAGTATTTTTTATAATGTATAATATTATGAAATTTTAAATTTTGATTTGAATTTGAATCATTTTTTATATGATTCGATCTAAATCGAATTTTATCGATTCGATTCGATTTATTATATTTTAAATTTTAAAATTTTTATATATTATTTTAATTTGAATTTTTAATATATTTAAATAATTGTAGATATAAAATAATTATTTTTATTTTATAAAAAATTAAAATATATAATTTAATTTTTTTATTATAAATAATATTCAAATTTAATTCAAATCGAGTAAAAAAATTTGAATCAATCTAAATGCTATGATTTTAAATAAATTTTTAACTTATTTTATATTTTTTCACTCCTACTTAAAACCTACTTAAAACCTGAATTAGTCATCAAATCTTATAATGTGATGTTCAAACACTATTTCTTTAATTTAGCGTCAATCAACTTTTAAAGATTTACCTGTTATTTTTTTTTTAGCAAATGCGAGAAGATTTATTTAGACTAGATTTATTGAACACATAAAAAAATTAATTTTCAATAGCCTTCCAATTTGTTTGAATTTAAACAATAAAAAAAAATTACATTTTATTTATCACTTGAACTAATTATCCATTGATATATTCCAATATTATTGTAAAAGTGACACCGTGTTAAAAATAATAATAAACAGAGTTTCTACCACTATGGTAATGTATATGCACAGGTGAAATGCACTATGATAAGAGGTGCCAAATAAGGATTTGAGTCAGATTATCACGAATATGAGTTATTATGGATTTGAATTATTTTAGATTTTAAATCATTCTAAGTTTAGGTATTTTGAGTTAGGATTTTTTTTATTAAAGTAATTTTGGTTTAGTTATTTCTTTAATATTAAAGTTGAGTTATTACATATTTAGATAATATAAGTTTTGGCTTTGTGTTGTTTCAAATATGAATAGTTTTGAATTTGAATTTTTTTTATTAATATTTCATTATGTTCTTTTTTTTTTATCAAATTTTGTTTGGTTGAATTTGATTAAAATTGTTAAATGGGTTTGATAGCTCGTATTATGATGCAATTTGGTATGATATAAATCGTCCTTGACAAGATTCATTGCTACAATCATGAGTCATGCCCAGCTCGACTCATATTCTAGCATTATACTAAACTAGACTAGACTTTAGATCTGTTAGATTGGTACGACATAATTAGAGGTGTAATCGAGTTGATACAGTGAGAAGTTCAAACTCGAGTTCGACTCACAACTCGCTGCTTGATATTCGATTTGAACTTTATCGAGTTTTATTTTTTAAGTTCGAACTCGATTCGTGATCGAATTCAAACTACTCAAGCTCGTTCGATTAAGCTCAATTAATATGTAAAAATAAACTCGATTCATATATTCGATAAGAGTTTGATTATTTATACTCGAGCTCGAGCTCGAATTCGAAATCGAAATATTTAATTAATTAAAATATTTAAATATATTTATATATAAAAGCTCGATTAGACTCGCGAATTACTCGAGCCGGATATAAGAATACTCGAATTCGACTCGATCAATAAGTCGAGCTATTTGAGCTCGAGCTCGACTCGATAATAATCAAACCGAATTTAAATTTTCTTCGAATTGAACTCGAATAACTTACAAGTATTAATGTATCATTTACACCCATAAACATAACCCATCAAAGACCAATGCTAATACGTGGTATATTGATTGATATGGCATAAAATACACAAATATTAATGTACCATATTATATAGACCCATAAATGTTATAAATGAGTTTAATATATCATTTTTAGTTATATTTTATATCACTTTTATCATATAATGGATATTTTTTAATTCTTTTAATACGTTATGTTAGCAATTTATAAAACTTAAATTACATTAATAAATTTACTTATAAAATATTTAAACTATTAGTAATAAAATTATAATGTTTTCATTTGATTTATCATTTTCTAAAAAAATATGAAATATATATTGTTTAAAAATTATTTATGAAAAAAAAAAATCAAGAATAAGATAAAATACATGATATAAATGAATTATCATATGATGAAAATGAAAAATAAAATAATAATATGATATCCTTATTTTTTAAAAATTTAGATCTATAATGTTAGTATTTATTAATGTCACTTTATTATTTGATGAATTATTTTAACTTTTATTGACAAACATAGATATTTTATTAAATCATATAAATTATGTGATTCATTTATTAATTTTATAAATTAATTTTAAAAAATAGTTAAAAAAATAAAAATAAAAAATTTCAAAAATATGATAAAAATTTAAAAAATTATTAATAGGTCATGCTTAACCCAATATGATACTAAAAGCCGACGTGGCTCATAAAAGTTGTAAGTCATATTCCATATTAGATCATATTCTTATTTTTCATGGACTGTAACAATACGACACTTTAGATAATAATATTAAACCAACAAGATCTATTAACATATAGACTAATTTTAACATCTCTAAATTCAGTTTTAAAATTTTAATGATTTTTCGAGTTCCAATTCATTATTTTTACAATAATAATAAAGATTCACTTTTATTTTCTACGCAAAGCTCTTTATTGTTTTATTGAAATCTATATTTATTGCAACAAAAATCATGTACTTATATAAATCTAATAAAATAAACTATTTATATGTTAAAAAAATTAGTTAGTTACATAAGTATTTTTATATAAAAATTATTAAAAAATAATAATATAAAAATTAAAATTAAATAAAAATGAACTTTATTTCCTAAACAGACCTCCTTATTGTTTTATTAAAAATTATTTTTTATATTTAACATTTAAAAATAATATAAGAATTAAAATTAAATAAAAATAAACTTTTTATTAATAAAATAATACCTAAAACTTTGGGCTTGAAAAATCATGTCGGGAACGTGCTCCATTTATGTTTAAATTCAACCAAACTCTTTAGAAAAGATATTAAAGAATATATTTTTGGACTATATTTTTTAAAATTTGAAAATTAAATCAGAAGTAAGTTTTAGAATATTCTATTTCCATTCATCTCAAGATATATGTAAAAATATATTTTTTATTATTTTTAAAATAATAATAATAATAATAATATTTAATATTTTAATTTAAAATATTAATTTAATAAAAAATATTATATTTATATATAATTAAAATATAATTTATTTTTAAAAAATAATATTTTATAAATATAATTTTAAATTAAGTATAAATTAGATGCAAATTATATATGTTGAGTTGAAATTGAATATAAAATATAATAGTTATATATCATATAAGATAAAAATCTAATATTAAATTTTAAGAGATAAAAAAGAGTCGGGGCAGATGAAAATTCGTCTTGACCCATTATCATCTCTAATCAAATGATTAATTAAATCTTGAACCGTTACTCACTCTTAAGGGATATTTAATTTGTGAAATCTTAGATTCTGAAAGAAAGTGTGATTCATAAAAAAGTGTAATATCTAAAAAAGTGCGATATTTAAAATTTTTTTTATTTCAAGGCATCTTGTATTTTGATTCACTCATTTGGTTAGCATAATCCAAGTATATTAATTCATGAATAATTATTATAAATTTTTTAACATATATGATGTCAACTTTTTATTAATTTTTATTAATAATAAATATGCAAATGATAAATAATACTTTTAACAGCAAAAAAAGATAAATATTTGATTTGATTGCTATTTTTTTTATAAAATATTATCAATAAACAGTATTGAGAATTATTTAATGTGTTTCTAGTTGAAAAGCGTTTTAAATAATCTATTTTAATTTTTTAAAATGAACTATTTAAGACATTTTTGGACCATCTTTAATATTTTTTTAGATAATATTATTTAAGACGTTTTTAATAAAAAACGCTTTAAATAGTATTCTTTCATTTTTTAAATAATATTTTTTAAGGTATTTTTTTTTATCAAAAACATCTTAAATAATCTCTAATATTTTTTTAAAGGATTTATTTAAAGCTTTTTTTTTTTGTAAAAAAATCTTAAATAATACTCTTCAATTTTTTTGAAAGATATTATTTAAAGCTTTTTTTTTATCAAAAACACCTTAAATAATCTCTAATATTTTTTTAAAAGGGATTATTACAAAAAACGTCTTAAATAATAGCCATCACTTTTTTTTACCATATTATTTAAGGTGTTTTTAGTAAAAAAAATATTTTAAATAATTCATTTCATTATTTATAAGATTTAAGAGATAAAATATTAAAAAATTAAAGTAGCTTAGTTGGTTAGAGAATATAACTATTAACTATTAGGTTGTAAGTTTGATATTTTCTTCTAATATTTTAATTATTGTTAATAGATTACTAACAACGCTTTTAAATAGTATCTTTTAATTTTTTTAACCATATTATTTAAAAGCATTTTTAGCCTTTAAAATTTTTGAGTTGTATTATTTAAAGCATTTTTAATTAAAAATATCTTAAATAATTTCTTTCATTACTTATAAGATTTTAAAAGATAAAATATAAAAAAATTAAAATAACTTAGTTGTTAGAACATATGATTATTAATTATAAAATCATAAGTTCGATTCTTCTTTTTAGCATTTATTTTTTGAGATTATTTATTTGAGGATTATTTAAGATGTTTTTGAACAAAAAACGTCATAAATAATCATAGAAAAAATAAAACATGATTATTTAAGATGTTTTTCATGTCAAATACCATTAATTGTAGTATAAATTTTTTTTTTAACAATAAAAATCTATAACTGATTTGCAATTTCTTCTATACATACTTTTCAAAATAATAACAACTATTTCATAAATTTTTATTCAGATCAAATTTAAAAATAACATAATTTTTTTTTTAGAATCCTAAAATGCCAAAAAGAGTGGTGGGTTTTTTATTCCAAAATTTTCAGTATTGTTAAAAATCTATCATTTTCTCTTAGAATCAGATTATCTTAAATCAAATATTGAAATTAAATATTTAATAATAAAATTAAAAAAAAATTGCATGAATTCTTACCATTACAAAACCGGTTACTTCAAACCGGGTTGGAGTCCAACACCGATACACGTTTAGCACGCTTGTAGAATAAATAATACTATATGGCTATTTAGGAACGGAAAATTAAAGAAACTTCTGGACACCGACAAAAAGAAGAGAGGTATCCCCTTCCCAATTCAACTAACCAAAAAAAAAAGAGAAAAGGAAATGCACAAAATCCCCAAACCTATTTTCTGAATGGAAACCCTAACCCTCACCCGAATACCCCTGTTCGGATCCATCGCTTTCTCCCGCTTTCGGATCCTCCGTTTCTCCCTTTTCTTCGCCGGCGGCTGAAACCCCCTAGCCCTACCCGTTTAATTTAATTTTATTGCTTTTCCTCTCATTTCTGTTTGTTTTCATAGGTATAGATGGTAAATCTGTTAATTGTACGGATAATAGAGAAATAGGGATAGAGATAGAGAGAGAAAGAGAGAGATTAGAGAGAAAGAGATGGAGAGTGGGGCAGGATCAGATGGAGGAGTCGGGTCGATCGTTTGGGTGCGCAGGAGGAACGGTTCGTGGTGGCCGGGGAAGATACTGGGGCACGAAGAGTTACCTGCGTCTCACCTTACGTCTCCGAGGACCGGAACTCCGGTCAAACTTCTTGGCAGAGAGGATGCTAGCGTGTAAGTCTTTATTATTTTCTTTTTCATTTTTAATTTGTTAATTTAATTGGCTTAATTTGTTTTAGCATTGCAAAAAAAAAAGTTATTTTTAGTGTAACAAATTTAGAAGTTTTAATCTTGATGATGATACGCCTGGGCCAGCAGGGATTCAGGATAGATTGGAACTAGTGGAAGAATAGAGAATAATGTGACTTATGCCAATATTAGGAGAGTTCAGGGCAAATGAAGCCTGGATGTTCCGTGTCTTATGAACTTAACGAATGGACATGTTAAGGTTTAACTGAGCTTTAAACAAAATTGATAATGGCTCTACAAATATAAGATGTGAAGACAAATGAAGTATTTTCATGATGCCCTATGATATGGAACTCGCTTTTGATTCGTCATTGGTTTGTTCAGAAAGTTGTGAATGATCAGTGGTTTAATCCAGAGTCAAGTCCTTTGTTACAGTGCAAAAAGTTTTGTGAAGATCTAAATATGGGTATTTGTAGCTCCATCTTGCATGGTTTCTAGGGTTTGAATGAGATTTATCTCTATTTCTTTATGATTTTCAATTAAAGAGACGGAGAATAAGAGGGAGGAAGACTAACCATAACATTGATTCAAATATTTTATTCATCTATTGTTTGGACTTTGGACCTATAAAGAAAGACCAAGTTTTATTTGTAAACCCTACCACCATCAACACCACCACAACCACACGTTAGAGTAAGAGATGCTACATTGATGTATTCTACATTTCTATTGAAGATACCAGTTAAACCTGATTTTTAGAAGTTAGGAGAAATATTATTTATTTAGTCCTTTGAAGCATAAATTCTATGTAATAATAAGTTAGCAGGTTTTCAAGTTTGAGGCCAACAAGATAACTTTGCTTTCCACATGTCTGAAGCTTATAAGAAGGTAGAAGCATATATGAGGCACCTTTGACCTCTAGGTATACTAATTTGGTTGTCAATTTACTGAGAATCTGTTAATACTGTTATTCATTTGGTTTGTAAATGCTTTCATTACTTTATTGCAATCTTAGAGAATTTCTGGTCTTAGAATAGATGCCATTAAGTTTAGTAAATCAATTTGCATCATTTTTTCCTAGACATTTCTTCTGTTGTATGGAAACACTGTCCCTTTCCTTCCCTTGTGCTTTTGTATGTGAATACCTTTCCCTATCCAGGCTGTTTTTCTTACCAGTCAAGTCGTAACCCTGTTTTTCTGGAAATTTGCTAAAGTTCTCTCATTCTGATAAATTGATGTGGAAAATATATAATTAGCCTTTTCGACTTGTATTGTTTCCATTGGTTTTGCAACTATTCTTTTATGTTCATCTTATATGGAGAAAATTCATGTGACTTCCTTTTGCTTTATTGTGCCTCCCTTTTGTGTTTTTTTATGATATGGTCTTTACGATATCATGGCTGAATTTTGGTTCAAAAGGCTTTTTTTTTCTTTTTTTTCTCGCTCATTTTGATTAGAATAGTTAGGATATATAGTCTGCCGTTCCATTTTCACTTTATTTCTGCTTGTAATATATTTTTTTTCTTTTTTTTTATCTGCTTAGTGATTGGTATAATTTAGAAAAGTCTAAGCGTGTGAAGGCATTTCGATGTGGGGAGTTTGATGATTGCATTGAAAGGGCAGAATCCTCACAAGGTATGCCACCAAAGAAAAGAGAGAAATACGCTCGGCGGGAAGATGCTATCCTTCATGCACTTGAACTTGAGAAAGAATTGTTGAGAAAGCAAGCAAAATTGGATAGACCTTCTGATGGAAGAAGTAAATCATCTGGTTCTGCTAAAAGGGATTCTGGAGGTTCAGATATTAGTAATGGAAAACCTGGGAATTCAAAATCAAATCAATCCAAGAGTCAAGATACTTCCATCAAGGTTGAGACTGTGAGCAGCCCTGTACACTTGCAAAAAGACCAGGTCGCAAATCAGCCCAGTCGGGAGAATGATCATGCTGAAATCATACCCCGGATGAGAGGATTGCAGAACTTGGGGCTCAAGACTGCATTTGCAAAACAAAAGTTTACATCTTTTGGTGCTTTGGATGCTGGTGATACTCTATATCCTTCCAGCAGGGTTTCTCACATGGGAAGAACCACTCACATTAATGGTAAATCTTCATTAGATGAAAGGAAAAGGTTACATGAGGGATTTACTAAGCAGTTTTTGGTCAAGAGATGTGACAGGAGGCACCCTTTTGTTCAAGTTTGCAGGGTAGTGCAAAATTACAGGTCCCTCATTTTTTGCAACCTAACTTTGGTGCTGTTTCTACTTCTATTTCAGGAGAGCGGATGAGTGGTGTTTTCCGAGCAAAGAGGTGCAGAGGCATGTACTTGCCTGCTGAGTCATTTGATGTTTTGGATTATAAAGGAATCCCTCCTAACCAGATTGAGATGTCACCTTCCCGTTACCTAGAATGTGATTCTTATTCTTTTCCTAGTCACCTGATTGAAGGCAATACTGGTGAGTTCTTGGAAGGAGGTGAATCTGGTTCTTCTGAATCAACTTCATCTGAATCTGAGTCAGAGTCTGATTCTTCTGAGACTGATCCAGACATGGATGAAGATATCACTTCACAGTCAGGTTAATATTTGTTAGTCTGAACTCTAGTTCGTGCATTATTTTGGAAGATTATCATGTATCATGGATAAATGTTCTCTTCTACGTTTGGGATTGTGCATACCCTGCAGACATGCAAGCTGGCTTTTTCTGTTACTTGTTCATCTTGAAAATTCACTCATGGTGTATATTGTATAGATTGTAATTTAAATTATAAGGGATTGCTTAGTAAAGTGATCAAATTTCATAGTTGAAACCTCTTGTGAGACTCAATGAATAGCAGAGATCTAGAATGGAATCTGAAACTTGGTTTATTGGCTATTTGTGAAATTAAAATTTCTCTTTTTTTGCTTCTTAAATACCCCATGGGAGTGGCAGAGCCAAGTTATATTAAGTTTGGAGGCCAATATAAAAATTTGCCTGAAAATAATATAAATCACAGAATTTTAATATAAGGTTAACAATTTTGGGGGGCCAATATATATATATATATATATATATTCTTTGAACTGGAGGGCGGGGGGGTGGTTCTAGCTACCCTACTATTTTGGTTACCTGACGAATTTGATGTTTATTTGGAATGCATCATGGTATGTCTAACTATTGGTGCTAATCGATTGATTATTCTTTCTTATTACTTTATTATTCCCTCTATTCAGGTGCTACTATCTGTATGGATGCTCAATTGGGTGCCTTTCAAAGGCCTGATGCACTAGGAGGGGGAAGCATGGGCCAGGGGGAGTCAGATGAGTCATCTCTTTCTGGTGAGATGTCTCACTTTTATTCTCATGATCATCATTCTGTGAATGAAGCAGTGTCCAAATGGCAGTTGAAAGGGAAAAGGAACATACGGAACCTGGCAAAAAGATCCATGGATGCATCAGAGATGAGAGGTTATAATGGATATGCTCATGGATTATATCATGAAGTGGGAACATTCAGAAGAAGGTTGTTAGGTCAGAGTTCTCGTAGAAATCATGATTTTAACGATGATGTTGACATGGCTGTTTTGAATGCAAAAGATTTCAGGACACAAAGGGTTGGTTTTGACGATAGAGGATATTTGTATACAGCAAGGAATTCATCCAGAAGTAGAAATAGTTTCAATCGTAACATCATTGATTGGCAAGGCATGTCTTGGGAGAACCCTGCTGCTGTGAAAAGAGAGTGGGAGGACAAAGCATGGCACTTTGATCCAATTTTTGCTGCCTCACGTCATTTTGGTGGGAAGAGAAGATCTACGTTGATAGATGTGGATTTGAAAGTCCAAGCAAGCTATCAGAAAGAACCTGTACCTATTGTTTCATTGATGAGCAAGTTGGATGGGAAGGCAATTATAGGGCATCCCATTCAAATTGAAGCCCTGGAAAATGGTTCAACTGAGACCCTTCTCCCGACTAATGGTTATTTCAGTAATGGACTAATAATTAACCATGATGGAAATACTTCACTTCCGCCGGCATGGAGGACCGCCAAGAGGACCAATTTTAGGGTCCCACGTCCTCACCCACCATTTGCATTGGGTAGTTATGAAGCTGCTGAATATCATTCCTTGGATCATGAAGAAAAACCACCTTTCCAGCAATACAATGTAGGAAGCTCCGACTTTAAGGCAGGGCTGGTTAAAAAGGGCATCTCTCACGTTCCGTGCTCTCCTACTGATAGGAAGTTCCAAAGAAAGTTACCAAAGAAAGTAAGCTTATTTTCTAGCCATAAAACAAGAACTTTGTCATCAATTGGTATAGAACATAATCTTAGTTCTAAGCCTATACATGATAATGGTAACTGTGGAATGGATGGATTAATCAAACCAGAGTCATCTGGACCCACAACAGTGGCTTGCATACCTGTCAAACTAGTATTCAGTAGGTTACTTGAAAAGATCAACAGGCCACCATCAAAACCAGCTAGTAAAGTGATTCTCTCCAGTATTGGTTCTGTAAGAGATCCAACATAGATTACATTGTATATTGATACAACGAAACATTAAATACAATCAGCAAAATAAGCATTGCTAATTTCCTCTTTTTGACAAAAAAGCATTCGCAGCAACACTACATTGTCAGCATTGTCAAGGTGAGTCCCGCTTCTTTCTAATTATCAGCATAGAAATTAAGATATATATTATGAACATATTCATTTGTAGTGATTTTAGGCTTTCACCTTTACTGTACATCTGTATCTGAGGAATCAATGGAAGAAAATTTATGTCAGGTAGGGAACAGGCAATGAGAAATTATGCCAGAAGTTGGCAGTTTGGAAGTTGCATAAATATGTATATCTGCTTTCCTCAGGCCAACCTATTCCATTAATACCACAGTAAGTTCTAGATTTTGTACTCGTTTGAGAAGTCTGGAAATGGATGTCTGGTTTTACCAATGCAAGTAGATTTTGACTGTAAAAATGGATATTTTATGGGCATTACCTATTACAGGACAGAAAAATGGTAGCAGTTGGAATTTTTTATTTACCTCGTTCTTTTCCTTTTAGTTACCATTGTTTTCGAGATGCCTTTACTAGTTGTATTGCTACATACTTCAACCATGTGGGATTAGGTTTCTCACAATGTGCCTTTTGTGTCTATCAGTAACAAGTGTATGACAGATAATTTGGCAATGCTATTCATTAAGCGGATATGACCCAGAAGTTCTGATAATTGTTTTATTCCTCCCTTGGTGGCAGATCTCGAGTTCAATAGCCAATGTAACAAAAAATTTTCACGAAAAGCTTGGGCTGTTTCTTCTCAAGTTTATACCTAATTAACTAAACGACTTTATATTGGGGAATCTTCAATGAAAATTGCTTACAAGCAATGCACGCGGTCAAAACAAAGTCTGATATACAATGTACAAAGGCCTCTTAACCACCCAGAACACCCCCTCCCAAAAAAAGAAAAAAAATCCTTTCACAATGTAATAAAGCTGGATACTGGATCCATATCCATACCTTCTTACGGCATTTCGAAGAGGTGGGTTCCCACAATAATGCAACAACGAAACTGATTTCAAGACTAACAAGAGCCAAAATGCCCACTACACCTGTAGAAAATCAGTGAAATGTTTGGAAGGGAAATTTTCTGATCACGGGAACTGCCGCCTGTTATAAGTGTCTTCATGCACAAAAACAGGATCTTGAGAGAACTGGGGTGGGAACTGAGGTTGTCCCATGGCTATGCCACCTTGATTAGGAAGAGGTGCATCGCCCCAAGGACGAGTTGTGTTCTTTGCCAAGTTTAAGGTAAGATAATAGAGGATTCCAAGAACGACACTTGCAAAGGCTAAGACAGCTCCCCAGCAAAGACTCCAGGTTTAACAACATAGCAGTAGTAGTTGCCAAAGTACACACTCTCTTCACCATGTTGATCATTTAGTGCAGAACCAGTTAGCAAGAGAAGGAAAGATATAATAAATGTGAACCTGCATGAATATGGAAAAGTGCGTACACTGTCAACCAATATGAATATGTAAACATTAAGAAATGTTGAAATCAAAGTTTATTTCAAGAAACAAGTTCTGTTTCTCCTGGATGAATAGGCATTCAAGTAATTACTCAGAAAGAGAAAGTCGGCACACTGTAAGCAACAATCAACCTATAAACAAAATAAAAGCAATCTCTACATCAACAATTGAGCGTAAAACAAAGAATCCCACAAGAAAAACCAGAAATGTAAGCTTATAGAGTATTTTCAACTCTTTGACGATTAAGCCTAAGCTGGACTACTCACACGTTATGATCAAGCAAAACGCCTCTGCTCGATTTAAAGTTCACATAAATATTCAGGCCTTTTTTTTTCAATCATTAGCCGTAGATCTGAGCTCAAGAGGCCAATTTAAGCAACAACAGGTAAAAGCTCTTTCCCCTCAAGTTACTCACTAACCAATCTCTTATTAAAATATGCTGAATCTTTTACTACAAAGTCTTCTTGATATACCGTAACTGTCCTCTCAAAAGCACATGAACCATCTAAAAAGAAATTGCGGTATGTGGAAAAACACTTATTTATAGCTGGTTGTAATATTGTAATATGTATATTTATATTTGTATATTTAGAATTAAATATTTATATCCTTAAAATTAAGAACAAAAAATTATGATAAACAATCTCTCAGTTATAGGATTAATTTTTAAAAAGATTTAGTTTCCTGGCTTACTCACTAGTTGTATATAAACCTAAGGTGCTTGTATAATTCTTTATGAGCAATTTTTCAATATACATTCAATTTTACTCTTAGTTTTTCACACAATTTTATTTATTAGTTTTTTCACATGGTATTAGAGCTTTAAGCTCTTATTGGGAAGCAAATTATCAGCCTTCATCGCTGACTTCTATTTTAGGGCCTTCATTGCTGAACCCTGTTAAGGCCTTCATAACCATTTTATTTTTCCCTTCTTTATCCTTCATTACTAAAAGTCATTTTTTGGTTATTTCTTAAGACTTGTTTCAGTTCAAAGAAAGATGTCACTATCACCCAATTTGAAGAAGTGTCAATTAGGAAAATCAAAAGAGTACTACAAATGTCTCAGAAACAAGGAGAGTTGGATAGAGAAGAGATTGATAAGTTGAGAAGCCTATTGAAAACCCTTGAAAAAGGCTAATGGGGTATGTTTCTTGGTTAAAGTCTCTAGTTCAGGTAAAGCTCTAATTCTCATGGACTAAATATCTTGGTTTAAACCTATTACATAGTTCTTGGGTTATTGACTCAAGAGCCATAGACCATATAACACATTCCTCACAGAGCTTAGTACATATATCTTGTGCCCTAGTAATAAGAAAAATTGTTGTTGCAAGGATGATTCACTTACTACAATGGCAGGATTAGAAGATATTCAAATTAATCCCTTCGTTTTGTTCTTAAAAATGTTCTTCATGTTCTTAGATTGTCTACTAATCTGATATCTATACAAAAACTTACCAGAGACATGAACTGGCAAAGTGACTTTTTATCCCTCTTATTGTGAATTTCAGGATCAAAGTTTTGGAGAAAAGTATTGGACTTGCTAAGGAAAAGGATGGACTATACTATTTTGAGACATCAAAACAACACAAGTAATATCAAGGAATCATTTACCTTGTCATTTTTTTTTCTAAAAAATCTCTCAATAAAGACAAAATCTGACTCTATCATTTTCGTATTGGACATCCTTCTTTTGGAACTTTGAAAAAACATATTTGCTTCTTTGTCAAGCATTAAATGCCGAAAACTTTCATTGTGATGCTTGTGAACTTGCAAAGCATAGACGTGTGTCTTTTCCAGTTAGTAGTAAAAGAGTTCTACTTCTTTTTACTTGATTCAATAGTGACATATGGGGTTCTTCTACAATTCCTAATATTTCGGGTGCAAGGTGGTTTGTTTTTTTCATAAATGATTGTACTAGGGTCTCTTGAATATTGTTACTTAAATCCAAATCAGATGTGAATGATGTGTTTTAAGCTTCCCAAAACATGATCCATAAATCAATTTGGAGTGAAAATCAAAAGATTTAAGTCGTGATAATGCAAAAAGACTATTTCAATTAGAGTTTTATTTACCAATTTCCAAAAGGAGGGGATTATTCATGAGTCATCTTGTGTTAAATACTCCACAACAGAATGAAGTGGTAAAGAGGAAAAATAGTCATTACTAGCCACAACCGGAGCTTACTTTTTCAAGCAAATGTACCCAAATCCTACTAGGGGAAACTGTTCTCAAATGCACACATATTATAAATGGGTTAGCTTCATGGGTTTTGGGATTAAAAACTCTTATGGAACTACTTTTACAATTTATCCCACTTTAATGCCACAAACAACCTCACACCTAGGATATTTGGTTGTACATCATTTGTTCATGTTCATAGTCACAATAGGGGAAAGTTGGATCCCAGAGCAATTAAGTGCATTTTTGTGGAATTCATCAACTTAGAAAGGATATAAATGTTATCATTCCTCCAACCAAAAAATTCTATGGTGTTTTGCAGATGTGCAGCTTTAAGACAGTAAACCATTTTGTTACTCACTTTATCTTCGGGGTGAGACTTCATTCCATGGAAGATAAGGATAAAGACTTCTTTTTTGGCTTGAGTTTCTCCTTTTGCTTTAACATTTTCACCTCATTAATGTCTTCTGAGTTGAAACTTTTTTCTTTTCCTGATCCCAAGTCGAAACATCTGAATTTGAGTCTAAACTCCATTCCAAACACAGAAGATTGGTAACAAAACGATAATATTTGTTTCGTTGATGCTTATGAAGGAATTAACTAAGTGTACTCAAGAAGGAGAAGTTTTCAAAGTCCTGAACAGCTGGCCAGTCAAAGAACCTGATCCGAACGTAGAAAATGTGGTAACTACAAGTCCTTTGACTCTGTTTCTCAAAATGAGCACTGATCTCCTAAAAGTATAAGTAATGATTATGATCTACCTATTGCCATTGAGAATGAACCAGTAGAATGGAACCAGAGAATGTACTAAGCATCCACTATACCCAATCTCTAATTTTGTGTCATTTGAAAAATTATCACCATCTCCACAAAAATTTTCTTCTGAGCTTAAAGACTATTTTTGTTCCAACTACATTTATTTGAGACATTATCCAATTAGAAATGGAGGCAAGCCATGAAATAAAATGGAGGTCTTAGAAAAAAATAAGACAAAGGAACTGGTAGAGTTGCCTAAAGGAAAAATCTAGTTGGGTGTAAATGGGTTTTCACTGTAAAATACAAACGATGGTACTATTGAAAAGGTATAAAGCCGGGGTTAGTGCTAAGGTCTACACTCAAACTTATGGAGTGGGATTATCAGAAACTTTTGCTCCAGTTGCCAAGATGAATACAGTTAGGATTTTATTGTCATTGCTGCAAATTACAATTGACAGCTTCAACAATTGATGTAAAGAATGCTTTCTTACATGGTGATTTGAAGAATAAATATATATGAAGGGTTCCAATGGGATTTGGAGGTCATTTAGAAGCAAACAAAGTATGCAAGTTAAAAGGCTTTATATGGCCTTAAAAAATCTTCTAGGGCTTGGTTCGGGAGATTGCCAAAGTGATACCAGTAATGGATATAAGCATAGTCAAGGAGATCACACATTATTTATCAAGTACTCTGATTCAAGGAGAGTCACAGTTCTATTAGTATATGTTGATGATATAATTGCAATTCGAGATGATGAAAAAGAGAGAATTTCTAAAATAGTGTTTGGCTTGAGAATTTGAGATAAAAGAGCTAAGGAGATTGAAGTACTTCCTAAGAATTAAAGTAGCTCACTCATGGCATGGTATTTTCGTCTCACTTTAGAAATATGTGATGGATCTTCTTAAGAAAACTAGGAAGCTCGCATGTAAACCTGTAAATACCCCTAT